ACGAGCCACAACCACCACCACCACCCACAGACCAAGCAACGACTGAATCAACGGCAGCGGTCGTGGACGGATCCAGCGGTGTCGGGGGTGGTGAGGACACGCGACCGGACGAACATGTGGCCACGCCCGTCGCCGAGCCGACGACGACGCTAGCAACCGCTGCTGTGACTGGCAAGTTCAACGTACGTTTGTATGGCGACGAGGGGTTTTTGTGAAAGAAATGGATATATATTGTGCTTTATGAAATTTTGTGGTTTCTCGTTGGAATTTAAATCGATTTGATTGGCTACTTGAGAAGAGCTCAAAATTATGAACCAATCAAAACCCATTTCTCAATGAAATTCAACCAATCAGATCGATGGCGGATCGGTTTGGTTGGCGCAACGATTCGATTGCACCCCGTCCCCAAATTTGTATCAAATCGACAATATATATCAACTATATATATATATATATATATGATATGAATGTATATATGGAGTAAATAGGTGGGAGATGTATTGTACACGAGGTCGGACGAGTACTCGTTTGAGCGGTGTCGGGTGGTGGCGTTTGGTGACGACGCCCAGTACACGGTGCAGTACGAGGACGGAGAAGTGTACCGCGTGGCTGAGCCGCATCTGTTTACGGACGCCGAGTACGCGCACGTGATGGCGAGTACCCGCGAAGAAGCAGACGGCGGCGGCGGGAGTACGTGTGTGCTAATGTAACCAGCGGCGCATAACTATAGTGAAGTGTGTTTTGAGTTATACACGAGCAACTACTCTATATATATATATTCCTAGACGACGATCTCGTCGAGCAGCATCGAGTCTTGCTTGTCGAAATAGGTCAGATGATGCTCGTCGTCTTGTTCATGTTCGGGGGGGGGGTCATCATGGCAAGTGACGGCGGCGGTCGGACTCATGTCGACGAGGTTGGCCATGTCGTCGCCGACGCTCTCCGTGTCGCTAAAGCCGTCGTCCACGACCAGATCGAGCTCGGGGCACGCGACACCCACCTTGCGGATGGCCCCACTCAGCAGGTCGAGCCGTACCTCGTACGTCTTGATCAACGTATCACCCCCCCCTCCTCTCTACACACCAAGTCGTCGTCACCCATGTCAGACTACGGAGGACGCACCTGCCGAAGGGCGTCGAGGGCGCGGGAGGTGCTGGCATGGGCATCCACCAACGCCTGCACACAACAGACAGACATCGTGAGTACGACTATAGAGGGGGGGGAGACGGGGGGGGGTCGTTACGATGGCGAGGGCGCGGAGTTCGTCGGGGGGGGGGAGGGTCGCCTTGTCTTGCTGGACGAAGAGGCGGACGAAGACGCCTCCGACCTCGACCTCGTCCGCCACGTCTGTGTACAGGTACCGGAACGAGTCGGCGGCGACGAAGTGGTCGGGGTCCCACACTGGCCACCGGTTCACGTCCTTGGCGGCGGCCGTCACGTTGACCAGTTCCCGATGCAGTGTTTCTTTGAGCGTTGCTTGCATGCTACAAGGAGTTGCTGACGACGCTGCTGCGGGCGGTGGTACTACTACGTACCTGAGGGTCCAGATCATGCGCGCCGAGTAAATGTCGTCGGTGCTGTGCAATGTATGGACAAACGCAGCTGGGCCGTCAACCGCGAGCACCTACAATCGATCGTTGCTCAGCAACGAGCACGGACAAAAGAAACGTATACCTGCAATAGCCCGGGGGTGAAGAGCTGGACGAGCACGGTGTGCAGTAGTGGCTCGTGGGCGTGGAGAAGCGCGGCGGCCGCCACCGCCATGGCGGCGTTGTCTGTCGATGTGGTTGCAACCAAGTGGCTGAGAAACACGACGCCCCCGCCTTCCACCAGGAGCAACGACGGCAGCAACGACGGCAGCAACGACGGCAGCAACGACGACTGGTCGCACAGCCGAGTCACACAGGCCACCGCGGCACTTGCCACCTGGGGACAAGCCGACCCTACCGACACGTACCCTAACAGTTTGGGCAGAAGCGACGGGTGCCGGTGATAGGCATCGTCGGCGGCCGCCACCGCCTCGAGCAGCGCCAAGAGCGCTGTCACGAGCGCGAGAGCGACTCCGTCCGGATCGCAAATCATGCCTTGCTGGTCCCGGATGAACTGGAGGTACCGCGGCTGCAGCGTCTTGTCGATGGCTTCGTGGACCAATTTGAATGACGATATCACCACGTCTAGACACGTGGACGCGTTCACGTTGGGGGGGGTGAGGAGGAGGGTGAGAAGGCGCAAGCCGGCGCCGCCTCGCGCCTGCGCTTGACATGAGACAGACGGGGGAAGGACGGAAGGGGGCGTACCTGGTCGACTTCGCCAAGGAGGGATCGCTTGAGCGGACTCAATACCACGTTGAGCACACTTGGGTCGATCACAACATGGTGGCCAGCGCGACGAATCAAATGGTAGAGTGCCCGTAGCACTAGAACCTGCACGGCCATGGGATCATCATCAACGTCGTGGCTGACAAACGACGCGCGAGACGTGGTCGAGAGCCGCGCGGCCAGCGCGTGGATGGTCGTGTCGTACATGGTCTGGGTCCACGTCGTGCGGAACGAGCCTTCGTGCTCGACGAACGCCTTTAGAAACAGATGGCCGACGCAAATGTCCAAGTCGCCTCCTTGTAGCAATGGATCGTGTTGGTGGGCGTCAAAGTACTCGCCGCCGCTGTCGTTACGACCTCTTGTGGTCGACAACCGGCGGCGACCTCTTGTGGCCGACGCGAGGCTAGTAAAGAGACGTTGGCGAAGCGTGGCGCCCCACAGGACGTCGGCGGCTTGGACCGAGTCGGCGTTGAAGATGGCCGCGAGTACCACCGGATCCGAGAGCACCAGATGCAGACCGCAGCCATCGTGGCCAACCGCGGCGCGCAGAGCGGCTTGAAACGCGGTCGGGGTCGCATAGTTGCAGAGCAACGCGGCGGCGGCATGGGGCATCCGTCCGGCGTTTATCGGGTTGCTACATGCGACGAGGATCGCCGGAAGCACTTGGTGCTCAAACGAGTCCGAGTTGCTCCAGTGGGGCAAGAGCTGCTCGACGAGTGCCAGCAACGCCGCGAGGGTGGACGGCCGAAGTGCCGTGTAAAACAGCTGCACCAACGTACCCCGCGCCGCGACCACCTGCGGAATGTACGACCTCGCACGCTGGACGATCACCGCTAGCACATTTACGCCAGCCCGGACCATGGCATCCTCGACATGTTCGTCGTCTTCCGTCATGTCGTCGTGCAGCGCCTCAAACGTCAACCGATGGGGATTGGTCGGGGCTTCCCCTCTATTATACGCTTCTCCATCAGTCTCCACAGCCTGACTCGTTGGAGGCAACGACAAGGCCGCCACGACGGCCGAGATGACGGACGGGTAGGTGGGGACGAGGCTGTCGGCGGTCCGGACCCGCGACGTTGAGATGGCTACGTGGAAGAGCAAGAAGCACTCGGTGGCAAACGCTGCCAATGATCCGTCGGGCGGGTCGGATGCGACGACGTCGCGGAGGTGCTGCAGCAGCGACTGCACCGGCAGCTGGCCGTTGAACGTCATCGCATACCGCCGAAGCAGCAGCCGGACGCACCGGACGCACCGCAGCCGCCACGTCGCGTCCGTCTCGACACCTACCCGATCCAGCACATGCCACGCCAGCAGCACTGGATCTGACACTTCAAACGGATCGTTCAGATCGCTCAACTTGGGCAGAAGCGGCTCCACAAAGTACCCGTGCACGACCAACTCGCGCTCGAACGACGAGTACCCGACTGTAAACTGGTCCGCATCCCACAAGTGGACGGACCCGCGGCGGCGGCCGGCCGCGTCGGTTGTCGGCGTCGGCGGCGGTGATGACGACATCGAGGAGGCTTTGGCTTCAAGGGCGGCGATCTCACGACGCAGCGCGACCTGCAGCTCGGTCAGCATGGCGCGCCGCCAGATCAGATTCGGTCCAATGTGTTCGTTCCTGGCTGCTGCCAGCACCTGCTGCCACGCCTCCCCTTGGCTCCTGGCATCGTGTAGCCATTTCTACAAGAAATACATGACCGAGTTCACTTTTACATTCGAAAGCTGTAGCCACGAGAACGAGGAGCTAGCTAGCTAGGTAGCCAGCGCCTATAGTGTCGGGTGAAACGGCTACCCCAAACACTGTTTTGAGAGCTAGCCATGCTACTGCAGTACATACAATCGTAGCCACGACGTAGCCGGGTAGCTACCAACCAATAGCCCACGGGTACATCATACCTGAAACTCGACGTGCGAGACGGATGTCGCTGTTGACGTGTATAGCCCTCCGACGGCGGACGAGAGCAGGGAAGACGACGAGGACGCCGCCGCCGCGGTGGTATTGGTGGTCGACGTACCCGCCGCCGACTGCGCGCTGAACCGCGGCTCGGATCGAAACGGCCCCAGCAGCAAACTCGACGCCGAGCCCGACGCCGACTTGGTGCTTTTCCGGATTGCCGCCATCGAGTACTTGGAGACCAAGTCGGGTCGGTCCTCCATCGGCACGAACAAATCCACGGGAAGCATCCGGTACATGGCGGCTTTGGTGCGGCTGTTGCCGGCGCAGAACATCTCGACCAGCGCCACCGCCTTATCCCGGAAGCTTGCCACGTCATCATCGTTATATTCATCTAGAGTCGCCACATTGTCGCTGTGCTACATCGTCGACGTTAGTGTAAAAAACGAATATCAAATATATATATATATAACTAGTATATAAAATAATAATAAATAATAAATAATAAAAAGAAATAAAAGTAATAAAATCAAAATGTCTACAATCAATCGAAAACAAAGCCTGCCTCTCTGCAAAACAATATGCCAATATATATATATATATATATATATATATATTCTACGTCGGGGTTAGTGTAATATCAAATATATATATATATATATATATATATATTCATAATATTGAAAATGAATAAAATATAATTAATAAAAAGAATAAAATTAAAATGTCTACAAAAATTAAAAAAAAGCCTATCTTTACTGTCGCGTGTTAAAAATTAATAAAATATAATTAATAAAAACAAAGCCTGTCTTTACTGTCGCGTGTGGATATATATATATATATATATCCACACGCGACAGTGGTGTACGTAGGTAAGAAGGGAGAAAAACCAAGTCGGGCAACCTCGGAACGATGTATGTCCGTGTCGAGAGCATGGGACAGCATGTACAGCAGGGCGCCGCAATCCCGCGCCGTGTCCTGGAGCACGGTGACCTGGGCGACATCTGCTACGGAGAACAGCTCGAGGAGGAGGTCCGCGGCGATGTGGCGCAGACTGGGAGAGGACGGCGGCGGGTAAATGGAGGAGGAGGGGGATGGACGGTGGTGGGCCAAATGCAGAAGCGTGAGTCGCGCGTTGAGCAGCGCGTCGGTCACCTAGTTGAGAGACTCACATGGCGAGGTGACGACATTGGCGCCAATGTACCCGATCCAGCGTCACCGCGTCCGACGTGTGCTTGTTGCCGACATACGTCCAATGAAAGATGCGGAGGGACGCTTGGAGGATCGGCTCGGCCGTCGACGACGGCAGCAGCACGGACGACGGGTGGTGCTGCGCCAGAAGAGACCCGAGGACCTGGAAGCCGAGGTCGTCGGCAAACGTGCGCTTGTTGAGCATCTCCATCTTGTCGCCGACTTCGGCGGACTTCAAGCCGGTCGGACGGGTCTTCATCATGAGAAACACTTGGAGCACGGACGAGGCCAATTGTGGCGACCACATCTACGACGACGAGGGTGACGATATGAAGTGGAAACGGGAGAAGGGGAGGATTGTACTACCATGCACGTGAGAAATGGCTTGATCGAGTACTTGGGGACGAGTTTGTGGAGCTCGCGCCATTGCAAGAGCCGTTTGAACGTGTCCAGGATCATGAGGACGACGTCCGACTCGTCGGCGGTGCTCGACGTGGCCGTGGTGTCCACGGCGGTCTTTAGCAGTCGATGCACGGAATCAAACAGACGTTTCTCCTTCACGTCCATTGATGCTGCAGCAGCGTGCTCCTCGGAGCTGTCGGTGCGTCGTCGTCGGCCGTCTGCTGTCTACGTCAGTCGAGGAGTTACATTGCGAGATTCACACAAGTGTGCGGCACGTACTTCCAACGGAAACACATTGCAGAACGTCTGCAGCACGCGCATGATGTCGTCCTTGCTGCGCTTCTTGCTGTCGCTGATCATGACGACGTCCTTGATGGCATTGCGCTGCTCCACGGACCCCGTGGTGCCCATATTAAGCTTGTGATGACGGCGGCTAATCCACTCTGGAACAACAGTAGTCCGGATAAAAGCCACCAATCCCAATGCTGGGAATTCGGAATGGCCAATCGAACGGTCAAGTTATCCGGATCGTGCTATGATCTGTCGCTGGATTGCCTCAAGGATGAATGACGAAGGGATGCCGCGGAAGGCAAGGGACGATAGTTCGAGCATTGACGTGGAAGGCACGGAAGCGTATGCATGTACATGAAGGATGCGATTCGAGGGGGTATTGCAGGCGGCGGTGGACCACCTCATTCCTTCGTCGGTGATCGTCGAAGAGTCGCCTGGACCATCGCTCGATGCAGATCGAATGCTACCTCATGAAATATCTTGCATTCGTCGACGTCATGTCCATGCTAGCTGCATGCTGCATACAGCATGTAGGACGGGGTGCGTTCCAAAGCAGGAACGCCCCCAGTATGTATGGTGGTGTGCGTGGTTCTATCCTATGCGACTACAGAAAGCACACAACTCCATGAAGCAAGGAATTCAAATGTGAAGTCATTCGAAGGAGAACACGACGTGGAGAATGGATGCAGACGGGGTGGAATGATTTAGAACACGCGGCGCACTTCGAACGTTCGACGGAGGTACGACATTTGCCAGAACACGAGCGACACGAGGATGGTGGCTTCGATGCATGACCACAGCACAATGCGACTGTTCGTGCTGTCCACAACTAATAACAACATGGTGACTGACATGCTTGATGGACGAATGAGGGGATTCCTTACCGCTGTGGTGGTAGACGGACTTGGCCTTCATGTACGACTGGGTGTCCTTGACTGTGTCCAAGTTCGTGTTGAGCTCGTACACCATGTCCTCGACCGCGCGGGCTTGCTCAATCTTGGTCGCGTCGGCATTCGACACGACATCGTGCGCCGGGTCGTCCGCGTGGAACGAAAACCCCACGCGGATGTTCACGAGGGTGGACTGGGCAAAGCACACGCGGTACATTCCGTCTTCGGGCACAGGACTCACGAAGCGGCCGGACGGACCTGTCTTTTGGAAGAGCGTGATGCCGCTGGGACTGCTCAATGTGGTCACCAGTTCGTCGCCCATGCCCCGCAGCACTTCGTAGTTGAGCGACATGCCTTCCTTGTACTTTTGGGACTCAAGGAAGAAGCATTCGGGATGCCCAGATGGAATGTCCGTGTTCAGGCCCATCACGAACACGAGGATACCAAGCAAGATGGCGGCGCGGATCGACATGTCGGAGCACTGCTAGGAACCGCAAAATGCAGCCGTGAAAATAATTATATAAATACCTGGTACTCCGGAGTATCCCATTGTATCACAAGAGTGAATTTAAAATTAGAGTTTAAATCCCATTACGCAGTATTATATTTTTGTGAAGATGTCAGGGAGAGCTCCATCATGGTGGGATCAGGTGCTGCTGTCACATGCAGGCTCTATGAACGAAGCGCGACGACGCCTGGACACTCTGTTCATCGTACATGCATGCATTGCCATCATCATCGGTGGCGCGTGCTTCCTTCTGCCGCATTCCCTCGCAGTATCGGTGCTCGGCGGGTCCGAGTACGGCCACCTGGTGCACGAAGTCGTGCGGTTGTACGGTGCGCTGACATTGGCGCAAGGGTGGCTCGTGTGGAAGACACGTCTCGTGGGTGATGGACTGGTCCGCAAGACATTCTGCCAAGCGTACTGCCTCTGCTTCACCCTCCAAGCGCTCGCGCTCGTCCGTGCGCAGGTGTCCTCCCCCGAGAGCCATTCGGTGCTCAACTGGATCAATATCATCGTCTTGGCGGGCCTGGGCACTGCGTACGGGTACTTTATCGTGTTCAAGACCATCAAAGCGTTTGAACTGCCGTAAACTACATGTCATTAACAGACGACTCATTATCCACCACTCCCTGTACATCATCTCGTTCGTCTAACGTCAGGTCGATCGTCGCATGTACCGCCGTCGCCGCCGCTGGATCCTTCGGCTCTTCATGAAGCACGACGGCTGTGGGTGCATGGACAGGAGCGACGGAAGGCTCCCCGACCAAAATGGGTGTGATTTTCCTCTTCTTGCGCACGGCCACCGCATGCACTGCCGACGCTCCATCGTCATTTTCGGGAATAATCACTTTGGTAAAGTGCAAGATGGACGACACGCCGACGTCGGCTTTGGCTTTCTTGGCGGCGAGTGTGGCGGGGGATTTGGTCGGGGACGCCACCGCGTGGCCCTGGGCACCAGCCTTCTTCCGTCCACGTGGCAGATTCTGCGACATCGTACCCCGCTGGATCGCCAAGTGCTGGGCCAAGTCTAGTGCCATCATGCCACGTGATCAACCCACAACCACCCAGTCTCTGAGGTTATCAATATATATATATATACTCTGTGACATGTGTACAGGTGATGACGTAATCCAACACCACACAAGGGGGGAACATGACGTTATCCAGATATGACGTTATATACAGTACTACACACCATGAGGGGGCAACGGTGTGCCGAGGTCCGTGTCTGACAACGTGATCAGACTCACATACCCGTCCAGCGACGACGCCGCCAGCTCGCGGCCGTCCGCCGACCAGCTCAGGTCCGTCAGATCAGCGTAATGCACGCGATCCACGACGCAGATTGGCCGAGATAGCTGTACATGATAACGTCATCGACGGATGTCGTAAGGAAGGGGCTACCTGGGAGTCGTACACGGCGACAGACGTGAGCGTGGCGACTGCAAACACGAGTCGGTAAGGCAGGCCAAACGTGTTGGAGGCGGCCGCGGGTCGAAGGGAGTACAATGTCGGGCTGCAGCGAATGGCGAGGACGCCCTTATCGTGCCCGGGGAGGTGGAACGCCGGCTCGTGGAGGTTCCCGCGCGCGTACACGTACGCCGTGTGTGCCGTCGCGTCGGTTAGACCTGTATGATGGGGTCAGAGAACGGCCGAGGGAGTTGGACGTACCGGCGGGAAGGAGGACGAAGGTGCCGTCGGGGGTCCACGCGGGTCGACGGGAGAAGGATGGGAACGTGTCGTCGTGGAAGAGGAGCTGCTTTGGCGGGGGCTTGACGACGTCGACTGGGGCGGCGGCTAAGGGAGGCTTGGCGGCATCTTTCTGGCCAAGCGCTCGAAGGGTATGTAGCAACTGACACTTCTTCTTCTTGGAGACGACGGGTGCTGGTGTGGGGGTTGCTGGAGAAGTTGCTCCACAACTGTGAAACGAAGGAGGTGGATGGTACCCGTGCAACGCATACACGCGCGAGGTGCGGTCGTTGCCAGTGGTCACTAGGAACTCGCTGAGGGGGTCCCATGCCACGCCCTGGACGAACTGCGAATGGTCCTTCCGTTTCTCGACCAGCTTGGCCGTCGGGACGTGCCAGATGGACGCCGTGTTGTCGACGGACACGGAGCACAAGTACTGGCTGTCGGGCGACCAGCTCAGGTCGGTGATGTCGCCCTTGTGGCCGCACGCGAGGAGGACGCGACCGACGTCGCTGTTGCTCGCGACGGTGCTCCAGTCCCATAAAGCATCGTCATTTGACACATGCTTTGGCCGCATCCATAACACGATCGTCGAGTCGTCGCTTGCGGACGCAAGGATCGATCCGTCCGGGGAGAATCGGACGCAGTTGACGCTGCGATCGTGAGCCGACAACGTGTACACGAACACGGGCAACGGGCCATCTACTGGCATGATCCACAGACGGACTTCCTTGTCCGAGCCACCCGTGGCAAGCACCGACGGGAGTACTGGTGGAGTAGCACTACCGGCGGACGCAGTCCCATTCACCGAGCCGGAGCTGCTTGTGTCGACGAGCTCGCCCGACGCATCTGGAGATGATGATGGACGCCTCAGGTAGTCGATAGACAGGACGGCTTCGTTCAGACCCGTCGGCCCGTAATGCCATCGGATCTCTGGCGTGTCGACCTTCATGGTACAACTGCCGCGCCACCTTTGTGAAAAAATGGAGGGAACGGTGTGGGTATCCGGATATCACACTACATTTACCGGATAATATATCCGGATGCCCCGACGGTTTCATTTCGAGTTTCACTATGGGCGGCCGGTTGAGTTTCCTGCGGCGAAAGCGCGCGAAACAGGCGGCGACGGTGCCGGATGCGGTGCCGACCGTCGTGGAAGCGCCGCCGCCGCCGCCCCCCGAAGTATTTGATAGCACGACGTTCTGGGAAGCGTTGAAGGGCATCCTACGCTTCCGTCTACCACAAGGGTCGGACTTGGTGCCGATAGACAAGTCGACACTTCATATCCACGACGCAACCAAGTTAAGTGACGACGAACTCGACGACGTGAAAGAAGTGAGCAAAGCTCTGGGAGATCGATTGACAACGAAGAAGGAGGATGCGGCGATGGAGCTCTTCACTTATGCGCTGTCCCTTCTCGCCATAGGCAACACCGTAGCGGCATGGTGCGTATGCTTTGCAAATTTGTCGAGATGCATGAAGAAATCACAAGATATTCTAGCGACGAGTTCGTCAATGTTATCGCAACGGACCCATCTTTTGGACGAGCCTACACGAATTTAGCGCATACGTTGCTCTTGGACACGCAGGACGACCCCGCAACGCTGGAGCGCGTCGTGGGGTACTTGGAGAGCGCTTTAAAGTATGATGACATGGAGATACGCGAAAACACGGTAACGGCCACGTGACGTCGATCCCATCATCCCAATAGTTGACGACGACGTTTGCAGATCCTGCTGGCAGAAGTGCAATCGCTGCTAGGCAACCACGCCGCTGCGTTGGACGTGTACGGTCGCTTGGTGCGTCCTCCATCACTTGCTCGCCCGCTCTATGTTGTTGCTTCTTGATGGTGCTACAATGATGCAGACGGACGTGGAGAAAGAGTGGGAAAATGTGTTTCATATGGCAAGGTGCGAGTGGGCTCTGGGGCGATTCGATAAGAGCATTGCGTTGCTGGACACGTTGCAGTTAGATGCCAACGACGCCATGGATCCTTCCATGTCCAACAAGCGCCTCGTCCTTGCCGACGCGGAGGCGCTGTTCATGCGACCTCATGGCGGCGCCGACGTTGCCGCCAGTTGACATCGTCCAGATTTTTTTGTTTCCCCCGTATTTTAATAAACAGAGCACAACAAATTTAAATCCCTAGCAAACTGTCACGAGGTCGTTTTTAAAATAAATATGATTTATATATATTGTGCTATATAAAGCAATAATTTTATTATATTATTCGTGTGGATTTTAAAAAATATTCAAACATTAACAAACGTTCAAAATTCAAAGCCGCGAAGATTGCGCTTCCTCCATTTGGACACATGCCCGCGGCGACGGGAAAGGTTCCAGCAGTGCTCCTGCGGCCACCCGCTGGCATTGACGCCCAGCATCCCATCAATGCGTTGGCTACTCATGGAGATCCAAGCGGTGAACTGACTGCACCTGCCAAGTTTTGGGTCCAGCACTCGCTGTATCCGACACTGAAGAAAGCGTGTGGAACGAAGGATGCACCTGGTATCCGCAAACAAAATGCATCCCGCGTGCTCTCGGAGCTTCGCCAAGCGCGTTCCGTCGTGGAAACGCAGTTGGAAGACTTTCATCGGGGCCTGCTTGACTTGGATGCTTGGCTCACAAACGTCTCGCCGCCGGTGCAATTGGTCGGCGGCGATGGCGGCGGCAGTGCCAGTACCACAGACGAAGTTAGGGAGAGGCGAAAGAAAAAACGACGGAGGAAGGTCAACGCTTCATCATCCGAACTTCCAGGAGAGACCGCTGTCGACCTGGCGCCATCGTTCGACGTGGATGCCATGGACATGGGTAGGTGCATCAAGTTCTAGTGAATTCCTTCCATCTTGATTGTCATGACGTTGTAGATGCACCTTGCACCACCTCTGAATGTTGGCAGTACCTACGTGCATCCTCGTTCTTCGCACCAGTCACACAGGACGTCGTCGAGCACATATTAGCGCCGCTCCCGACGACACTTTTCACACAACCCGACGAGTGTATCGACGATGGCATTGCATGTCCCACCTACGACGATCCATCTTGCACACGAGCATGTTCCTTGTCCGAGGTACGTTCGTCCATCTTGACTTCCATGAGATCAAACAACGAATCATGACGACATGCAGAAACTCTTGGCCGCACTCGTCGACATCCATGGACCGTCCCCCACAACCTCCGCCCCCGACGAAGGCGACGATGAAGGTGACGGCGTCCGTCCTTCCCACGACAAGCACCCCCTCGGTGGTTCCCACGACGCTCCGCCTTCGTACCCTGCGACCGACGACGTGCCGTCCACGTCCAAACTTCAACACGAACTGGCCCTCGTCGGCCTCGTTCGTCCGCCTCCTCCGTCCGTCCATCCACCTCCGTCCTCCGGTCATGACACTGGTGACGTCGCCGCCGTGTTTGGCGGAGCTCCAGACGTCGAGAGTCGGCTTGCCCAAGCGACGAAAGCGTGCCTCGCGCTGCATGCATCCACCAACGCCATCAAAGCTTCCCTTCGAGACCGCATCTATCTTTGCCATCATCCGCGGTACACCACATTGAAACATGTGATCGATTGAACATGAACTGGATATATATATACATAGCATCGACCACAAGGCGACGACCCGCGACGACCACGCCCACGTAGTGACGCAGTATCGCAAGTTGAGCAAACGCAAGGCGGACGACGCCCGACGTAAACTCCGACGGACCGCCAAAGCTACGTCCGCTAGGAAGCAGCAGCAGCAGCACCTCCTTCAATCGTCCTCTGCACGCCGCCAACAACCTCTAGACCACCGCCCCCCATCCGGACACCCCCCCGACCAACTCGACCCACCAGCATCAGTCTCAATAACCTAACGATATGTACCTGTGACGTCGCAATCCCTGAGCTTTATGCGATATTGTTGACAACCAAAATGCACAGAAGAATTTAGCCAATCAAGTTGCAGGAAATCATCAGTTCAACCAATCAACAGTTACTTGATGTGTGACTTGAATTAGTGTGACAGTCATTTCCTCTCTTTTTTATTAACGTTAATACAAAATTTCAGAAACAAATCGATCGATAAAGACTACAGATAGGCCATAGTCGTTTTACTATTAAACTTCTTTCAGTTAAACCCACGAAATGTTGACGTTAAAGGATTAGTAATTACGTTGTTTACCAGGTAATTAGGTTAAACGTCCTGAAAAATCCGGATACAATGGAAACTTCGTACGGTAAGTGCTGAATACTGTACAAAGACCAAGATATACTTGATGGTCCCTTTTCAAACTGTCCATATATATTTGCCGGTTGGTTTAAATTCTATTAACGTTATTGTGCTTTCGAGTGAAATTTCATTGTGTTGTGGCGCCGTTGGTATTTAAATCGATTTGATTGGCTACTTCAGATGAGCTCAATTAAAACCTTCTCAATGAAATTCAACCAATCAGATCGATTGTGGATCGGTTTGGTCGGCGCGATTCGATTGCACCCCAAATTTGTATCAAATCGACAATACTCGATTAATTCTTCACCAATCGAAAATCTGAACCGTAAGTTTGTCCAGTTCTAAGGTTATTTTTCTAAATAATATCAATACAACTGTCAAAAGACAAGGCATTTTTTGTGAATATATATCAGCCCAAAAGTATAAATTTTGCAAGTTCAATACAGTTTTGGAAACTGAAGTCTTCGACCTATGAACACAGGGGGGCGGGTTGTTGTGTGGTAGTATTAGTCCGGTTATCCGAGTGGAGGAAAGTCGGCATCCATCGAGTACGTCGCCGGCCCGGCAGGCGGCGGCGGTTGGTTCCGTCCGCCTTGGGTGTAACTCGATGCCCGTGGAGGTTGAGGCTGGCGGTAGTAGCCGTCGGATTGGAATGGGGAGGCGGGGGGAGGAGGAGGAGGCGGGGTGTAGTACTCGTACGACGGGTACCGCGGCGCCTGGGGTGAGTTGTATGACTGCGTGTACGACGGGGGGGGTCCGCGGGGCTGGTGGTGCCTCGCAAAGTCCGGGTCGTTGAGTTCCTTTTGCCGGTCTCTGTATTGCGCCTTGGATTGCTTCCAGTCTTGCTGGTGAGGAGCATGATGATGATGTGGGTGAGTCGTCGCGCCATGTTGCGGTTGCTGGAGGTGTTTGGAGGTGGGGGTAGGTCGGGTGGAAGGCGCGGCAGGCGACTTGGTCGACGATGGTTGGTTGGCTGCTGCAGAGGAAGCAGAGGCTGTCGGCGGGACGGACGCGACGCCCTTGTCCGGCGCGGCCTCGTCGCCGAAAATGCGCGCGCGGGCTTCGGCATACGCTTTCTCGCGGTCCTGCATGGAACGAGGGTCGCTGGACGCAGCGGGCGTCTTGTGGTGCTTGTGGGCCGTCCCAGCGCCTTTCTTCCGGGACATGATCTTGGGGGGATGCGCGGGGGTGTGGTGGGTCGGAAGGGGCGGCGCCGTGTCCGCGGCCAAGTCGATGAGCAAGATCGAAGGCACGGCGCATCGAGGGGTCTTGAAGAGAGTCACGACACGCACGGCGTTGGGGTCGTAGCCTGTCTACACGAACCATAAGATGGAAAGAGGATATGGAAGGAGAATGACCTACTGCATGGTAATAGTCGGCGGTCTGGTGCTCCAAATGACAGCGTTCCGCGAGGCGATGCACGATCAGGCGATGGTACGACGACAGAGACGGCAGCACGAGTTCGTGCTCGCTACGTGGGAAGGGTTAACGAGGAAGCGCAGACTGTGTGGGAGATATCGAGGACATACCGCGGATTTTTTAGAAAGGTCACGATTTGATCTTCGAATTGAAGCAGGGTGAGCCGTTCGCGCGAGTTCTCGAGCGCGGCCACCAGAACGGGGTCCAATGGAGACAGCAAGGACACAGCAGTCGCTGTTGCACGACTCACGGGGCTGGACACAGACGACGACGCAGATGTAAGAGGAGGGTGTTGGTGCCCGTCCACTGAAAGCGGCGATGGTGCCTTCTGCGGCGTGCTTGGCGGTCCCCATGGCCCCGAGGCATGCGCTGCTAACGGTGGATCTTGCGCATCCACATGCATCTCGGACAACTTCCTAGACATCTCCACCTCGGCGTGGTCCCAATCTTCGTCTTCAATGGGGACGCCCTTGGACGACATGTTGGCGCCTCGCGGGAGGTTTAACAGACTTGTGAATTGTATGGTGATTATCCGGAATTCAGATAGCATCCCCCCATCGATTGGCTGGTGGAATCTACATCCGGATACAGTCGCATGCGGTCGTCATCGAGAATGGGCAATGCAAGTGGTAGGAGGTGCCGCGGCCTCATGCCGTAGGACATGATTGAGATGGAACAGCATAGCTCCTTGATGATAGAGAACGACATATCTATATGCACGCGAGCCTCGTCCCCGGGCTCGTCTATTGACATTCAATAAGGAAATCAAGCGTGTTAAAGTAGTGCGAGCAGGTGCATTTCGCCAGGAAAGGGAGCAGGCTGCTGATGTTTCTAGACAAGTCGAACGAGGGAGCTCGCGGGAGACGCCGGAACAACATACTGCGCATTCATGGGAGCATACATAGTGCTGGATGATTCCTATATATGGCGAAACGAGGGGCGTGCGGACACCTCCATTGGGCTGCCAGCGGTGGTCGAGGAACAGATATCATGTGCAGCGGTGGTTTTCGGCCAATCACGTTGTGGTATTTCATCCGGATAGGCCGGATAACTTGAGAACTGGGGATGCTGGCGCAGTTTTGGCATTTGCCGGCGACGAGAGGATGGCGGACAAGCCCTTGCGAGGTAGGAGCATGCGGAGGGGCTCTGAGCATGTGGAGATGCGTGCAGGGGTCGTTTGTTTCGATGGGTCTCATGGAACCGGTCCTGTAGAGTCTCAGCATGGGAAGAAACGCCGCGCGGAAGCCTTGGAACTAGAAAAAGAAGCCGAGGAGTGGACGGCACCGACGGCATCTGGGTCCGCAGGAGGTGTGCGCAAGATCCGACTAGGAAAACGATTCCAAGCAGTTCTCCCTGCGCTTCAGACGAGTACCACCGCCAATCCTTCGTCCACGACACCCCCTGACGTCCGCGTGAACCTTCCACGTCGAATCTTCTCTGCTCAAGCTCTCCAGGGTACGTCCTTTCCTACCCTTTCGTCCATTTTTCCTCATCACGTCATCAGAATCGGTCAATTCCTCCGACGTCACCGCTTTTCTCCAATTCGCATCGACGTTAAGTCCAGGGTATGTTCATGCCACGCCCCACGCGACGACTGCAAACGCGTTACACATTCTGCACCAACACAACTGGAACGTCTCGTCTGCATCCTGCCATCTTCTAGCGTCACATGCGTACGCGCCGCCGCCATCCTCGTCGCCCGTCGACAACGAAGACCACCCCAAGCTGAAAAAACAGCACGTTCCTGTCAAGCACCAGCAATGGCTCGTGTCCTTTTACCTTGCGTTTGCCACACCAGTGTTCACTGAGACGTCGCTAGAGTCCCTTCGGACACTCCATCGCACGTGTCCGCTCGCTGACCATGCCGCGGAAGCCACTGCCCTTCGCGCGTTTTTAAGTCGTGTCGACGCGTGGGTCGCTGCCGCCGAGGAAGCTACTACCACCCCCAACACCGACGAAACCCAGCCCACCCCGTCCCGCAAATCGTCAAGCAAAAAGCACCCGCCGTCCGGCCTGTCAACCAGCCCCGCCGATTTGCATGCGCTGCTGCACACCGCGACGGCCCTGCGATGTCACGACCTTCCGGTCGCCCACGCCATGACCAGTCGACTGAACGCCTTTGAACTCGCCAAGACGCGCCTCCTTGATGCCCTCGACTCGTCCGTTCGGCCCAGTAGCGTCAAATCGTCGACTAGTACTACTAGTACATTGACCATCCACGGCCCCCCCAAAAAGGCGGGTTCTAGTACGAGTAGTAGTACTAGTACTAGTACTACTACTATCGACCAACTCAAAGCGCTGTGCGCCGAGGTGACGTCGTTTGGGCTGGCGTTTGCAGAAGCGTCTGCGGTGGCCCATGTGATTGCGGCTGCCGACGCCGTTCGAGGCGAGATTCAAGCGCTGCTGGGTCAAGACAAGGTGAGCGTCCCTGCGATCCGTCTCGTGCTGGCCAAGGTGGCCGCGCTTCCCGTCGATTTGAGCGATGACGTGGCACCACTCAAGGTCAAAATGACGTCGGCGCAGAAATGGCTCGAGCGCGCACGGAAGTGCATGCCTCCGACCAAACGTTTCAGCTCTCGGATCACAGACACCCCCCATGGAGCTAGTACTACGAGTAGTAGTAACCCCCGCGCCAAGATGCACCTAGACGCGGTCCACGAACTGGTGCAGTGCGCGCCAGTGGACGACCAATCGAGTGAAATGCAGGAGATGGAGGACCTGCTGGCGTACGCAGATGCGTGGGGAGCGCGCGTCGACGCCGCGATGACGGTGGACGAGGACCTTCCAATCGACATGCTGCGTGAGCTGCTGGAAGAAGGTCAAGACATGCCGGTCGTGATGGAGCGCACGACGGCCCTCGAAGCTTGGATTGATGCGCGAGAGTGGGAGGCGACGGCTCTGGCTGCCACCAAGGAGGACGACAGGAGGGGAAAGAGGACGGCGGACGGGTGTTCGCTGGACGAGTTGCATGCGTTGCTGGATGACGCCAAGGAGATCCGCGGCAGGCTCAAGCACCAGACGTGGCGTCCTCGCATCGAAGCGACGATTCAATCGAGTGTGACGACGGCCGAAGCCTGGATTGGTCAGACCCAGCAGCTTCTCGGGATGCCCGCGTGGTCCAAGATGTTTGCCGGCAACAACGTTCGAGGGGGGCGGGGACCAGATCGACGGACGAAGGGGGTCAGTGCGGGGGTGCCCTCCGCAGATACAGCCACGACGACGACGTCTACCAAGCGATCACTGGCAGAATTAAAAGCACTCGTGGCCCAACTGCAACCCCCCGAGCATGCGAACACGTCGACGGACCTGGAACACCTCGACGGCAGTGGTGGGGAGGACGACCGACGACCTGTGAGAGAGGCAGGGGACGGCGACGCGACGGACAACGGAAAGACTACGTGTGTGGTGGACCTGTCCGAGTTTGTGTCCCCCCTCAAGGCGCTGATCAGCCGCGGCGACGAGCTGATGGCGACCTGCTCGGCGTTGGATGTGACTGCCGCCACTGCCTACGACACGGCACGAGGCCTCGTGGAGGCAATGGACGCGTTCCCGTGTCACCTCGAAGGCCACGCGTTGCGGGAGAAGGTCGCAGTTGCCACCACGTGGCGGGCAGCCGTCCTCGCTGTGTGTGAAACCGACCGGACCAAGCACACGGGTGGTAACCATGCCTCTCCAACGCCCTACGCAAGTCGTCGCGTGATTAAAAAGTCGTCGTTGTACGAGACTAGTACTACTAGTACTAGTACTACTAGTCCTGCCCCAGCGCCACCTTTGACGTCGCGTCCGAGTACAACATTGGACGATTTGCGGGCACTGGAAGCCACGACGCTGGCGTTTCCATTTCCAGACGAACGAGCGCGGATCCGCGACGAGATTGCTGCCGTCGTTGCTTGGCAAGCTCAAGTCCGAGACGCCCTCCACAGCGACGTGGCGACGACGGCATTGGCAGCGTGTCGGCAGTTGGAGGCGCTCGACGGCGCTCGGTGCCGCCCGCGAGACGACGCATCACGTGACACGGCGACGACGGACCGTTACCACGACGAAGACGTGCACGTTGCAATGGCGCAAGTGCTGGTCACGGCGCCGCCACCGGACAAGACGGCTGTCGACGAGGATACAACCAAGATGGGTGCTGCCGACGACGATTCCAAGGCGGCGACTGTAGCATTGGGTGATGCGCTGGTGAATGTGATTCAAGTGATCTCTGGCTGCCGCACCAAACAGGCTGACCAAAACAACAGTGACACGAGGAGTAGTGCGATGATGGTGGCAGTGGAGTGGTCGCCGATGCTGAGCCAGATCGACCGCAGCCTCGCGTACATTGCGTCATTGGACGCCAAGGCCAAACAAGAAGACGACGACCACGACCATCCATCTGCCGCGGCGACCGCCGACGCGCACAAGCAGACTTTAGAAGCGGTGGCGGCGTGGAAAGCGCAGTTGGAATCCCTCTTGTCCTCGTCGAATGCGATCGTGTCGACGTTCGAAGCGACGGCGGTCACGTGGCTACTCCACGCGCTCGAGTGGTTGGTGGCGACTCGGTCGTACGACGAAGACGACGACAGTGAGGACACTGCGACGTCAGTCATTGCCCGAGGCAACCACCTGCGCTCGACCTGCCCCACTTCTGGGGCCGTGGAAGGATTCAACCATGACGACATGATGCATGAATGGCGGCAAGCAACGCTGTGGCCGCTGCACCATCTCGAAGCCCAGCGAGCCGCGACGGCGGCGTGGGAGGCCTCGCTCGAGGCCCAAATGAGTACGCGCACGTTGACTCTGGGCCACATCGACGCAGTCCTTTCCGAAGCCGACGCCGTGCAGGCCGACGACCGACCGGTGTGGGTGGAGCTGAGAAAGGTCAAGACGTGGCTGGTGAAAGCGAAGAAGGTGCTCAAAGCCAAACAAACGGCCAAGCTGCCGTTGCACACGCTGGGCAGTTTGGTGGACGAGGGTGGCAAGCTCAAGATCCGGACGGGGGTGTGGGCCGCGCTCGAGGCCGAGCACGACGCGGCGGCGCAGTGGGAAGCCAAGCTCAAGGCGTCGGGGCTGGACGTCGGCCAAGCAAAGATTGCCACGCTGGTGCAACTGCTCGCAGAGTTTGACGCTCGCAAGTTTGTCGTCGACATGGACATGCACCGGGACGTGCTCGTGTCCGCGACCGAGCAGTACTGCATCTGCCGACAGCCGTACGACGGGTTCATGCTCGGCTGCGACCTCTGCGACGACTGGTTCCACGACACGTGCGTAGGCATCTCCAAGGAAAAGGCTGAAAAGGTCGCCGACTACGTGTGCCCGTCGTGCGGGCTGCTCGTCGAGTTGAAACGGCTCGTGAGTGTCGCGGACGAGACAGCAACGACGTCCGAGTTGCTCGCGAACGAATCGACACACGGACACGACAAGGCGCTCAGTGTGGCGCTGCGCAAAGTGAAAAAGGAGGAACGCGATGTGGACAAGTCGACGGTGGCGCTGGTGGAACTGCACGCCCAAGTCACGGCCCTCGGTCAACATGTGGCGTACTTGGAGAAGATGCTCCATGACAACAACACGGTCGCGGACAAGGGCCAGCCGTCCAACGGAAGTGGTGCGCTGCCCAGTCTGCTGCAACACAACCATCTCCACCACCACCACCCCCCTCCGACTTCTGCACCCCCCACCCCCCATGCGTCCATGCATCCGCTCTTCAAGGGGTACCCGCCGCCGTCGCTCCTGCGCACCCTCCCACCGTTTCCATCGTCGTCGTCGCCGTCGCAACCTCTCCAGACCTTGCAAGTTCCGTCGCAGCATTTTTTGCAACCGATGCCACCACATCAGCAGCAGACTGCCAGTCCTTCCCACCATCACCACACCCACCAGCACCATGGTGGCGGACTCACGCTACCGCCGCTGCCGTCGTCCATGAATGCATCAACGGCTTCCCCGCTGCACTTGCTCTTGGCCAAACCTACATCGTCGATGCAGGCATCGCCAGCAGCACCATCATCGCAGGCTGGTTCAGAGGAGACCACGGCAGCAGCACCTGGTCCAACGAATAGTGCTGCGACGCCCGCTTCCTCGTACTCCACCGTGTCGTCGCAAGAGATTGAGCTCACGCGATTCAAAATGGAACATTACAAACTCAAGCAAATGGCCGTGGAGGCCGAGGCCGCGTTGACTCAGTCCAAGGACCGGCTGCGGCTGGCGCGGGCGGCGGTCGACAGTCTGGTCACGACGCGCGACGTGTGGCGACCGAAAGCCCAGCATTGGTGGCAGCAGGTGCAGTTTGTGCTGGCGCAGTTGGTCGTGGACAAGAAAGCGTTCGACCTGCGACTGTTGGCGCAGTGGGCGGCCGAGTGCGAAGCGTTCTGCGACGCGTTCCCGGCCGTGCTCGCGATGAAGAAGGTGCTGCATGCGATTCCGTGGACAATCGACGTGTTCACGCTGCTGCATGGCACACCCAAGCCCGCGTACGAGGCGCTCGAGGCGGTGCTGGCCCAGACGAATCAAGTGCACGAGCCCAAGGTGCTGCTGCCGCTGCGAGGGGTGCTCCAGCGCACGGACCAGTGGAAGGCGCGGACGCAAAAGAGCGTGGTCAAACTGCTGGCGGCCAAAAAGGTCGAGACCGCCAAGATCCAACATGTATTGAACGAGTACCTAAAGATGCCTGTTACGTGTGCATGGGGACGCAAGCTGGAAGCGCTCGTGGTCGAGCTCGAGACGCGGGACCCCGTGTTCCCGCCGCCGACCATCGATGTGACGCCGCCGCCGTCGCCGCGATTGTCACTAGCAACGGCGCCGTCGGATGCAACCGCGACGTTGAAGCGCAAGCCGAGCAAGAGTAGTACTGGTGGGTCGGCAAGAAAGAGGTCGAAAGGGGCAGATGGGGACGTGGCCAAGAAGGCCAAGGCCTCCAACAGCAGGGCCCGGACGGTGACTTCCATGACCGGACCGGACGTAGTGTAATATATGGACGTGCTAGGAGTATCTGTGTTGCAATAAAGTTATGAGGGAAGGAAGGACGTGGAGTGTGATTGGCCACGATCGCCAAAACGGTTTCAGATTCGGCCAATCAAATGTCACGCACGTTTTGCAGCCGAGCCGCCGCGATGATTGATGACACATGTGATGTAGAAGAGATGCTTTACAGTGTGGTGTCATGTACATGGAGTATGGGAGGACAGATGATGTCATTAACGCTTGTGTGGTGCCAGAAGAAGTGTCATGCTGAGTGACTATAATTAGAGCGCCGTTTCATTCAAGTGAAACTCCCTGTGTTCCAAGACGTGACTCTTCCCTCATCGACCGACACTTGAGCCATGCAAGGCGGCTTCGAATATGCCTCCCAGCCGAGGTCGGTGGCCGTGAAGCGGTCCAAGTACCGCGAACCCACCGCTCCGTACGTCGTCACCATGTCCCAGTCGCCAGAACTACGTCTGATGGTTGTATTTGCTACGTCTGTCCTCATGTAGAGCTTCGAACAACGACAAGGGACAGAACCTCATGTACGATCGCCGCATTGTTCGAGGTAGTACCTACGCCAAGCCGGTCGTCCTCGAGGTACCCCATTGGATTGTTCTACTGCCGTCTAGCCTGACATGTTGCCCAGGACACAGCTGCGACGTCCCCCGCACGTCCGTCGCGGCTGCCCAAGAAGGTTCAAGAAGTGGACAGTCTGGCCAGTTCGACTCGACCGCTCACTCCACCGCCGATGGATGGTCGACAGCACATGGACATCCAAACGGAGAACTACTTGGAGGAACTGACAGACAAAGTCCCTGAAGCGGACGTCGAGACGCAGACGGAAGCCTTTATGGACCAGTTGCCGGTACCTCTGTTTGTGCCGCAAAAGAGGGGCGTCGACGCGAGCACGCAGATCGATCATGGCGACTTGTTCGATTTTGACCTGGAAGTAGCACCGATCTTGGAAGTGCTTGTGGGCAAAACGCTGGAAGTGAGTGTGATGGAGGTGCTCGAAGAAGAGGAGGTCAAGGAGCTGCGCACCCGACAAGACATATTTGAGCAAGCGCGCAACGCCGAACTGGCTGAAGTCCAGCGGCTCGAGGCAGAGGCGAAGCGGAAGCAGGAGGAGAAGACGCGGCGACTGGAAGAGGAGAAGGCGCGGGTGGTGGCGCAGGCCGAATTGCAGGAGAAGCTGGCGGCACGGTCGTTCGCCAAGCATTACCTGGCAGACTTGCACACGGCGGTGTTCTCGACACTCGTCACGACCGGCCACTTCCAGGACCCCATGGAGAAGGAAGTCACGGAAGCGTTCATGCCGTACTTGATTCAACGGGCATGTGTGAACGTCGAGCAAATCGCGTTCTCCCGCGCACTTGCCGAAGTGTTGGTCGACGAAGCGATCCACAAGACGTCGTCGTCATTCGATCCCGTTAGAGTAGTCAACAGTTCGCCAACGTCGTCCGTGTAGTAGTAGTATTAATCACAGATTCATGCATGTATATATTACATATCGTGTGTCCTCTCCATGTCCGTGGCGGCAGCGGTGGTCCAAGTGTCAGCATAAACTTCCGTGGGCGTTGAAACCGTCGACATCCACGAGTGGCCAATGGCCTTGCAGATCAAAGCGTATCCACCAATCCCCGATCACCTGGATCGAATAGATCGTTTTGATTGGCTAGAATGCGAGCTTGAGTCTCGTGCTATTTTTAGGCAACGGATTTCCATATAGCTCCATGTTTCGACATTCAAGAAACCCCCCGCTTGCGATCACATCTCCAGCATGTTCAAGGCGAACGATCAAGGCGAAGATGATAGTGTCATCGACAGCATCCCCGAGACCCGTGACGATAGGCAAGACAAACTGCGCAAGGCGTTCGCCGAAGGTCTCGGCACGATGATCCTCGTTCTGATCGGGGACGGCGTCGTCGCGCAGACCGTGATCTCGCAGCAAATGGAACTTCGCAACGCCAAGCTCACGTCCAATCCGATGGACGTGACGGCGTTTGCCGGTGACTGGATGTCCATCTCGCTCGGGTTCGGCATTGCATTGATGCTGGGGATTTACGTGTCCGGCGGCGTCAGCGGCGGCCACCTCAACCCCGCCGTGTCCATCACCATGGCCGTGTTCAAGAAGCTCGAATGGTCCTACCTTCCGTACTACATTGGAGGCCAAACCGCCGGCGCGTTCCTAGGCGCGGTGTTCGTGTATCTGGGGTACCGTCCGGCGTTCGTGGACCTCAACATCTGGGACCAAACCACTGCCGGCATCTTCGCAACCTACCCCAAGTCCCACATGACGCTCGTGGAAGGCTTCATCGACGAAATCGTCGGTTCGTTCCTCTTGCTCCTCGGGATCTTTGCGATCACCGACAAGCGCAACAACCCCGCCGACCCCGGCAGCCGCCCCGCCATCATCGGCATGCTCCTCGCGGGGATTGCCATGTCCTTTGGGTACAACACCGGCTTTGCGCTCAATCCCGCGCGCGACTTTGGCCCGCGCCTGTTCACGCTCATGGCTGGGTGGGGCGGCAACGTGTTTGTGTACGGCAATGGATACTTTTGGGTACCGATCTTCGCCCCCGTTTTTGGCGGCCTCGCCGGTGCGTTCGTGTACACGTACTGCATCGAGCGATTCCATCCGCAATACGTTCCGGGCAACCGACCTAGCTCCTCCACCATCGACGAAGACATGGCGTAGTAGAAGCACCTGAAAAGAGTCTTTGCAATATACTTACACATCACATTCAGTTATGCCTTCTACATGTTCAAGTTGTGATGCGCTCTGGCAACTGTCTTCACTGGGAGCAGTACCTATCCTCCTCCAAGTGCTTGTGAAGGTGTGGCGGGGAGGCTCTGTAGGTAGATAGAGTCATCATGTGTACTTGATGCGTGCTGTCACGTGGAGCTATCTCTGGCACGTTCACCCACGTGTCGCCATCATGTGGTCATCCCAAAGGATATCCCCAGCAGATCTTGAATCTAATTGTATCTTTTCGAAGGATTGTTACAGTCAATGATTGGTGGGTTTTTCTGGAAAGCTCCAATTTCAGCCAATCATAGTTCGTTTCAGCGAACAGTCGCCAACCACCCGGCGCTTCTCCACCGCACATGGGGTGTTCACTTTTGAATCGTCGTCGACCATCTACATGTTCGGTGCGTCCACATGCCGCCGTAGTCTCCCATCTGTATACCTCATGCATGTCGATGTGTGTAGCTAAGGCCCTTCGCAGCAACGTCCACGTCGTCGCCGGCGTCGGTGCGTTCACCCTCGGCATCGCCGGAGGTCTCAACCGCCCCGCGACGGAATCCTCGTCGACGCACTCGGCGCTGAACGAAATCGCGCTACGTTTGCGTGCGATCGAGCAAGACTTGGGCCTCAAATCCCCCAACGAAGGCAAGCCCGAGTACAACAACTACCCCGTGCTCACACCCAAGCACAAGTCGCTCATGGCCAAGCACATCACGCCCGAGATCTACACCAAGCTGGCGGGCCGCAAGACGTCGCTCGGATACACGCTGGACCAAGCGATCCAAACGGGGGTGGACACGCCACACCTGGGCGTGGGGATCGTCGCGGGGGACGAGGACTCGTTTACCGTGTTCAAGGAGCTCATGGACCCGATCATCGAAGGGTGGCACGGGTACAAGCCCGAGGACAAGCACCACTCGGACTTGGACTACACCAAGATTAAGAACGGCGACATTCCCGCGTCGTACGTCGAGAGCACGCGCATCCGGGCGGGTCGCAGCGTCCGCGGCCTCGCGCTCCCACCGGGCACGTCGCGCGGCGAGCGGCGCGAAGTCGAGCGCGTGCTGTCCAAGGCGCTAAGCAACCTCACGAGCGACCTCCGCGGCAAGTACTACCCGTTGTCCAAGATGACCAAGCAGGAGGAACAGCAGCTGATCGACGACCACTTCCTGTTCCAAAAGCCCGGAGGCGGCACGTTGCTCACGAACGCCGGCGCGGCGCGCGACTGGCCCGACGGCCGCGGCATCTTCCACAACGACGCCAAGTCGTTCCTGGTGTGGGTCAACGAAGAAGACCACATGCGCGTCATCTCGATGGAGAACACGGGCAACGTCAAGTCCGTGTTCGAGCGCTTTGTGCGCGGCGTAAACGGCGTGGAGAAGGTCGTCAAGGCCGAAGGGCGCGAGTACATGTACGACGACCACCTGGGCTTCCTCTGCACGTGTCCGTCCAACCTCGGGACGGGTCTCCGCGCCAGCGTCATGATCAAGTTCCCCAAACTGTCGGAAAACTCGGACCAGTTCTACGCACTCTGCGACGTGCTCGGACTCCAAGCGCGCGGTTCCAAGGTATGTACCTTATATTGTACGACGTAGGTACATAGTGGCCATTTGGAAGGTGATGACGGTGGCCATTTGGCATAACGTTAGGGCGAACACTCGCCGCCGGGCCCCGGCGGGGTCTATGACGTGTCCAACAAGGCACGTATCGGGTTTTCCGAAGTCGAGTTGGTGCAGACCATGATCGACGGCGTGTGGAAGCTCATCGAGCTCGAAGAAGACCTGAAGAAGGGCTTGAGCATCGCCGACAAGGTCGCCAAGCTCGGTGTCAAGGCGGGCGGCGCCAAAGGGGGACACTAAGTGGCCCATCTGGAAGCTTTCGTGGCCATCTGGGAGAGCCTTCGTGGCCATCGGAAGAGTCGAGAGAGGATGCATGCATAACTAGGACTGTAAATGAAGTTCAACCATTTCGTATGGCTTGATGCAATGTCGATTTGATACAAAGGGTGCAATCGAATCGCGCCGACCAAACCGATCTGATTGGTTGAATTTCATTGACATGGTTTTGATTGGCTAATAATGTTGAGCTCATCTGAAATAGCCAATCAAATCAATTTAAATTCCAACGAGAAACCACAACACGAAATATTTCACTTGAAAGCACAATATAATATATATGTATGATCTAAGTGTGCTTGATATATTGACGTTATCATTGAAAGAGATCGCGGAACCCTCGTTGCTGGTCGGGGGTGAGGGTGTCGGGGAAGACAACGTTGAATTTGATGTGGAGGTTGCCTACAATCCAGCATGGCATCGTTGGGACAAATGGGGAAAAAGTCCCAATTTACATACCTCGTTCCGACGCCATTTGATGACGTGGCATGCCTTCGTGAGCCAACGTGACCACTTGGCTGGGCTCGGTGATCTCGTTCAACCGACGCACGTCCACCGTGCGACCGTCCAAATGCACAAACGATTTGGAAAATCCCACCAAAGCCTATTCCATGAGTAGTTTCGTTGGGAAAAGTCCCCAAAGCACACACACGACGGGGAATTTTCCTCATGTGGACGTACTTCGCGTAGGGAAATGGACATGTCCATGTACAGGTCGTCGCCGTCGCGGGAAAAGAACTCGTGGCCGACCGTGGTGATGCGGAAGCGGAGGTGGCCGGCCGCGCGGTCCGCATGTTCGTCGGCGGCGTGTTCGAACTCGATTTCGTGGCCATCTGGCGTGCCCTTCTCGATGTCCAGGTCCAGTTCGACGTCGGCGAACACCGTCTTATCGCCGCCACACACTGGACATGTGCTCGTGACGATCTTACCTTTCCCTCCGCACTTGTTGCATTGGGTTTGAAACTGCTGGATGAAGCCAGGACCGACGCGGCGCGTTTCGAGCTGGACGACGTGATAAGAGTGAGAGATACGAGATGGGTAGATGAAGATGGACCTTGACGCCGTGTCCGCCGCATTCGTGACACGTCTGGATGTCGTCCGAGTTGGCGGCGCCGTGGCCGTGGCAGTGATGGCACACCGTCTTGCGCCGCACGGTGAACGGCACGTTCTTCCCATTGTACAGGTCGGCAAGGGACACGCGCAAGGGGATCGTAACGTCGTTGCCCCGCGACGGTTCCTGCGGATGGCGCTGCCGCCCGCCGCCAAAGAATTGCGAGAACACGTCGAACGGATCGTGGCCGCCACCTCCACCGCCGTTCTCCTTGAGTCCGTCTTCTCCGTACGTGTCATACTTCTTTCGCTTCGTTTCGTCCGACAAGACCTCGTATGCTGTTGCATCATTGTGACGGTGAGTGAGGTGGGGATGTTGGACGACTTATTTACCGCTGGCGACTTCGGCAAACTTCTTGGCCGCGTCCTCGTCGCCCGGATTTTTGTCAGGATGCAACTACGCACATGCATGAGAAGGAGGTTATGACAAGAACGTGTGTTGTGGCATGGCGGGTTACCTTGAGCGACAACTTGCGGAAGGCTTTCTTGATCTCTGGAACCGAAGCATCTCGCTTGATACCGAGGACTTCGTAAAGATCCCTTCCACCAACTACGTCGACGATGCACATACACATGACAACAATCATCGCGAGGACGACTTGCCAGGACATCATGTTGCTGGCGGTGACGGCCGTCAAATGCACGATTGCCGCACAAGACGCAGATCTTTTCGATAGGGCAAAATTCGCCTAATTAGGCTTCAATTCACGAAATAAAGACCGAAATTTCTAGAAAAGCCGAATTTCAAGCCCTGCTCCACGTGGCAGGCGTCGATAGCATGACGAGGTGGCATCGAGCGAGAGCAAGGAGAGGCATGCCGGCCGATCCTGCATGAACGAAGCCACCAGGTCGATGAACAGGCATGCATCTAGTACCGGTACATAGTTGTCGAGACCCAAGGTATATATATATATATATGTAGGCCAGTGGAAGGCAGTGTCGGGCGAGTTGGAGTGGGTTCATCCACATATGGACCCATGCAAAGCTGCAGCTGCAGGGAGACATGGATGCACGTGTGTGTTGCTTTGTGCGTGCGTTTCGGCGCATGCATGTATGTTCATGGCCGACGGATACAATAACTTATGCATGAGTTGCTGCCAGGGTCATCCCAGCGGCGGCGAAACCTCCTGGACGAGAGTCATCATTTCAAGAATGCAGTTTTGAATACTAGTATTTGGATAGATTTGGCCAAATAAGGTTGCATTTTGTCGAATTTTGATCCAAAAATTAATGGTTTTGGCCAGATTTGCCAACGCCAAAAAGCGGCGTCTCACGTCCACACCAACAGAGAACGCGGCGACAGCATGAGCATGACGATGAACTTCAAGGCGGTCGCCATGAAGGCACTGCTCGGGCTTGTTGATGATGACAATGACTCGAGCAGCAGTGAAGCCGACAAGAACAAACCAAAGAAGCCGGTCAGTCCCATTCGACGGAGGGCGGCGGTTGCGGCGGCGTCCAAGAGGAAGCCGGTGGACGAGTCTGACGACGACGACGATGTAGGCGACACACGACCTACGAATGACGATTCTGATGAAGAATTCGGCTCGTCCAAGTCTCGACGGTCGAGGAAACGGCCGCGGACATCCTCGTCGACGAGTAGTCACCGCGCCCAGGATAGCTCGAAGAAGAAGCACCCATCCCCCCAAACAGCGGCGTCAACTGCCGCTTCGACCGCCGTAGGCAACGACACGAAAGTTCTCACTAAAGAAGAGCGTCGGGAGAACAAACGCTTACGAGACAATGCAAGCAAGCGGATGAAGCGAGCGGCCGAAAAGGAGCGCTTGGAAAAGGAGCGTCAGGACAAGGCGGCGCGTGAGGTCGAGCACGCCCGCACGAAGCCCGATGCGGACGTGACCTCCGCCACCGAATCACAGGACGACCCATCATCATCCACGCAATCCTCCTCCCGTCGAAGTCATGGACACGATGATGTGAAACAGGACAAGACGACGACACACGACGACACTCGACACAAGAAGCAGCCGCGCGCCGACTCGACCGACACCGCCGACGACGGCCGCCCTCCGTCGAAACCTTCCAACGGACACCTTCCAGGCGAGGAGCGGCGTCGGCACGGAGCATCGAAGCCTCGAAGCAAGGCGCAAGACAAGGAAGGAGGCGACATGCTGGACGAGCGACGGCGTAGACGAGGGGCGCCGGCAGTCCAGGAGGACGCCGCTCCGTCGACGTCACATGGTCCTGCCCCTACTTCTCGTCGTCCGTCCGTGGAGGTGGATGCCCTCTCCGTCATGTTTCCAGTACCCGGGCACGGTGACACGGCTACAGACTTGTCTATCCGACCCCTGTCCACGAGACCCCCCCCCGTCCCGTCTCCCCCCGCCGCCGCCATCGTCAGGACACTCGAGCATCCTCTGGACAAGACACACGAGCCATCGACAGAGGCGGTGGTCGTCCCCGTGGAGAAATCTAACGGGTTGCTGTCCATCCCATCTTCGACCAACGGAGAGACCCTTCAAGCCACGAGCGATTCCATACCCAGGAATCGGCTGCCGGACCCCGCGGCGGCGGCATCCGACACCAACATCCACGTAGACTTTGGGTCCCACCATCCCAAGCATGAACAAGGAGAAGTGTCGGAGGCCAAGCCCAGCAGTGCGGATGATGCTGCCGCCGAAACCAACCCCGTGGGTAGTTCCCGTCCGTCCCCGAGTGTCGCGGTGCCCGACGGTGTACCCCCTGCCGAGGACTTTGTCATTCCTAAAAAGGAAAAGGTGGTGGTGGCAGCAGTACCAGCTGGGATTGTCGACGCGCAGGACGACTTGCCGATTCCACGCCGCGGCAGCACGCCGCCTCCTTCTCGTGTCCGCCGACCGTCCCCGCCGCCAGTGTCGTCGTCGTACCCCCGGCACGCGTCCTCCCACAACTATGGCAGTAGTCGGGGGACGCAGCCATCAACCATCGGACATCAACCCAACGTCGTCACATACACGGCGCCGCCGGCATCGTCCGTGACCTTTCGGGACCTGCTCCACTTTGAATACCCTGTCGCAGACATCAAGTTTCACCAAAAAGTCACCCAGGTACCCAACCAACCAATATATGATTATATATATATCCGTGTAATGTCGTCGGTAGTACGGATCCATCGCGCGGTGCCTGCCGCCGACGTTCACATCGTCGTCGGCGCGGTCCCAGCGCCCGCCGACCAAGTACGGGGTCCTGCTGCCTCCATCTTCATCCTCCTCTGCTCCGTCCGTGTACGAAGAGCCGAGAGCGTTTGGCCGGGGCAAAGGCTCGCACCGGACGCTGGGCGACGGACCCGCGTTCTTCGGCATCGACGCGATGTGTCCGGCGGCGCTGCGTCCGGATCGAGCGGCACATGCCCGGCAGGTCGCTGTCGAAGCCGACGTGGCCGACACCGTACTCAACACAATCAGGCCGTGGACGCGGTCGTGGGTGCAGCGGCACCTCTACAGCACGACGTTCCAGCCGCTGTCGGCGCGGCACCGCATCACAGTCCTCTTCCGCCACATGCGATATACCCACCCCAGCGGCGGCATCATGTTCAACACCACCGGCGTGTGCCACGCGTACGCCAAGACGCTGGCCGTCCGGTTTGCCGTCGGACCCGACAGAGACTCGCCGGGTATCGACATCCCCCCCGACTCGTGGAAGGTCCTCCAGAAGTCCCGGTCGTCGTTCGTGTACGCCAAGTACTACTCGATGGAGGACGCGCAGATGGCCGTGGATACGCACGTCGACGACGATGGCCGTCCGGGTGTGATCGTCCAGGACGCGTACTTTGTCCTCCCCCCGTCCCCCCCTCTTCCGCCGCCACCGACGACGACGACGGACGGACAGCACGAGCCTCGACGGAGGGAGGTGAGCCCCCCACGGGTACCAGAGACCCGTGGGTTGCCCATCTCGTCAAACACGCCGCCGTTACAACTTCAGCCTCCGCTGCCTCCTCCCGACGACGAGGCGCGGCGACGGATGGCATTGGTACATCCCCCGCTGCCGCCCTCGGACGACGAGACGCGGCGACGGATGGCCTTGGTACATCCCCCGCTGCCGCCTCCGGACGACGAGACGCGGCGACGGATGGCATTGGTACATCCCCCGCTGCCGCCCTCGGACGACGAGACGCGGCGACGGATGGCCTTGGTACATCCCCCGCTGCCTCCCCCGGACGACGACTGGCAAAGCCGGATGGGTGCTTCTCGGTGGAGCGACTCGACGAGGAATGAGCCGACGACGACGGGGTGGGGGGGGGACAGTGCCCCTGCCTCTCGACACGAGCCGACGACAGCCCCGCCCCCCCTGCCTAAGGACACCCAGCGCCCGCCGCCGCCTCCTCCTTCTTCTTCGTCCTCTACTTTGCCTCAGCACTACAGCCGCCACGACGGCGACGGAAGTGGAAAGAAGGAGGAGGACGCGGTCAAGAGTCAAGACGATTACCGTCGGAACCGCCGAGAGAGCATGGAAGAAGGCGAAGTGGCGGCGCCAACAAGGGAACCCCAACAGGTCCTGCCCAGCACACGGGAACACGACGACGCGTCGGACGGTGCGGGCGTAGGGGACGCGTCGTCGTCGTCGGCACCTCCCCCCGCGGCGGCGGCAGAAGCCACGGCGCGAGAGCAAGACCGGCCCCTCCCTCCCATCTCGTCCGCCGACGGAGGACGCTATCGGTCGAGGGGCCGACGCACGACGTCGCCTCCTCCTCTTCCTCGGAGCAGCACCACAACTGGTCTCGACCAGCCCACCAAGACGCGCCACGTGTCGCCGGACCGCCGCCGGTCGAGTTGGTCGTCGGAGCGGTCGGCCAACTCGACTCGACCTGCCAAGGACTCTCGACAGCCCCGCCGGAGCGCCGAACGGGGGCGCCGGTCCCCCGACCCTCGACGTCCTCGGCGCAGTCGAAGTCGCGACCGCCCCCCCCGCGTGGTGATGGTGACGTGCCCGGGCATGAAGCGGGACGACGGCCTCGTGCGCGCCTTCTTCCGCGACTGCGGACAAGTGGACAACGTCGAGTGGCGAAGCGGCCCCCCCGACTACGCGTACGTGACGTTCCACACAGCGACTTCCGCCGCCGCCGCCCTGCGGCACAAGGACCGAGCGCTGCTGGGGGCGACCCCCGCCCGCGTGGAGCTGCCCCGTCGACTCAGCACACCCCATGCATTCAGTACGCATAGGTGAAGGAGGACTGTAACCTAACACACAACCTTGTACTTACTACACACATTCTTCATTATTAGGTATTATCCTTTAACCCAAAATTGGACGTTTGTGCTGATTCGCCAAATCTATCGATCGATTGTTTGTACTAGTATTGACTTTTATAAGCAAAAAACGTCCAGTATCACACTATAAATCCTCAGGAGTTTTACTATTAAACGCCTCGGTTCTTTCAGTTAAACCCCCGAAAATATTTGATGTTAAATCATTATTAGTTACGTGTTTTACCTGGTCATTAGGTTAAACGTTACAATGGAAACGTGTGTACGGATAAGAGCGGAATACAAAGACCAAGATATACTTGATGCATATTTTCGGCCAAACTGTCCATATATTTCCATACAAAAAGGCCGGTTGGTTTAAATTCTATTACTCGACCAATTTTTCACCAATCGAAAATCTGAACTGTAACTTCTGTTGGGCTTGTCCACTTCTATCGTTGTTACAGCTTATATTCCTAAAACAGATCAATACAAAGTTGGAATAGCTGTCGAAAGGCAAGGCATTTTTTCCACCATAGTTTAGTGTTAATGGTCAGTCGAACAAAATATAGAGCCACTATAATAGCAAAAACGAATATCGTGAATTAATTGGTTGGATGTTGTGAATGGTGAGGTATTTTTCGAGCGATTGGGGACGGTCGCCATCTCCGATTGGTTGAAATGCAAGTTGAAGTTGTTCCAGAAAGTACATTTAGTACTTAATCGAAGGACGTTGGGTTGACGTCAACGGGAAGACGTACGTTTCCGAATGGTCCGTGTACTTTAGCAAACGACTTGGGCAATCTTCGGCCGTTTCTGTATTTGGTCCACACAGCATCATCATGCCGCCTCCAATGTCTCCACCACCTGGCAGTCCGCGAACCAACAGTCCGCGCGAAGTGACCGTGGTGGTATGCATCAACGTCCTGCCCCTTGTGTTCACGCGCGCGTCGCTGACGGAATCGTGCCCATGGCACGTCGAATGGAGCACGAGCTCGTACGGCCTATTCCTCCGCAACATTGTGTCTGGGCAGCGGTTCAAGCCCATGTTCATCGGGTGTCCCGAGGTGTTTATCCCGAAGCAGGACGAGCAGTCGGTACGTCTGCTGCTCCTGCACTCGTTCAACTGCATCCCCGTGTTCCTCGACACGACCGTCGCGCACCGCCACTTTCAAGGGTTCTGCAAGGGCGTGCTGTGGCCCATCTTCCACAACGTCGTCGACGTGTACAACTCGGCCGAGCTCAAGCTCGACGACTTTGACACAACCTCGTCCTCATCGTCAACCCTCGCGTCGTCCCCACCGCCCGACCCCGGCGTGTGGCTGCCGCCGGCGTCTTGGAACCCCGCGTCCCAGGACAAGTGCTGGTCCGAATACTGCCACGTGAACCGCTTGTTTGCGAAAAAGGTGCTCGAAAACTGGCAGCCCGGCAGCGTGATCTGGATCCACGACTACCCGCTGCTCGTGCTAGCTTCGTATCTCCTTCGAAAACTCCGCGGCGGCGGCGCGCTCGCGCTGTTCATGCACGTACCGTTCCCGTCCTCCGAGATCTTCCGGACTCTCACGGTGCGTACGGAGCTCCTCCGTGCGATGCTGTGCGCCAACCACATCGGTTTCCTTGTCTTCGAGCATGCGCGACACTTTCTAACTGCTTGCAAGCGGCTGCTCGGGCTCAACTACCGGACGTCGCACACGGGCATGCTCGCGGTCGAGTACAACGGCCGGCTGGTGCTAGTCACATGCAGCCACTGCGGCACGGAGCTCCACCACATGCGAGCCCTCCTCGGCAAACTCGACTCGGACCCGCGCGCCGTCGCGCTTCAGGCCACGCTTGCGCCGCTCGTCCACAAGTTCATCTTTGCATCCGTCGATCGGTTAGAGGGGCTCTGCGGCGTTCCGCTCAAGCTGCGCGCCTTCGATCGGTTCCTGCACATGTACCCGCACCGCCGGACGGACACGGTACTTGTCCAGTTCGGCATCTCACTGGACTGCCGACCTAACGACTACCACCGCACACAGCAGTACGTCGAGAAGTTTGTGGCCGAGCTCAACCGGCGGTGGGGCACGCCGACGCATCCCGTGGTCGTGTACGAGGAGCGCGCACACATGCAGGCGCAGGAGCGGATGGCGCTGTGGCATGTCGGCCACGTCTTCCTCGACACGTGCGTCCGCGGGGGGCTGTCGATGCTTCCGTTCGAGTTTTTAGCGGCGCACCACGGCGGCGATCGCCCCGGCGTGCTCGTCGCGTCGGAGTTTGCATGCTACTCGCGCATTTTGAATGGCGCGCTGCTGGTGAACCCGTGGAAGGCGGACGACGTGGTGGCGGCGCTCGTGAAAGCGGTCGAGATGCCGCCGTACGAGATGAAGTCTCGGTTTGCATTGAACTTCAAGTTTCTGCTCGACAACCCCGTGTCCGAGTGGGGGGCGCGGATGCTGGCCGACATTCAAAAGGCGGGGGTGCCGACGACGTCCGTCCCCCCGCCGCCCCATCCGACGACGACCGCGTCCAGAGGCGGCAGCGGCGGCGACTGTGTTGAAGTCGGGTTTGGGTTTGACTACCGCGTGGTGCAGTTTTCCCCCGGGTTTGCCGCGCTGGACGTGGACGACACGGTGAAAAAGTATGCGACAACGTCGCGGCGCCTGCTTGTGTTTGATTACGGCGGCACACTCAGCTGGACACTGTGTCTCATGGACGACGAAGCGTCCATGTACTATTACTACCGGAATCCGGACGATAAGGAGGGATCAGCGACTACGGGTGACGAGATGGACCCGGCGGCGCGGCTCGCGTCGGTCCGCAAGCGCGACGGACAAGTGCGCACCCCCGTGTCGATGGAAACCAAAGCGAGCTTGGAGTTGCTGTGCAACGACCCGTGCAATGTGGTGGTCGTGTGGAGCAACGGGCGCCGCGTCGAGCTCGAGCACGAGTTTGGGTCGATTGCCGGCCTGCACCTTATCTCCGACAGCGGGTACTTTTTGCGCAAGTCCGACTCGGTCGTGTGGGAGTCGCTGTACGCCGACGCACCCGACGACTTTGCATGGAAGCCGCAGGTGGCCAACGTCGTCCGGACGTACGTGGGCCGCACCAATGGCGCGTTTGCGATAGTGAACGAGACGTCTGTAACGTTTGATTACCATAACAGCGACCCCGAGTACGGAGAGATGCAAGCGGCCGAGTTGTACGAGCACTTGAGCCAGTTGCTCAAGGTGAGAGCGACTAGTACTATTCGATTTTTTACCCCATATATTTATTTGGCTGACATGGTTTGTCGAATATCAATATCGAATCACGCTGGAGTTTTGATTGGTTGAATATACTCGTCCTTTCGAGCCAATCAAATATATCCACTTCAAAATGGATTAGCCAATAGCGTCGATGATTCGATTCGTGATTCGACGGGGTCTGGAAATTCGTATCGAATAAGCCACGATACTTGTAATTGTCTTTCTTTTACCCAATATTTGGCTGACTTTTGTACTGATTTATCTATCGATTGTTTGTCCTGACGTTTGTATGTCAAGTTCTTCGCGTATCACACTAATTTCAATCGCACACTAATTCGATCTTGTATTGGTCCAATTTGATTGGCCAGTCGATTCGTGTTGTGGTTTTTGATTGGTCGATGTATCGATTGACTTTTTTGTAAGAGTGTTTGGATTTTGATTGGCTACTTGATTTTTGATTGGTCAATCGATTGTCTGCCTGTACATGGTTTGGATGTAAACCTATTTTTATAATCGACTGCTTTTGATAATATTATGATCCTCGTCGGTCGGTCGAGTGTGTAGAAGGACAAGGTGGCGATCGCTAGGGGCAAGGGGTTTGTGGAGGTGCATCGGTTCGGAGTGAACAAGGCGATTGCGATTTCGATGGTGCTGACGTTCTGCAAGGACAAGGCGGGCGCGTCGCCCGATATGATTCTATGCGTGGGGGACGACGAGTCGGACGAACCTGCGTTCAAAAGTAAGTGATATATATATATATAGGCGGAAAATGATATATATGTGGGCAAAGTGATATATATCATGTGTTTGTCAAAAGTGATTTGTGAGAGTGTATGTGTTGGGCACGTGATCCGAAAGGAGTGGGACGAGTCGGACACGAGAAAGGGATATATATACTTGTTGAAAAAAGTGAATGTATATGTGTGGGAAAACTGATATATGACGGTAGCCATCCGAGCGTTTGCCGATGCCGAGAAGGTGCCGCATGTGCTGACGTGCACGGTGGGCAAGAAGCCGAGCACGGCGCAGTTCTACGTGGTACCGTCGACATCCGTTGATAGCTTGACGAATCTTGTCATGTAGGACAGCGTGAGTGAAGTGCTGAGCTTGATCGATGCATTGGGGGTCGTTCGAAGCAAGCGGCTGGTAACCAATCGAGATTTGATTCAACTAGATTGACCATGTCATCAGACGCGGCGCAACTCGAATCCTATGGACCCGCAGCATCAGTCGTTCCAGCGGCAGTTCCTGGACGGCGGCAAGATCATCTGCCCCGTGTTTGTGCGGAATCTGTCGAAGGAGTTTTCAAAAGTGATTTCCACGACCAACTTGGAGGAGTTTTGCGTCGATCGGTTCAACCCGGCCATGCTGGCGTCGCCCCGACGGGACGGCGGCCGGCACGATGACGATATGGAGGAGGAGGAGGTGGCAGCGGCGAGAGGCGGCGGGACGTGGCTCGACGCGACGTTCACTCCGGTCCAGGTGCTTCAAGCCGCCGCCGTCGGAGGTGCCGTCGGATGGGCATTGCGACACTACTGGCGGCGGTTTTTTACCAGTTGAAGGGAGTATATAACGTTATGTTAATTGAGGTATTTACGTTAAAGTGCACAGAAACCACGTTAAACGGAAGAATTCAGAGTATATATACGCTTGGGGTTGTTGCCCACCCATCCACTCGCTGTGAGAGAGAAAAGGTCGAGGCGACATGGAGAAAGCACGTATTATATAAGGTACTGACTGGTATGTCTGTCCATCGTAGAAATCAAGAGACGAGTTTCTTGTGCTTTCGAGTGAAATGTTGCGGTGTGGCGTGGTTTCTCGTTGGAATTTAAATCGATTTGATTGGCTACTTCAGAAGAGCTCAAAAGTATTGACCAATCAAAATCATCTAAATGAAATTCAACCAATCAGATCGATTGTGGATCGGTCGGCAATCGACAATAACGAGTAGGATTTTGTTTAAACGTGTTTGGTTTAATTCTAGACTTGTAACCGCCAGTGACCTGGGCAAGTAACTGCCAGTCAACGCCTTTAGAAAGGCAACCACGATTCTATCTTTACCCCCTCAAGTCACTTTCTGACTCTGAGCGGCGCTGAGTAGTCGCGCCAGTGGAACTCACTCGTGGACTGATTCACAACAGCTATACCGATGGGCTGCTGCGGCTCGAAAGACGACGTGATTCCGGACGGCACGGGGGGCTCCACGCCGACCCCCATGCGAAAGTGCCGCGACGTGCTGTGCTGTGTGATTTTCTTCGTATTTTGGCTGGGGATGGCGGTGCTGGCGGTCGTGGGGGTTGCCAACGGCACCCCCGAGCGCCTGCTCTACGGAACCGACTTCAACGGCACCGTGTGCGGCACGGGCGTGTTCGCGGACTCGACGTTCCTCTATTATCCCCGCATCAACGACGACATGATGACACAGGCAGCGCACGGCATTTCGCCGCTAGACATGAAGTTCTACGGGCTCTGCGTGCCGTCATGTCCTTCCCAAGGCGAGTACATCTGCGCCTACACGGCCGAGGCCAACCTCCGCGCCGCCAATCCATCCGTGACGACCTCCGCGGGGCTCAACTCGCTCCGGGCGGCGCGGGCCAACTCAGCGAGCAACCGGCTGGGCCTCACGACGCCCGACTGCTGGTCCGTACCGCTGCCGTCAGAAGTGGTGGCGTTCCGATGCCTACCTATGCAAGTGACACTGCAAAACACGACCCAAGTGTGCGTCGAACCGGGCGATGCACCAGAGTACTACACGACAACTAACGGCATCAAGACCCCCAACGACAAGTGCAGTTTGAAACTGATGCTAACTAGCTCGCAGACAATCGGGCAGGCGAATTCGAACCCGATATTCGACAAGTTGCAGTCCACGGGCGCCCTCGTCGGCCGATTCATTGCCGACATCAAGAACACGTACGGCGAGTTGCTGGGCATCGGCGGCGGCGGCGCGCTCGTCCTCGGCTGGCTGTTTCTGCTCTTCATGAGATGTTGTGCGGGGTGTGTGATCTGGTTCGTCCTGTTCGCGGTGGTGCTGCTCCTGGGGGTTCTCTCCGTCTTCTTCCTCGTGAAGGGAGGCGTCATCCACTCGGCGGACATTACGTCCGTCACCACCGCCATCGCGTCCGCCACGGCCGTCGACGTCGCGGTGCCCGCGTCGCTCGCGCAGGCGCACAGTAACACGCAAGTGTACCAAGGCGCGGCGGTGGTCAGCCTCGTTCTCACCGTCCTCGCCCTTCTCGTCGTGTGCTTTATGCGAAAACGAATCAAAATCGCCATCGGCATCATCCGCGAAGCCTCTCGGGCGATCCAGCGGCTACCGTCCCTCGTCTTGTTTCCTCTTCTACCCGTGATGCTAATCCTCGGCCTCTTCATCTACGCGACCGTTATCGGGGCCTACATCTACAGCGCGGACGGCAACGTGTCGCTCACGGCGGCCCTGGCGTCCGTGGGGGTGCCTGCGTCCAACGCGACCACCGCCCTCACGACGGCGTGGGCCGCGCAGCTCAACGCGACAACCACCGCGTCCGCCGTCGAGCCCAAGCAGCTGATGCAGATCATGGTCGCATATCACTTGTTCGGGTTCCTCTGGACCAACCAACTGATCCAGGCCATCTCGATGACCACGATCGCCGGCGCCGTGGCCAAGTACTACTGGAGCCGCGACCACACCCCGGCTCAAATGGGTCGGTTTCCCGTGTTAAGTTCGTTTAAAAACTGCTTCCGGTACCACTTTGGGTCACTCGCGTTTGGGGCTTTCATCATCGCGGTCGTGCAGTTTGTGCGCGCCGTCTTGATGTACGTGGATCGGCAGACCAAGCAGCTGCAGCAGTCGAACGTGGCCGTGAAGGTCGCACTCAAGGCAGTCGCGTGCTGCTTGTGGTGCTTGGAGAAGTGCCTCAAGTTCATCTCCAAGAACGCGTACATTGTGATCGCGATGAAGGGCCGAAGCTTCTGCGGGGCAACACGCGAAGCGTTCTCGCTCATCTTTGCGAATATGGCGCAGGTCGCGATTACGTCGACGATCGTCAACATGGTGGTGGTCGTGGCCCGGATCGCCATCTCCGTCGGGTGCGCCTTGCTGCTGTTCTTGTACCTAGATCGGGACACCGACTTTGACGTTGGCGGGCCGCGCGAGCTGTCGTCCATCTTTCCGCCGGTGGTCCTCGGGTTCGTCCTCGCGTGGTTCGTGGCCGGCACGTTTCTCAGCGTGTACGAGATGTGTGTGGACACGATCTTGCTCTGCTTTTGCGAAGACCGCCGCATCAACAAGGAGAGCGGCCAGTTTTACATGTCCAAGGAGCTCGCGGCCTTTGTGGACAAGGTAGCCAAGGCTAAGAAGCCGACGACGGGGGATGCGGAGGTGTCGCCGTCGCCTGCGTCAGCGGGACGGGTGGTGGAAGTGTCGCCCAAGCATGAACCCAAGCCAGACATATAGAGAGCTGCGTATACTAGAGTCCATAATGTAGTTGTGTGTGCACCAGGTTAAGTCTCTGGGCGGGAGAATGGCACAAACTTCAACTTCGACACCATAAACCTGTATCATTGCATTCACATTATATTATAGAGGTTTGTGCTCAAAGAACGTTCTTGCAGCAAAGGTGGGAATCGCTACAATTCGGTACATTTGCCGAAATAAACTCTAAATTAGGTACCTTTTGCCAAATTATGCGACAATTTGTGTGGCCGTTGGGGTCACAGGAAACTGTCAAATCCAGCCACCAAAATAACAAAGTCAGAGGTTCAACATCCATGAAAACCGCGTGTTTTGGCGAAATCTCTGCGTTTTTATTGGCTGATTGGCCGAGACGGGCGGGAAGATCGCATGCTACGACAGTTGCGTATTTGCCATGTTGACCGCACTGTGCCGCCGCCGGGTCGTTGCCCGCGCTCTGTCTGCCGCCGCCGCCCAACCCAAGCGGGCATTTGGATCTGTCGCTGTGGATCGCGATGATCAGACGATCTCGGCTGAAGCGGCCGAGAACAAGTACATCGTGAAGACGTACAACTCGAATGGTGTGCGGACCAAGAAAGGGTTGGTGATCACCCATGGAAAAGGACCGTACTTGTTTGATTCCCACGGCAACAAGTACTTGGACTTTTACTCGGGTATTGCCGTGACGGCATTGGGACATGCCGACCCCGAAGTCGCCAGGGCTGTCGCCGACCAGGCCGCGGTACAATTGAAGTCTACTTGCTACAGTACTCGGAATGATCAACGATGATGAGTAGAAACTGTGTCACGTGAGCAATCTCTTCCACTCGGAACCTCCGCTTCGCCTCGCGCAAACGCTGGTGGAGAACTCTGGTTTTGACAAAGTGTTCTTTGCCAACTCGGGCACGGAAGCGAACGAGGGCGCGTACAAATTTGCGCGGTTGTATGGGAACAAGGTGTCCCACGGAACGTACGAAGGCATCATATGCTCCATGATTCATTCGATTCTGGCATCGTAATGGATATGTCTAGGGAACTTGAAGGCCAGAAGAATCACGTGATTGCGTTCAAAGGCGGGTTCCACGGCCGGTCGTCCGGCGCGCTGTCGCTAACGTACAAGCCAGCCATTCGCGAACCGTTCCTTCCGCTGGTCCCGGGGGTTTCATTTGCCGAATACAACAACCTCGACGACGTCCGCCGCCTGATTTCGACCCGCACATGCGCCATCATTGTCGAGCCCATCCAGGTATCATCGTACATAGTTTGATGTATGCTGATCATGTGGATCATGCAGGGAGAAGGAGGAGTGCTGCCTGCAACCCCGGGCTTCCTTCAAGGCCTTCGCGCTCTTGCCGACGAGTTTGACGCGCTGCTGATCTGTGACGAAGTCCAAACCGGGCTCGGACGGACCGGGAAACTGTTTGGCCACGAAGTGTACGGCGTGCAGCCCGACATAATGACGTTGGCGAAACCTCTGGCCAATGGCCTGCCCATCGGCGCCGTCCTCACGTCCAACAAAGTTGCAGAAGCCGTCCCTGCCGGCGCCCACGGCACGACTTTTGGCGGCAACCCCGTCGTGTGCGAAGCGGCCAATGTGGTCGTGAACCGATTGCTTCAACCTGGTTTCTTGCTGGTAGGAATACATATGCTGATAGTATGAGGATCGTTTTGATATGTGTATATCGATAGCACGTACAAAAGATGGGTCGACTGCTGGCGCAGGGACTCAAATCTGTCCAAGCCAAGCACCCCGACAAAATTGCCGAGATCCGATTGCCCATTGGCGAAGCGGGGCTGTATGCTGGCGTGGAACTCGTGGGCCCGGCGGCTCCCATCATCGGGGACTTGGTAGACCAAGGAGTGCTTGCCATCACGGCCGGGGAAAAGTAAGTCTGAACGTTCGTTGCGTCATGACCATAGAGTGTATACTCAAGGACCTTCTTGTGCTTCTGTAGGGTCATTCGATTGTGCCCGCCACTGGTTGTGACGCAAGATGAAGTGCAAACGTTCCTCACGGCGTTCGAGTCGGCAGTGGCGAAATATACCGTCTCCTAGACAGATATGTAACACGTAATAGATGTAAGCAAACGTCAAGGACGAAGGTGTGCAAGGATAATTAGAGTAACAATGCACACCTGGAAAATCATCCCCTTAACATTGAAGTGGATGAATTTCAAGGTGTGCATTGTTACTCAGTACACATGCAACTGGCGTGCTGGACATCGGTGTCGTGTGCTTACCGTTAGCCGGCACAGAGTTCCGAGCCCTGCTCGCGACGAACGTTTGCAAGGGATGGAGTACCAAGGGCATTATACTAGACCTCAACCATAGAGTAGTCGAACGCCGATAACGCTTGGGGTTAATACTGCCAGTTCCTGTGGTGGCATGTCCCTTCATGGTGATGGACTCCCGAAAGTCTTGACATAGCAATCCTTCCACACGTACCGGTAGTAGAGTTACCTGCATCTGCATATCCTTCAGGCCGCAATGGAGATCATCTATCCTTGTGCAGATGGTATCCCGCGTTCCCTCGTCCTGTCGCTCTACCGGTACAGTAGCTTGATGCTGGGGCAGCCAATTCAAATCTGGACTTCCGAATTGCGCGCGCAATAATGAAGGAAATTTATTGGTTATAATTATAGCCAATAAGATTGCAGGAAGCATGGTTTCAATCAGGCGCCACACCAATTTACATTCATGCATGCGGGTTTTGAATGTGGCGGAAAAGCCATCCGTGGCCAAGGAGATCTCCGCGATCTTGTCCCAAGGTGGATGTAGAAGGGTACGACTGCGCATGAACATGCATGTGGTGAAGCAGTCGCGTGGACACGCATGTGGCGTCATTATGCATGTGGATGATGATGTGTGTGTGTTTGCATAGAGAGCGGGGCAGTCGCAGTACAACGCCATCTTTGAGTTCCCGTACCAAATCAACAACCAAAACGTCGACATGGCATTCACATCGGTAACAGGTCACTTGATGGAGTTGGAGTTTGCTCCCAGTCATCGGTACGTTCGATTCCCATCGTCGTGCACGCGTGAACGACTCGATGCGGTCAAAACACGAATGTCCGCCCACTGAGATGATGGCGATTAGGAGTTGGAAGTCATGCGATCCCGTCGAACTGTTCACGGCCAAGATCGAGAAAAAGGTGCGCGGGGATCAAAAGCCCATTGAAGCTACATTGCGCACCGAAGCTGCCCGCGCCCAGGTATCGACTCTCACCTGCACCATGAAGGATATGCTTATTCATGTCGACAGTGGTTGGTGCTGTGGTTGGATTGCGATCGAGAAGGGGAGAACATTGCGTTTGAAGTCAAATCCGTGTGCGAGAACGTAAATCGACGGCTGCGGGTGTTTCGCGCGCGCTTTTCGGCGCTCATCCCCCGCGACATCCAACATGCCGTGCAGCATCTCGTCCAACCCAACGAGAACCTATCGTTGGCATGCGACGCGAGGAGCGAGATCGACCTCCGCCTTGGCGCGGCGTTCACTCGCTTTCAGACCATGCGCATCCAAAAGAAGTTTCCGCGCATCCATACGCAAAACGCCGCCTCGTCGTCATCATCTTCGAATACCGACAACAAGGTCGTGAGCTTTGGGTCGTGCCAGTTTCCCACGCTCGGGTTTGTCGTGGACCGGTTCCTGGCCATCGAAGCGTTCGTGTCGGAGCCGTTCTACTCGATCCACGTGGCGCATGCGATCCCGGACATCGGCTCCATCGCGTTCACGTGGGCGCGCCATCGCCTCTACGACCACGTCGCCACCCTCGCGCTGTTTGAGACGTGTGTGGAAGCCAAAGTCGCCACCGTCACGTCCATAACGCGGAAAGACACGTCCAAGCGCAAGCCGTTTCCACTCACAACCGTCGAGTTTCAAAAGCGCGCGTCCAGGTATATGGTGCTTTTCAGTCAAATATTTGCTTATTTATTGATGAAATCGCCAATAATCAAGCAAACGAGTATGATTGGCTACAAAGAATGAAGGATGCAATTTGATTGGCTAAAAAGATGGATTGTAGTATTGCAGTCCCAAAGATACTTCTTCAACTTCGTTTTATATGAAATTTCGAACGTCCGGGGATTGTTTGGCAGTTCATGCAACCAACCGCCAGAGGAATTTTTTGGAGTAGAACACACAATAATATATATATATATATATTGATTGTCCTTGTACCCAAATTTGGTTGACTTTTGGGCTGATTCTTTGCCAAATCTATCGATCAATTCTTTGTCCTGACATTTGTATGGAAAGATCGTCCAGTATCACACTAATTTCAGTCACACACTAATTCGGTGTTGAATTGATCGAACAGTGGATTTGATTGGCTACTTGATTCGTGTTCTGATTGTTGATTCGTCGTATATCGATTATCTGCCTATGATTTGGTTATTCTGGTCATTGAGCACCCAAACTCTCCCATTTCGAATAATCGACTTGACAATACATATATATATATATTGGTTTTCGCATTGACAAAGATGATGTCGAATGTTTTCTTGCTCGTGGGCCAAATATATAACCAACCTCCTTCAAGTTTCGCTCGTTGGTTTGGTGCATATACTCTTTATGGAATGACCGACGGAATCTGTAGATGGCTACGCATTACGTCCGAGGAAGCAATGGCGGCGGCGGAATCCCTCTATAACAAGGGCCTGCTCAGCTACCCCCGTACAGAAACGGACAGTTTCAAAGAAGGCACGGACCTGACGGCACTGCTCACGCTGCACCTCACGCATGACACGTGGGGCGGGTACGTGGGGCAGCTGCTCCATCACGCCAAGTACGAGCACCCGCGGACCGGCAAGCACGACGACCACGCGCATCCGCCCATCCACCCGACCAAATCCGTCGCGTTGACATCGCTGCATGACAAGGAGCGCAAGGTGTACGAGTTCGTGACGCTGCACTTTCTTGCGTGTTGCAGCATGGACGCCAAGGGGCACCAGACGACGGTGCACATGCAGATGGCGGACGAGCGCTTCTCCGCCAGTGGGCTCATGATCCTCGCGCGGAATTACTTGGACATTTACAGGTTTGAAAGCTGGAGCAACTCGGTGATCCCTGTGTACGACAAGGGCGACGTGTTTGTGCCGACGGCGCTGACGCTCCAGGCGGGGGAGACGGCGCCGCCGCCGCTGCTCACCGAGTCGGACCTGATTGCCAAGATGGACATGCACGGCATCGGCACGGACGCCACCATCGCCGAACACATCAACACGATCCTCAAACGAGAATACTCGATCAAAGTCAACAACAACACCCAGTTCAAGCCCACGGGTACGTCGGAATGATTCGTATATACCACATTTGGTGATATATATATAATATATTGTTATACGTTTCGCTGACATTTGGACTGGACAGGTGATTGGAGTCTGATTTTCATAACTTGTTTAATGTATGGAATACACATTGGAAGAGGAACATTTGGATGGGCCAAACTACACGAATCGATGATTGGTTGAAATTTATAATTAGTGCACTTTGATTGGCTAGGACATTCTCAAATTCCATTTGTCAAATTTATTCGCAAGTCCAACGGATTATTCGACAATATATATAAATATATATATATATAAGCGTGTGTTTCTCACGCATTTGTAGACTTGGGGCTGGCACTGGTGCAATCATACGATAAAATGGGGTACCAGTTGGCGAAACCGGATCTACGCGCTGCGGTAAATATATATTATATATGACTCGTAATACCAAAAAGGATATATATATATATTTCTGGTATTACGAGTCATAATGGAGTATTCGGGACGATATTAAGAAGATCATCATGTAGATGGAGCGGGATTGCACGGCCATTTCCCAAGGCCAAAAGACCATGGACCAGGTCATTCGGTCGTGCATGACGCAGGTTGTTGTTTGCTGTATATTATTATTCTATGCAAAATATAATTCCCATGTCGTCAGTCATTCTCATGCTCGTTTATATATATATGGTGTATAGATGCGAACGATCTTTGAAAGCGTCGTGAGTAAAAGCAATATCTTGGACGAAACTTTTGGTCACTATTTCGGCATCCATCGTACTGCCCATCCCCACAATAACAGTGACATTGCCCAATCTTCGCAAGTGATGGCCAGCCAAGTCAGTCGTTGCGGCACTTGCGGCACGTCCAACATGGAATGGAGGTACACGTTGCTTCTCTCGTTCTTCTTTTCCATCGAAATGTATGATCCTTTTCCCCAAACTTTGGCTAACTTTTGTGCTGAATTTCGCCAAATTGATCGATTATTCGGAAGTTTGAATGTAAAACGCTGTCCTGTGGTGATTGGTATTGTCCTTTTACCCAAACTATTGGACTGCTTTTGTGCCAAATCTATCGATCGATGATTCTTTGTACTGACATTTTGTATGTCAAAAGGACTCCTGTGGTGATTGGTATCACACTAATTGAAATCACACACTAATTTGACGTTGATGATGGTTTCCTGCAATCTGATTGGCTCAATTCTTCTGCCGATTCTTGTGTACATTTATCAGCGCCAAGGGTTATGCATATTAGTGTGGTCGATTCATTCTCCAGTTTTAAGCGCAACAATATCACACTAATTGAAGTCACACACTAATGATAGTTTCCTGCAACCTGGTTGGCTCAATTCTTCTACCCATTCTTGTGTACATTTGGTCGATTCATTCTCCAGTTATAAACACAACAATATCACACTAATTTAATTCACACACTAATTGGACGTTGATGATGGTTTCCTGCAACCTGATTGGCTCAATCCTTCTGCCGATTCTTGTGTACGCTCCAGTTAGAAACACAACAATACCACACCAATTGAAGTAACACACTAATTTGACGTTGATGATGGTTTTCTGCAACCTGATTGGCTCAATCCTTCTACCCATTCTTGTGTACATTGATATCAATATATTTACTTGCTACTGTAATCAATCGGTTTGTGCGACGTAGGAAATCCCTCGACGACCCGTCGACCCTGTTCTTGTCGTGTCCGCGCTGCATGAAATCGTATGGCCTGCCCATGCACTCGTCGGTCGTGGCCATGGCCAACACGTTCTGCCCCCTCTGCCAATTCCAGGTCGTGGAGATCCACCGCGTGACCAACCCCCAGCACCCGTACCCCGTGTGTCCGCACTGCTTTAACCACCCGCCCAACCCGCGTCTGCAGGAGATGGCATGCTTCAGCTGCGCCGCGCCGGCGTGCGCGCTGGCCACAGGCGCCCAGGATCAGTGCGTGGTGCAGTTCTGTCCATGTTGCCGATCGCATCCCATGAAGCTCAAACGCACAAAGAACGCCAAGTTCACAGTCGGGTGCGTCGACTACCCCGCATGCACCACGTCCGTGTGGCTCCCGTCCGCGGTCAAGGTGGCCGTCGTCACGACCGCGTTGTGCCCCGCCTGCTCGAACGTCCATCAAATGATCTACAAATTGCGCCTCCGATTCGCGCCGGGCGCGCTCCCGCCAGATGTCCATCAAGGCACGAGCAATGACGACAACGGCGAGGTGGATGGGTTTTACGAAGCGTGCTTGTTCTGCGATCCGTTGCTGCAGCAACTGTTTGCGATTCGATTGCCATTGTCGTCGACATCCCGGCTACCAGGAACGCCTGCCGCCGCCATGCCAAGGCCGCAGATTGACCAGTCGTATGCACGGATGACAGCTGGTCGTACAAGTGCCAACAACAACAACGAGTACATGCAATCGATCACGAATCCAGGAAAGAAGCGCACTCGAACACCAAAGCCAACGAACGGCGCGTCGGGAAGGAACGACGATGACGGCCGGCGCAGCGATGTCCCCATGTGCCCAGGGCATCAAGCTGCATGTGCGACGCGGGAAGTACGAAAAGACAACGAGAACAAAGGCCGCAAGTTCTACTGCTGCAGCTACCCCCAAGGCGAGCAGTGTGAGTTCTTCCTCTGGGTGGATGCCGCCGACACATACACGGCACCGGCGTCGTCGTCGTCCTCCTCCTCCGGCGCAGCATCTCGCTCGAAGAAGAAACCCAAAGCAGGTGCTGCATCGAACCAAGTGACATGCACATGTGGCGCTCCCGCCTTGGAACTGACCTCCCGCACCGCCAACAACAACGGCCGCGTCTTTTACAAATGTGCCAAGCAGGCCGACAATTGCAACTTTTTCGAATGGGCTGACCCGTGAGAATTATAACAGTGTTATACACATGTTATACCAATATCTGAGTGCTATAACAATGCTCAATATGTCAAAGCACTATATATATAATGAATCTAAATCATTTGTTATAACTAAGTTGAAGCTAGCTCGTTAGAATTGCTACATTAACACGAGCTTGGAACATTCTTTTATCGGACTGAGCGTATAGCGGCATGGCCGGCGACTTTACGACGACGACGCTGATCCGCGTCGGTGTCGGGCTGGCCGTCGCGACGACCATGATATCCTTTCGGCAGATGTTCATCCGGTCCGTCTTCCGCGTGCTTCGGGAACGCCTCGGACGCTCGTCGCTCCTCAGTGACGTCGAACGACACTTCCTCACGTCCATCTCGATTGCGCTTGTCCTACTCGCGTGCTTTGTGGGCGTGGTCATTTCTGGCTACCACAACGAAGTGTCGATCGTGTTCAAGTATGCCGCGGGCGTTCCACTCGTCCTCGCGACTCGAGCCACTCGTATCATCTTCACCAAGGTATCATGAACATGCATCTACCTACCTACCCCCCCCCTTCAACTCCGTCCACACTTTATGCGCTCAACTTGTAGTGGTTGATCCGGAGCTTGGGATGGGACATCTCGTCCCGCAGCGACTACTCGCGGGTGCTCGTCATCACCGAAGGCCTGGGTATCGTGGCGTTCTTCGTCATCTCCATCGAACTGTTCATGATCTACGTCCCGAGCACGTTTAACGAACTGCTCGTGATTTTCTTTGCCGTATTGGAAATCCTGTGCATTTGCTCGTTCTATTCGACGGTACTACATAGCGCGAACACCTTCCTTCCCTTCTCAACTCCATGTTGCTTTTCCCTTTAGGTCAAGAATGCGGTCATGGGCTTCTTCCTGCTCTTCACGGAACCGTTCCGGCTTGGCAGCATGGTCATCATCGGCCCGTCCGTAGGGGTCGTCGAGCAGATCGCGCTGCATTCCACCAAACTCCGCGCGCAGGACGGCGCCGTCGTGCACATCCCCAACGGCGTGCTGGCCGACGACGTCCAGCGCAACTTTTCCCACTGCACATTCCGTCGCCTCAACTTCCTCGTGCACGTCGATCACGCGACGCCGTTGAACGAGATGCTCGCGGTCCTCCCGCATCTCGCCGAGACTCTGGCGCCGTGCGTCATCCCTCTGGAGATGCTCCTCGCCCAAGAAGCGTCCCTTCGTCTACAAGATGAAACCAACGACAAAGCCCCGTCCAAAGCCGCCGACGGCGATGCTTCCATGAGCCGGTCGAGCAGCATGCACTCGCTCCTAGGAAACCTGTGGCAGCCACCGTCCAAACTCCACCGGCATCCCAGCAGCAGCAGCAGCAGCACCGCCACCACCAGCAGTATCGCAGATAGAAGGGACCCGAGCACCATGTCCACTGACATCTCCGAGTTTATGCTCGACGATCATCTGCTGCATGCCCCTTCCCCATCGACGGCGGAAGCCAAGCCGACGGACCCGCGCCTGCTCCAAGTGACCTTGGGTGGCATCCATCGCATCTGGGTGTCGGCGCTTGTTCCTGGAAACTCATTCGTGGACGTAGCACGCGCCAAATCCACGGTGAACCTGGCCATCATGCGCTGTCTGGAGCGACATCGCGTGCGTCTGCATCATGCACCCCGACGACGGATACCACGGTATGATTAAATAAGAATAATTTCATTACGGGCGACAGATTAATGCGTCAACGACTCCACGGGTCGACCTTGCAACACGGAGTTCTTGGTGGACGACGAGGCGACTTGCAAGTACACGTGCACGTGAAAGATGTTGATGGAGCGCTCCGGGTTGTCGTCGTAGTTCCATGCCTGCACATGGGGAGCATTCGTGTCAATCCAAGATTCGACGTACGCTTTCACATCGTCGTGGTTCATCTCCAGGCGGCTCCACAACGTCCAGTGCTCAATGCCCTCGGGGGTGTCGTAGGGAAACATGTTGGGCTCCATGTAGGACGTTCGACCAAGCAGCGTCGTCCCAAAAATATGTTCTTCCCGGGAAACGTCCAACTTTGCGTCGAGTTCGTCCAAGTGGTCCCACTTGCGTTCTTTGCATTCGTCGGTGCGACTCCAGTACTCCAAGTACAGGGTACGACGTCCCCTACTTGAATCCAAAGCAGCGTAGTCATCGTACCCATTGTCGGCACAGGTATAGGCGTCATAGCCGTCGTCGCAGGTGGGGGAACGCGACGGATTCTCATCATGCTGATCACTGTCGGTGGAGCAATTGCTTGACTGAGGCGGCGAGTACGCATCGGTGGGGGTACCATGGGGCAACGAGGGAGCATAGGTGGTATCCCTATATGTGTTTTCTCCATGTGTGCATTCAAAACACTCACTGCCTTTGGGCGTCTCGGGGTTGCCGCTGCAACATCCTTGCAAATGAGATTCGAAGGTCATCTACACATAGCACACGATTAGTTCCAGGTCATGTGCGTCGTTGAAATAAATCACCTTACCTTGGCCTTCTTCAGCGGGAACGCCGCCTCTTCCATCGATGACGGGGAGTGCAGGTACGAGTCATCACAAGAACTCTTTCGCTTGATGCGATGGTGAGCGAGTTCAGTGGTTTGTTGAGAGGGGCTATTCATCGAAGCAGCAAGCATCATGTTTCAAGACGTGGATTCACAGGGAACGAGGGAGGGAAACCTTTCTGGCGCGGACACGGATAAGCGCGGTAGGTGAGCGCGGGATCAGGTAAATAAAAAACTGGCTATTCTGGCTGGGTGGTGAAGAACCTTGGAGATCCTATAATAACTTGGTCCTTAAAACCAGGGCGTTTGACGAAGATACTCTTAATTTCTCATTATGATGTCATAAAACCAAGGTAAGCTGAACCAATCAGATCGATTTCTCTCGAAGGGGCGAAATTATCCGGCTTTTCGACGATGGAACAGAATCATCCGTATACCCTTCTCTTTATCCGGATGATCGGGAGGCATTTGAGTACATCGGATTGTAGCCAATCAGCGGGCTTTATTTGCGCGCCATTTGACTAGTAACCTTCATTCGGCATTTCGTCCACATCATCATGCTGCGTCGAGTGTTGCCGACATGCAGTCGGCTGCGGCGGGAAATGGCGATGGGCATGGCCACGAAGGCGACAGACGACACACACATTACCTCGGCAGCAGTGCGCGAAGCAAAGTTGTTGGTGTCGACGCGAGATTGCGTCGAAGGGCGACAAATTGTCAAGGAATTGGGGGTGGTGAGCGCGACCGTCGTGCGCACGAAAAACATCTTGGAAGACATTCTCGCGGCGTTGGGCGGCATGTTTGGAGGCGAGACGAGGTCGTACTCGTCCCTTATGAATGAAACAACGCAAGAAGCGATCCATCGACTGAAAGGCGCTGCCTTGGTAGGTCCATATGTCACCGATGTGTGTCTCACGTGTGGAGTGCTATAGGCACAAGGCGCATCTGCTGTCGTGATGACCAAGTTTGAAACGAACACAACCATGAATCGGTTTGTCTTTGGGTTACACTGCACCGTGCTCGTGTACGGCACCGCCGTCGTGTGTCGCCCGATTGTCAAGAAGTCGACGTAGTGAGGCTCTGAAGATGGAGTGGTAACTGCTCGGCGAGCAAGATCAATGGCCTACCGCCGTCCTCGTTCCCACTACCACCACCATGGTCGTCGTCTTTGTTGTCCTTCGGCTCGGTTCGGAAACCGCCGCCAAACACCGCTTTGGGTCTATCGGGGCTGTTGAGAATGTACTTCTGCATGTTGCCATGTCCGCGTCGACTCGTGCGAAACGCTCCCAGCTTCCGATGCGTCAATGGAAGCCGCGCTTGCTCCAAATGCCGCGGGCTCGACGCGATCGGCGGCTCGTCCAGCTTGTACGGCGCTGTCGTCGGTTGACAGGTCGACTGCGTATGCTGCGACCGCATCGCATTCGACTACACCCACACACACATACATACATGCTTCGAAACGATATCGCTCCTCACACACCTTTTTATGCTTGGCCGCGAGGTTGCGCATCGCAATTTCATCCTTCAGGTCACGCAACGCCGCCGCGTCCTTTTGCTGCTTCATGCGCAGAACCTCTTCATCCTGCGCCGTCTTCTTCTTCTTACGCTCCATGGCCACGCGCTTCTCGTCCATGTACAATCTACCGACCATGTAACTCTAGCGAATAGGTATGTATGTACTACTTTCTGTTAGGATGACGGCCTTTCAGCGCGGCCAGCATGTGCTGTGCAAACTCCTGCTGATCTTTGGCGATGCTGTGGATGTGTTGGGCATATTGCAAGTGCCAGTGCTGCTTTAGCCGGACCTTGTGCACTTCCACCTTTGCGGCTACATGACGTTCCATGAATGTGGAGATGGAGATCAAGATGACCTTCGTATTTGTCGTGGAGCGTGGGCACCGGTCGAGCGTGAACGGCGAGAAAGTCCCTTGGTCGGTGGAATCCGTGCGACGTGTCGAGGGACGCCAGCTCTGCTGGTGGTGGACCCTGGTGAAGACTTGCGTTCATGCGTTGCTGCTTGAGTCGATCTTGCTTGAGCTGCCTTCGCGTCGACGTAGATTGAAACTCCCTGCATCAAATGGTGGTCAAAACTGAATGGTATAGGGAGAAACATGTCGTACTGCCCAGTGTCGACACCCGTGAGGAACGTCTCTGCTTTGTGGGATAATGGATCCAGGACCATCTTGGCCCGGACTTCGCGCTCTCGTTTGCTCATATCTCTAAAGTCTGTGGGGGTGCGTGGTCGGTCCTCCTACAACGTCGACGCCGAGGTGATGATTCCTGTACATAGTTGTCATGCAATCCTACCACGGCGGTGGCGACGTGCACTGGTCGATGGGCCTCCGCATAGTAGTTGTACCTGTGACCTAGAAGGAAAGCCAGCGGCACCGAGTCATCCACCGGCGGTTCCGCGGTGGGCTCGCGCCGCTCCTCGTCGTCGCTCATGATCCAAAAATAACATCCCTTTAAACTGGTATATCTCGGGTGGGTATTGTCAATAAATTGAACAGAAATTAGTATGGAATATTACATTCAAATCTCACAAAATCCTAGCCATACAATAAACAAGTGTAAAATTGCATAATTTATATAATTGTAACTTTGGCAAACACTAGATTTGATCGCTTCGCGCGGGCAACTCGTCAGTCGACATGCCGGAGCGTCCGCCGCCGCGCTGTGATGACGTCGTCGTGTAGCTTCTCCAGACGAGCCGCGGCTTCTGTAAGGATGGCGTTGTACGAGTGCTGGTTCTGCTCCTTCGGAATCGTGTCGACGAGGACCTGTTCGATCACCTGTACGTCCAGCCCTGCACCACGACAATAAGTACATGAGCCGGAGATATTCGTGGCGTTAGAGCTCTCCCACCTGGATATTGCTTTCTCATGAGTATAGTATCCTTCTCGAGCGTTCGAAGTGACGGAGGAAAGCCCTGGCCGACGACTGGCGCGTCTGCTTCTTCCATGTCATCTTCGTCCGTGCCGCTGCTATAATGGGGGTTGATCAACTTGACCCCTGCAGGTAATGCAGGTGGCGTCCGCCTTCGTTTCGAGCCTTTAGCATCCGCGGTCTTTCCATGCATCTTTTCGGGAATAACGGCGTGCTTTTTGTTTTTGAGAATAACGATGTCGTCGAACATTGTCTTGGTGACCTTTCTCGGAGCCAGCGCCGTTGGAGCATCGGAAGCGCTCGCCCTGACGCGGCGATGCCTAGGTAGTGATAGCTCTGGAAGCGTCTACAGGACTGCGTGTGAACTACACGAAGTCGTTTTGAACCGCACCAAGTTCGTTGCCGTTCGTTGACGGCGGGTCATCACTGGCGCCGCCATGGCTTCATGTGTTCGCGTCCTAACGTTATCTGTAAAGTCAACACAAGGACATTGCACACTCACGACACTTGCACGAACGAGTGGTCATGACACATCCATGTGCCGTATACGTACGTGGATCGGGTGCTGGTGCGGGGCATCGTCGTAGCGTGTTCAGTTCAATTCAAAATGTGAGAACAAAGTAGTATTACTAAACACTACTAATAGTATTATTAGTAGTCAAATTTTCAAAATACCTTTCACAAGGAATACATTGTGACTTCTGCTATGGAGTGAAATGCTCCTTCATACTAAAACCACCACAATATACCTCTGTCAACTAATTCAATCGCCCAATACTTGGCCTCGAGCGATCTTTGGCACCCTTTTGTTAGTCCAAGTAAAGTGTAAGTTTGTGTACAGTACTCGGATCTGACACGCAACACAATGGTTTTCTTAACGTCACTGATCGAAGTGTCTACCACCTACAAACGTCCTAGGCGTTGCTGTCGGTGTAGCGCGAGGCAGCCATGTAGAGCGCCCAGGAGCGAGTCAAGCCGTCGTCCATGGCAATGGTCTGCAGCTTGTCCATGGCTACGTCGGGGTTGATGGCGGCGTAGTTGGCGTACAGGAGCGACAGCCACGGATTCGTGCCCGTGTTTTGCTTAACGATGGCAGTGTGGGCGAGGATGTCGGTCCATTCCTCTTGCACGAACCGAGCGGTGCGGACAAACTCGGTGGCAGGGGACACCGGGATCATCTGAATGCCGTGGATGCAGTGGCGCTCGGCGCTGAACCACGTGGCGTAGTCGACCTTGTTGTCAAAGAAGATGCCGGTCACTTTGTTGGCGCGGATAGACGGGGGGTGGATGCGGTTGGCACTGTCCATGAGAAAATACGTCTGCACGGAGCGGGCGTTCACCGACAGCATGAGGCGGCCAAGACGCTCCAGGTGGGGGTTCTTGATGGCTTGACCAAACAACAAGAGGCCGTAGTGGAAGTTGACGTCTTCGGACGTGCTTTCCTGGTCCTTTCCGTCGGCAAGCGCCGTCACGCCGTGCGAGTACGAGTGGCCTCGGAACCAATCAAACATGCGAAACGTGGGGAACGCCGTGTCCTTGGCATTGTCGTTGGCGACATCGCGGACGAGGAGCGCCGCGAGCTGGTTGAGCTTGGGCAGCGAAGGCATCGTCTGGTGCACGACATTCGCAATCGCGACCGTGGCGATCCAGTAGCCAAAGTGATAATGATGGTCGTTGTACATGGTGTTGCCAAAGTCTGCGTTCAGGTCCTTCTGTGCAAAACCCTGGCTGCTCACAATGCCCTTGTACACCGAGTCGTACACGAGTTTGTACGTCCACCCGTTGCTCGCCAACGGCGCCAGCAACTTGTCCAACTTGGCGCGACACGTGTCCAGCAACGACGACGTGGACGACCCGACCACCGCCGCGTCCGACGCCATCAAGCACAGCGACGCATACTTTTGCGCCGCCTTGCCGTTAAAGTAGTACGATCCGTCCAGCGGAAGGCTCCACGGCGCATTGATGTCAGCCGTGAGATGTCGGAGCATGTCCGTGGCCTTGACGCGGGCCGCGGTGGGGCGTTGTCGTGGGTAAAAGCCAGCGCTGACGAGCTTCGGCTCAACAAGCTTCCATGAGCCCGAGGTCGACACGAACGGAATCATGGCGCCCCGCGTCGTCGACTGCAAATGCGTCATGTTGACATGACGGGTGGATGTCCTGTCGATGGTGTCGGCGTGGTGTGATAAGCCAAAGTGCAGCAATCCGTTGGCACATTTGCCAGTGGTGGCCCATTGAAACGTGTAGCTGGTCGTGTCCGGGAGGACGCTGCCTCCCTTGACGGCGCAATCCCGATACATATCGTACACGGCAACGTCCCCCGCGGTGGGGGCCAGCGCCACTTGCAAAGTCCCCGAAAACGTCGTCGGCGATACAAGTTGAGTCGTCAGGTGCGCCGTGAACGTCACCTCCGTCGACGTGTACACGACCCACGTCTGGCCGTTGCCGAGCGCCACGATAAACTTGGACGCGGACACCGATTGGCCTTCCTTGAGCACTTGGCCGTTCACGGATCGGATCGCGTGTTCAGTGAAGAGCCGTGGCTTCAACGACACATACGTGGCCGTCGCGAACGCCATGCCGCTGCTCAACGACGTTGTCATGGAAGCAGCTGCACCTCCCACGTCTTTGCGCACGGTCACGCCAAGATCGTCCCATGCCGTCACTTGAAAGTTGGACGGCGAAGTGGACTCCGCCGCTTGCGATACTAGTTCCACGGCCGACAGCGTCACGTCGTTCTGGGCGGCGTGGAGGTAGTACCGACTGGCGGCTCCGTTGCCCGACGATCCCCCAAACGCCCGCGTCGACGCTGGATACGACACTTGGATGCCCGTGGGCAGCATCGCCACGGCGTACGGATTCGTCCACACGCGCAGCACCTCCTTGGCGTCTTTGCCCGTCGAGATAAGGTTACCCCACCACCGATTCGTCGGAATCGGCATGTCGGCCGTGATCGACGGATGGAGGTTGCGGGGAGGCGCCAGCCAGGACTGGGCCGTGGACTTGTCAAACATCGCGAGCGGAGACGCCAACATGTCGACGGTAGGGAGGGCAAAGGAAGGGGGGGTGTCGTAGAGGATCGTGGGGGGTGTTGTAGCATTGGGGGCGGTGGAGTTGGGAGTCTGCGCCGACACAGCCACAATGGAGGCGACACTGATCAAAGCAAAGAGATGTGCCATGGTCGAGATCGATTGAGGAATGGCAAGGTCGAGGGATGGAGCGTTGCGCATCCATGAATGATAATATCGTCATGGCGATGGTGGTTCCGATTGGTATGGATGGGGATGCGATCAAATCGATGTGAGTGAGAACGTAGGGAAAGCCTCTTTGGTCGTTTGTCAATGGCTACCGCGTGGGAGACGGCTGCCTATCGTGTGCCACAGCTTAACGAGTGGTGGCGGTGACGACTATCTATTCTACCTATGCGTGTCAATTGTGATGCATTGGTTGACGTAATCGTGTGCTACTACTGGTGGGCCAGCCTCAAAACACAAGGCAGTATCCTATAAAGTCTTGAAAAATAATGTGGGGTGCATACGTGTTCCGATTGATGGGGTCGTTGGACAGTTGTGCGATCGTCCACTTATCATATAGCTTTGTACAACCTCCGCTTGGAGCACCATATTGTTTCTTTCGTACATCCAGCGCACCTCAACTTGGTCGTACTAGTATGCAAGAATGATCGAAGAAAGTGGGCAACATATCTTGATGATTGGCAGTTAGAAACCGGTTTCAACAAGGTACAGATGTTGTGTGAATCAAAGATCTGATTGGATATAATCGCGTGATTAAATGATGATGAAACAATATTTCGACAGTATGATTGGTTAAAATGAACTGATTTTCAATAAACTGAGCTTTCATATCGTTATGCAGCGTCGATGGATCGTCGCTGCTGCCGTCGCCATGACTACAGCGTGCTGGTGCTGCTTCACAAGGAGGAGCCTCTTCAGTCCAAGAACGTTCTCGTTTCTAAATACGCCGACATGTCCATGCACTTGGTGAACATCGACACGCCAGTCATTTCTGGAACGTTGTTGCAAGTGCTTGCGTGGGCATCGCCGTCCTTGGCACTGTCATTGTCAAGGTTCTTAAACGCAAAAAATGAAACCTGATCCAGCTTCGGGAACTCGCATCCATCGTGGACGACATGCCGCTCTTCGACCCACTCCACCCTCTCCCGACGAACGACGTCGATACGAGGACTTCGACACGAGGACTTCTCGGCTCCGTACACCCCCACATCTGACTCGTCCTTCCATACACCATTGAAGACTACACCCGTCGGTATATCAAATTCCAGGCGACGTCACGCCCGCGATGTCGCCCATGCCATTCTGGACGCCAACGCCGCCGCGGTCCCGCTTCTCGCAGCGATCGCCTGCATAGAGACGAGATCCTTCGCGATGCGGCCGCGTATACGCATCTGGCCAAACCCTCGGCCGCTTGATGGGATCCCCGTGCTGATCAAAGACGAGGTAGGTCATCGTGAGATATCATTTTGAGAAATGTCATCATGACATAGCTGGACGCTACAACACGACGTTCCGGCACGTCCTTCCTGGGCGCGCTCCTCGGTCCGGCCACGGCAGACTCGATCGCAGTCGGCCACCTTCGTCACAACGGCGCGGTCATCGTCGGCAAGACCAACATGCACGAAATTGGGGCCAGTGTGACGGGTGAACCAGTCCCACACGGAACGCGTACTCGGCCAGCCTCATGTCTGGCGGGTCGGCGACCGCGGGTCTCGTGCCCTCGCGCTCAGGTGCGGCTCCATCCGGACCCCCGCCGCATTCAACGGCGTCACAGGAATCAAGGCGACGTTCATGCGCATTCCCGAGCTGGCCCGGACCGATCCGAGCATGGCCAACGTCGGCCCCATCGCCGCCACCGTGCAGGACGCGGCGGTCGCGTACGACGTGCTGAGTGGCAGCCACACCGACGTCCCCACGAGCCAGGTGCAGACACCCCCCACGTCGACTTGAAAGGCGATGAACTCGCCGCTGGCGTCCGTCCGGATCGGTGTCTTCCCAGACGAGTTCGTGGCGGCGGCAGCGGACCCGGCGGTGCTCGACCAGTTCCGCGCCACCGTCCGGGAGCTAAAGAAGGCGTGGGCGACCATCCACCACAGCCACGGCGTGACCATCTTGACCGAGATGCTGCTAAACGCTGAGCGGTATGGCGGGCTGGACGAGTACAGCTACGAGGTGCAGATCGCCTTGTCCTTGCCCAAGCTGGGGTACTCAAGCGCCGAGTTGCTGGCGAGCCAGGTCGTTCGGGGGTATGCCACCACCCGCCTTGTGAACAAGTTGTTCCAGAACGTGGACGTCGTTCTCACGCCCACGACAGCAACACCGGCCCGCATCGATCCTGCCTTCTTGACGCATGGTCTGTCGGATATTACCACCACGTTGGCCCTCATGCGCTTCATCTTGGCGGGCTACATTTCTCAAGGACTCCCGATGTCCATGCTTGTCCAAGCCGACCACTGGAACGAGCACATGTGTCTGCAAGTTGCTCGCAAACGAAGCCATGAGTCCGCTGGCTGCAGCAACCCACGGCATATCATTACGATACTCTCGCGGCCGCTGAACAATTGCAAACCCAACGTCGCCACACAGAGTAGTAGTAGTACTGTAGTAGTACTAGCATCTACCCCAAGCAACTAGACGCAGAGTGTACTAGTAGACTAAGAGTGTAGGGGTGTTTGTTTGGCCAGAAGAACAAGTTCCAATCATGTTACGTTTAGGACTAACGTTATGCCTACACAATGTTCTGCAGGAGTTTGTGTGTGTAGTTGTAAGTGCAATGATATGGATTTCAAATTTACACACATACAATGGCAGCAGCCCCATATCGCTAGACGACGGTCGACGGACAAGACGGAGCAGGCACGAGAGTGTGGAACAGGTCAAAGTCCACAACTGCTCCGTGGGTCACGGGATCCCGGGACACACACGGCGCGAACGTGTGGTGCCATTTGATGTCGTCGGCAGTGTACGAGTACCTGGCCTAGAGTATATTCACTCTGTAACGAGAGCCTGCCACGTCACAGTATTACCTGCATGGTGTTGCCCGAAGTGGCGTCGGTGCCTTCAAGCACCACCACCAGTTCCAAATCGGACTGGGCCATATGGTGCGCAATCTCGCACTGTGTCACACTACTAGTACTACTAGTACTACTAGCCGGAGGGGGGAAGAGGGGGCTCGATGGGTCGATGCGGTGGACGATCAGTTGGGGCAGCGCCAGGAGGACAAACGCTCCCAAGTTGTCGTCCGGGCTTTGAATTCGCATCGGAAGTGTCTGGAACGGCGCGTCCGAGTGCCGCTTGGCGACGCCGTAGCAGCGCACGTGCGCTTCGACCAGCTAGACTCAGAATCAGACTCAGATAATGTCGAGAGTGCTTGTACGTACCTGATGCCGGCGGCGTTCGCACACTTGAAACAGAACACAGTACTCGCCGTGGATCTGCTGGACGACGGCGTGCTTAGAAAATACGACGGACGTGGCCCGTCTCTAACGTTCAAAGTCACAAAAGGGTGGACGCGCGGCGGGTACGTCGTACCGTGGCGCGGGAGAACCGGACAAAGAACACGCCAAAGCAAAGGCTGTCGAGGAAGATGCCGGAGACAGATTCGACGGTCAGGAGCAGCGCCATGGACGAGCAGCCGCCGTAAAAGATGTCATTCGTGGGAGCGCCGTACCCGATGGTCATCTAGGCACCAGAGTGAAATGTGGGAGACAGGATATATGTATGTCCGGTACGATGGTTTCGACGGAGAAGATGTACGCCTCCATGAGCGTGGAAATGCCGACGTGGCACTGCTCGTCGTGTTGGGAAACCGAGTAGTAGAGCGTCGCAAAGAAAAACACCACGGCCGTGTACTACATGGCGTGACAGGCGAAAGAGGATATGGAACGAGAGTACCGTGAGGAAGATGCCAGACAACATGCGGATCGTGTTGGTGTGAATGACCGTGTGGAAGAGGTCGTCCCAGTAGATCTGACGCCAATTGCCGCCGACACGCGAGATGCTATGGACATGTTACATGATGCTCTTTCAACAACGGGCGTACTTGTAGAGCCCTTTCGTCGACGGATCAGGATCAACGTGTGGGTTGAACGATCCTGCGCGGTCCAGCAGCCGCGCCGTCGCAGGATGATGGTTCACAAGCGTGGAAGCCGAGGCGTAGGTGGTCGTCGTTGACTTGAGCAGCGGTGTGTCCATGCTGTCTGCTTGGGAAGTGAATACTTCACCAACGATGCCAGCACGTGGCACGCCGTACACACAGCATTCGTGCCTCGATTATACTGGTACGTAGGCAATGATTCATTCTGATTGGTGTATGTAGAGATCCCTCAACCAATCAAATCCCGTTATTTGTGCCATATTTCTTTTTGTTACGTACACAGTACGTACAGTACTACCGTACAAATATCGAGTAACGTTAGAGTGGGAAACGCTTACCGGTAATTGGCTAGAATCCACATTGGCTAGCCAATCAAATCCTCGTAAAATTGAAAACTATTTGCCAGCTGAACGAGAGCCATCGTCGATGATCGTCTATCGTCATGCTCATACCTGGGCTACAACGGAGTTGCTCATCCTCCACCTTGTGACCAGCGACTTCCACGACGCGGCGGGTCATCGCACAACGCCATCAACTGTGCTCGATGGTCGACTCGATCTTCTCCATCACATTGGGCGGCATCCTCAGCCTGGAAGACATCGCTGAGTACGGCATTCACGTCGGCATCCTCTTCATGCTGCCCAATTGGCTCACGATTGAGATCGTGGGCTGCATGATGCTGGTGCTGGCCATCATCATTGCCGTGCCTGGCCATGATGGCCATACCCCAAAATGAACCCGTCCAACTTGTTCGTGGTCAGCGAATACATACGTGTATCTCCCATATACATATGCACTTGGTACCAATATGTTGTTTATGACGTAGCGCAAGTAGGACTTGTACTGGAGCTACGTGGGCATGCGGCTGTGTGGGTGTCCAATGCTTTGGCAACTTGGGTTTCTACATATATATGGCCAAAGGCGGCTTGCAACTGGCGGACTCGGGCCTGTCGTTCTGTTTTGCAGGGCACGATTAATCAGGCGATTGCGATGTTTGGTGTGGGTGTGCTAGTTGGTCAGCAATGAGCTCCTGATCAACACGACGGTGATGGTACTCTGCTCCGTCACCCTGGTGTCGGGCGTGGGGCTCCAACGATGCTGCCATCCCTAGATAACCATAAAACACACTGACGAACTCGAGGGTGCCTTACGAACGAGCGACACATGTGAAGAAGTGTATAATAAAAATATGATTAAACTTGGTTGGGTGGGGTCGTCGTCGGGGGGGACATGTGTGGCCAACACGACGGGTTCAGCGCGGCGCCCCAGAACCCCCGACCGGTCGTGGACTGTGAACTGGGCACGCGGCTGCGCAGTCTCGGAGGCGGCTGGCGTGCCGCGCGTCCCTGTTTGGGCACTGCCGAGATGGCATCGCCCACCAATTGCGCGACCACTTGAGGAAACGTGTCGTGCATCGCAGAGTCTGGCAGCCCTGACGCCTACGATATAAGACAATCCAATATCAGCATAATGCAATACCACGAGAGACCAAACCAACGAATCAACCAAGTCATGGGTTACACACCAGAGTTCCTTTCGAACATGCAACAGAAAGGTGAACATAGAAAGCTATATTTTAGGTCACTTGGTCAAGAAATGTTGTTCGAAGCAGGGGTAGCCAAAATTAAGGTACTGCAGTCATGTATTGAGCACCGTGAAACATGAATTGGGGGGGGTGTACCTCAGGAGGGTTCTCGGCTGTCGGTGGCTCTAGATCAGATAGCCCTTGATCGGGTTGTTGAATGTGACCGTCCTGCGGCGATGATACTTGGGTGGGCCCGCTGAGGGCTTGGACGGCAGACGCGTTCGGGTCTTCTTCTTCTTGTTGCACCTCGGACAGGACGTCCGTGTGTACGCCGCCGCTTGCAGTCGGTGGAAGGGTGGCGTCACTGTGGGACGACAGCAGCGCGTCCGCCGCCGAGGACTGCGATAACGATGTGGGGGTCGGGATGTTGGAGAGAAACTCGGCCAAGGACGGCGGCAACTGGTCACTGGTCACACCCACATTCGTCGATGTCGATGACGCAAAGTGGGGGTCGACTTGCCGACGCATTCCCACGAACGCGCGCACCCGCCTTGCAGCGGTGAGTTGCGGCGCTGGTGTGTCTACCGTGGACAAGAGGTGACGACGGGGTTGAAGGGGCGAGTTACCTGGGGGTGAAGGGATGCCTTTGAAACGCATGAACATGCGGACGACTCGCTTTGTGACCATGGACTGCCACTCTCGAAGGAGCCCCGCAAAGACCTCGATGCTCAGGCTGACTAGTCGTAGCATGACGCCTACACGAGAATATCAGTGACACTGGTTGATACAATACATGCAGGACACGAGAGATGATGAATCAGTACCTTTGACGATGACCATCCAGACCATGTCGGCGAGGCTGATGGGGTCCGGGATGCGCTTGAAGAGCGTGTGCAGAGGCGTCGCGTCGCCGTTGTACGCCGACATGTCGAAGGCCATCCGAGCACATAACAGCGCGAGAAACACACGAGGCACTGCGCCGTCCTCCGCCGCGATGAAGCCGCGGATGCGATGGTCGACTGCGACCATGCTGGCTGCCACAATCACATAGATGCCTGGAAGAACGCAAGATGATGTCACTTCGACTCGAGAGCGCATGCAGTTGTACCTGCGATGCTCTGGGTCGACGCTGCGATCACGAAGAGCATCAAGAATGCCCAGGTCTCGTCGCACAACGTGCTCAAGATCTTGCGCAGGTGGTTCGCGCCTACGCGTGGACATGTAATCGAAGGTAGGCAGCGTCGACGTACCTTTAAAGTCGGATGTGTCCGTGGCTGGTGCCGCAGCGGCCACAACGGTGGCATCGGTGTCTGCGTTGAAGAGGTGTGGGTGTTGGGAGTCATTACTCGCGTGGTTGATCTTGTCGATTTGCGTACGAAGAGCGTTACAAAGCAAAGATCTTGAATATCTAACCTGATATTATCATGTACCATCGCTACCGAAGACGGACGAAATATTATATACAAATGTGTACTTGACTCGACGTTTGTATGATCATTTCAAGTATATCTATTTTATTCTCACACGTGGTAAATTAATACCATAATTCGGACAAACCATATTATTAATATATACTAGTACGTAGTACTTCGACGCAAAGTAACGTTATTGTTATATTAATTCCTTCAAAACCTGATAGTTTATTAACGATTGTGGCAAAAAACGTCGAGCAAGGAATTCTTGGGATGGTCAATCAAAGCAACGCTAGATGGGCGTTTCAAACACGTTTCAAACGCTCGAAATTAATATTTTCAAACTACCTACCGGTAGAAGTCTTAGTTTTGGATGATCAAATGGTAGAAAACGATGTTCTGGAATGGAAAACAGTTTAAAACTCTGCAAGGTTGTCTGAAGAACAGTTTAAAACGATTTCAAAGGGTTTGAAACCATTTAAAGACATGCCATGATTCTTTGCCCAGATTGGAATGCCATCGTGGGTGTGGAATACTGCCAGTTACTAGTACGCTGTACTATTAATAGTGTGTAAATCGTCGGTAGCTTCAGTGGAGTTGGGTGATTCTCGATGCACTGGCCAGAGTACATCGCGCCACGCCAGGCGGCGACACACGTGGCTCTGCATATGTGTACCTTACTTTGGCTAGTGCGACGAGATTCACCAAACTCAAAGCTAACGACGTTGCAACAAGGTACGACTAGACATACGCATGATGGCAACACGATCGACGGAAAGTTGATCGATATTTGGCTTAACCTCACGGTGTGGTTGAGGTCGGCGAGCACGCTGCTGCTGCATCCACAGTCGACTGTGGTGGGACGAACATGCATCGTAGTCGACGTGTACGTGGTCTATAATTACTGTCCGTCCATGGCGGCTTGCTGTGCTTCGGCGAAGCGGACACCGACTCGTTGGGTGTGTTTCAGGAACTTCTCGGCGCACAGGTTCATGCAGTTGACTTCCTTGTCTTCGAGTTTCTTGGAGCGGAACGACTGTACGCATTCGTTAAAGCAGGTCGCGACGACTCGGTTGTACAGCATCAACGACTCTTCCAGCTGTTTCTGCTCAAAGTGCTTCATGAGCTCTTGCTGCTGGTGCGGAGGAAGGGAGGCCGCGGCGTTCATGTCGATGATGTTGGACTTGTTCACCACACACCATCGGTACAGATGATTGACCAATCAAAACGCGTGAAATTGCACCAATCCCCCTTCGAGTTAGAAATCTATTATCCAATCAACTTCGAATCCTGGTCAGCCAATCACATCGCTCGAAACGAGTGGAAGCTGCAAGCACATTGGCGCTTCAACTTGGATTATTCAACATGGGGAAGCAGACCGAGCTCAAGGCGGCGCCGGGCCCTCCGAGCAAGAAGCGCTTCCGCTTCCAGAAAGGGAAGGAGCGCATTGCGGGTCTACAGTCGGAACTCCAGCTGCATGCCAAGACCCAGTCGTACTCAAACTTTCTGCTGGCCAACACAGCCACGGAGCCTTTCCACGACGAGCTCGCGTTGCTCGGTGAGTTGTACACGAACGAGCGGTTCCAGCAACTGTTTCGAAAGCTGCGTCGGATCACCAACTCGACACCGCAATTGCTGCATCACTTGACCCAAGTTGTGGCCATCCTCGAGACGAATGTCCGCGACTTTCCCAAGGACCCAGACGTGATGATCCCTGTGCTCAAGCTTTACGTCGCGCTCGCCAAGTAAGCATTGGATCGATGTACTACTTTCTGTTCTCGTACTCATATATATGTGCAGGGATTTGCAAAAGGAATTCTACCCGCACTTTGCCACGTCGTTGCCGCACATCTTGTCGATCATTGACAAGACCAACGTACGTTGTTGCTTACTTCCGCCGTTGCTGCAACTAACTCGCAAACTTTTTTGCGTAGCCTGAACTGACCGCCGACGTGTTCAAGACCCTCTCCATGCTCTTCAAGCATCTCCAGGCCCAAGTTCTCGCAGATATGAGCGTGCTGCACAAGTTCTACAGCGTGCTCGTGGGCCACCCACAGGAATATGTGCGCGAGTTTGCCGCCAATGTATTCGCAGTACTTTTGCGAAAGGTCAAATCTGGACATGCATTCCAGTCGTACGTGTTGAAGTACTTGTCTGCGCTCGTGCGCGGGATCACGAGCCACGACGGGAGCAACGCGTCGTCCCTGTTGGACCACGACCACGTGCTAGACGGAACGGCCAAGCTGTTCTTTGCCGTGATGAAGAACGTCCAAGCCCAGTTTCACTCGCGTACGAAGGAGTTGCTGCCGTTGCTCCTACAGGCATTTGACCCTTCCCAGCAAGTTTCTGCAGAGCAAGCCACCTTCCCGACCAACCACGACCACGTGATCTACGACATTTCAAAGCGCGTCGTCGGCATGCTCCGACGGTACACGACCGCCGAGCACGCGCCAGTGGTGTGGACGAGTCTCCTGGACGCCACCTCCCGCGCCGTCGCCGCCGTCCGTCCAGCTCCTGCGTACATCGCGCGGCTGTGCAACCTCGTCGCACTGTTTGTCTCGTACAAGCAAGGCGATTTGGTCGGCAAGGGCGACGCCATTCGTCGGCCGTTGCTGGTCGTGGTGCAGACGCTGCTGTCCAAGTGTGTCGCCCACACGGACGAGTTGCGCGAGTCGGTGCTGAACCTGCTGAGTCAGTGCGCATTTGCCCTCCAGGGAGACTTTTACGACGCGATCGGGACCATCTACACGACGCCGACGCTCCCGGACGCCGCCGACGTGGACGCGTTCACGGAGAAGCTGCTGTCGTTGCTGCCGGTCATTGCTGTGGCCAAATATGTGCTGCCGAAAGCGTCGCTGTACGCCGCTGCGCAACACCAAAAGGGCCCAGTGGCGTTGCTCCAGTCGTTTTCCGTACTCGTCGACTGGATCGAACTCCACCAGCACGTCGACGCGACCTACGGCGGCGGCGTGCTCACCCGCCAAGCCAGCCGCGTCGTGCTCGACCTGGCCAAGGTAACCAGTCAAGCGATGGGGCACTTCGAAGCCGTCGTGGAAGGAGCGTTCGCCTCGTTCTTGGCGTCCACTGACGACTTGGTCAAGATTGCCAACGTCCGCCAGGCGTTGCGCTGCCTCGCGTTCTTCAAGACGTCGTCGCCCGCGACCGTGACCGCGTCCGTGGCTTCGTTTCGCAGCAAGTTGCTGCAATTACTCCCCAGTTCAGACGAAGCCACCGCCGCGGCGTTGACGGCGCTGCACGGACACTGCCTCGCGGTGCTGGGCCGACTGGCATCCATCCAAAACACAGCCACGTCCGAAGCCGACTTGCTCGAGTTACTCGCGCCCCACCCGACGTCGCCCCACATGGTGCTGGCCATCCAGTCGTACGCCGTGACGTCGCCGCTTCTGTCGGTAGAGTCGTGGTACCCGCTGTTACACCGAAACTTGCGGAGCTCCAACCACTCGCTTCGTCAATACACGCTCCGGTTGCTGTCGCTGGCCCCGGCCCTGCCGTTTCTCGCCTCCCAAGACGCCGCGGGTACCCTGGACGGATCTTGCGATGTCGTGGCCATCTGTCTGCAGCTCGAAGACGCCGCGGCGACTCCGTCCGTGGACACGGAGCGCCAACTCATCCGGCTGCTAGACCGGCTCAAGGTGCTCGCGCGGTCGACGCAGGTGCCGACGCTGTACATCCAGCTGATCGTGTCGCACATGCTCGGGCTGTTCCATGTCAAGCTCTCGACCATGTGGCCCCACGTGTCGGCCGTCGTGCAGGCCGCCGTGTCGGTGCACTTTGACTCGATCTGGGACGTGGTGGTGGACGAGTTGGAGTTTGTATCGACGCGGTCGGTGGCGGCGGCTGAGGTACCGGCGGCGTTGCTCGCCCACTTGCCGGCAAACTCCACCACTTCGTCCAACGCAACAACTCAACACAACTCGCCAACGTCGTTGCGCCTCGTGGCTGCGTTGGCCAGAGATTGTGTGCTCGAACTCGGCTCTACCGCGCACACCGCGACGGACGCCGTGACCCACCACGGCCTCGTGTACAAGATGCTGGAAACGTTTGCCCATTTGGTTGAGCACAAGTCCAAGGTGGTCGTGCCCGTGTTTTGCGCGTTCCTCCGCGATCAGTACTACGCCGTGTATCCGGACGAAGTTGACCGCGTGTCGGCGGCGGACCTGACGGCACTGATCGCGTCCGCTGCCGTCTCCCGCGAGGCCAACCCCAAGTACGCCACGCACCACCCCAAACTCACGTCGACGTTAGTTGTCGTCGTCCCGACTGCCAAGTCGGTGCAAGACAAGCTCGTGTCGTTCCTCCACCTGTTCAAGCGGTTCACCAACTACAAGGGAGTGTACGGGCACGAGTTGCTCTGGTCGTTGTTCTACTCGTTGCTACTCAAAGCCGACGACCGGCTCTCCCGCGGCGCCCTCGACTGTTTATTTGCGTTCAAGCCGGCGTACCTACTGCCGTACCGCCAGCCCCTAGAGGACCTGTGCAACCCCAAGTCCTTTCGAGACACGCTGACCAAGTTCAAGGTCGATCGCGCGTCGGGTACGCTCCAAGATGAGCACCGCGACGGCGTCCTGCCGGTGCTGGTCCGGATCTTGTACGCCAAGTTTATCACTCGCAAGGGTACCCGCAGCGCCAAGCACTCGCTCGCGCACCGCCGGACCACGGTGCTGGCGTTCATCGTGGCGCTGGATCCGGACGAACTGGTGTACTTTGTGGACCTGATCTGCCGTCCATTCCACCTCCCATCGATCGGCGGCACGCACGGCTTTACGACCCAGGTCGCGCACGCCCAAGCCGCGATTGCAAACGTGTCGGCGTCGAAACAAGTGGGATTCCTCAACGTTCTGGAGGAAGTTGTCGGGCAACTCGGCATGAAAGTCACCAAGTACCTCCCCGACCTCCTCGCGATCCTCACGGCCATCCTCGGCCACGACGGCGTCGGCCAAATCCACCATAACGATGCTCTTGTCGACGATGATGACGAGTCGGCCGTTGCTGACGTCGTTGCTCCGACTCAACATCCAGTTGTACACGAACTCGTCGATGGTGACGATGTCGATGATGAGAATGACGATGGTGACAATGACGAGGACAATGACGAGCAGGCGCCCCTGCCTGTTGTGGAGGGCGAGGACGCCGCCGACAACATCGATCCGGACGAAGAGGAAGGGGAAGAAGGGGAAGAAGATCCTCTTCAAAAGGGTCACCACCACGACAGTCTCCGCAAGCAAACGAGAATGCTCACGTTTCGCCGACTCACGCAGATCGTGGACCAGGTACTAGTACTACTAGTACTACTAACTACTAGTACCTGTAACACTATTTGTGGTTTGTTCCCTAGTTTGACGGGCAGTATGCATTTCACGAGTGCTTTCAAATGGTGTTTGCGCTGTGCCATACGTCGATATTGCACTTGCCGAACGCGATGCGCGGCGCCAAGAAACCGTCGGCGCTGCTCGAGTGGCTGCGCGCGGTGGCAGTGTCGGGGTCCGTCGTCACGGAACTCACGCCCGAGATCGTCCGGAGCGTGCTCTCTTGTCTGGGCAGCGGCGCCCACCTCAACGTGACCATCACGCACGACGTGCTCGAGTGTGTGCTAGGGTTCATGGACGGGTTGCTCACGGCGGACGAGGCGCTGCTCACGTCGTTACTCTTGCCGCAGCTCGAGTTTGTGCTCCACCAGTTCGTTGCTCGGTTTCAGGCTAAAACCGCCAAGTTCATCCAAGACAAGAAGAAGCAAGGTGCGTCGTCCAAGAAGGAGCTGCACTTTCTGTGCCGACTGGCGCCCCATGTTGGCCGCGGCGGCACGACCGTCGAGACGGCGCACCAACTGGTGACGCTGCTGTTGCCGTTCGTCACGCGCAACCACAAGACGTCGCCAGTGGAAAAGGAGCACGTGTTCCAGGTCGTGTCGGGGCTCATCCCGTGCCTCGATGCCCCCCACGCCCACGTCAACTTTCTCGCAAAGTTGCTAGCCCCCGGCGTCAACTGCATCTCGGACCCGCAACCCCGCCAGAAACTCATGGACGTGTTCCGTGCGATCCAAGTGCATCCCCGAGCGACGGACCTCGCCGCCATGTGTCAACACCTGCTCGACCTCAACGCCCTCGACGCCCGACGCCTCGAAGAAGCCGACTTTGAGCGCCGGATCAGCGCCTTCCAAGCGCTCAATTCGATTCAATTTCACGGGTTCCGCGAACACTCGGTCACGCTGGTGCCGCTCGTGAGCCAGTACCTTCAGGTATTGTGAGTCCTTTTTACCCAAAATGTGGCCTTTTGATTCGCCAAATCTATCGATTGTTTGACTTTTTGTATGTAAAACTCGTCCTGTGTCACACTTGTTGAAGTCACACGAGGTTGCATTTGTCGAAGAATGGATTTGATTGGCTACTTGGTTCGTGATCTGGGTTTTGATTGGTCGATCATTTGTGTGCGATACGGTGCTGCTCTTTAGCGCACCCGACTTCCATTTCGAATATGGACTTGACAAGATGATGTTGTAGAGCATGCACGACACAGAGTACTCGCTCCGGAATGCGGCCAAGGCGGGGTTGGAGGTGCTGATCGCGCTCGCCGCGACCGACGACAGCAACGGCGTCCTCTTTCGGGTGTTTGAGACGGTGCTCATGCCGTGCGTCCGGGTGAGTTTGAAGTCGCCGGTGGAGGACATCCGCCGCGGGTTCGTCTTGCTGCTCTCGGTGGTCGCCGACCACTTTGCAACCCACGCGAGTCCATCCTTCCACGGCGACCTCTCGGTGCTTCGCAACAAGGAGGACCCGGAAGTCGACTTTTTCCTCAACCTCACGCACATTCAAGCGCACCGCCGGCTCCGCGCCGTCCAGAAGCTCAAGCATGGCGTCGACAGCGGCGACTACGCGACCCTATCCAACACGACGGCGCACAACATCCTCGTGCCGCTGCTTCAGCACGTCGTGTACGAAGCCAAGGCCCAGGAAGGCGTCGGCGGGGAGGCCGCGCAGGCACTTGGGAGTGTGGCCACGCTCTTGTCATGGACCAATTACTCGGCGTTGCTGCGCAACTTGCTCAAGCAGATCCCGACCCGCCCCGACTCGGAGACGCTCATCATTGCGTCCGTGTGCGCAATCATCGACCACTTCCACTTTGAGGGCATTGTGGTATCGGACGGCTGGAAGGCGTCCAAGGAGGACCGCGCCGCCGTCGCCGTCGTCCCCGCGACGCCCATCCAGTCGGCCATGACCACGTCGCTCCTCCCGATGCTCAAGACGTTCCTCACCAAAGGGAAGCGCAAGCAGGGCAAGGGGAAAAGCGCCAAGGACGACCAGGGCACGGCCACCGGCGACTACGTGTTGCGGGTGCCGGTGGCGCTGGCGATCGTCAAGCTACTGCGTCGGCTACCCGCGCACGTCTTCTTCCAAGAGTTGCCCAAGTTGCTCATGCAAGTGACCAAGTTGCTCAAGTCCAAAGATGAAGTGGTCCGGTCATCCAGTCGCACGACGCTGGTTCGGATCGCGGTCGAGCTCGGGCCGCAGTACCTTGTCGCAGTCGTGTCGGAGCTCGAACATTCGCTCAAGATGGGGTTCATGGTGCACGTGTTGTCGTACACGTTGTTTGCGATTCTAGAGAAAGTTGCCGACGCTTGCGAGCAACGCGCGCCGCCCCCCCTCACTGAAACCGAAACTGAAACCACCACGACCATCCTGTTTGCGTCGCCGTTGGATGAATGTGTGCCCAAGATCGTGGCGATTCTCGTGCGCGATATCTTTGGAGACGTCGGCGACGAGCGGGAAGACAAGGCCAGCAAGTCCAAGACCAAGGAAGCCCGCGCCTGCCGGTCGTTCGACTCGTTCGAACTCCTCGCGCGGTGCATCAACTTCCTCCCCAACCCGACCATCCACACGCTGCTGCTGCCGGTTGTGCAGTCGCTCGCGAGCACTTCGGCCTCCCGCAAGGGCAAAGTCCTGCTCAACGTCCGCACCGTGCTGTCGCGGGTCGCGCTCGGGCTATCGAAAAATAAGAGCGTCGAGGCCACGCACATGTATTTGTACTTGTTCAATATGCTGCACATGTGCTTCAACCGGCTCACGTACCTCCAGCCGACGGACGCGTCCAAGGCGGCGGCGCTGCATGCCGACGCGGGGGGCGTGTCGTCATGGCTCGTGCTCGACTGGATCGGCACCAAACGCCGGACGCAGGCCCGCGTGTCGTCGTGGGAAACGTTCCGAATCGAAGCCCAAGCCAAGATGACTGGCTTTGACCGGTACGTGGCCACCAAGGAGGATGCGGCCAACTCTGGCGCCGACGAGATCTTGCTGTATTCCGTCACGTTGCTCTACACGTTGCTCAAGAAGGATGCGTCCGCGCTCACGTTGCTCGATCCGTTCGTGCCGTTGCTGCTGCGCTGTCTGAACGAGATCAAGCACACGGATACTGTCATTATGGCGCTCAAGTGCGTCGCCGTGATGCTCAACCATCCGTTCCCGTCGCTCCTCCAAGGGTTGAGCACTGTCGTGGATCGAGTGTTCAAGGTAAAACGTCGTCACATGTCGTCACCACGTCGCAGCATGTATATTGATGGCTGTTGTGTGTAGATCATTCAAAAAGCTGGCGCTGCGACCAAGAACGAGTTGACGCAAACGTGTTACCGCCTTCTGTCCGTCCTGATTCGAGAACGCAGCGAGTACCGACTCGACGACGGCCAGCTCCGGGGGCTCCTCAGCTTTCTCCGCCACGACGTCGAAGAGATGGATCATCAGAACGCCACGTTTACGCTGCTCAAGGCGGTGCTCGGGCGGCGGCTGGTCGTGGCCGAAGTGTACGATCTCATGGTGCGCGTGGGGGAGATGATGGTGCAAAGCCAAGTGGCGACTGTGCGCGCCAACTGCGGCAGCATGTACCTGCTCTTCCTGCTCGACTACCCCCTCGGGGACAAGCGACTCAACTTTCACATTCGGTTCCTCGTGAATAACCTCACGTTCGTGTACGAGTCGGGTCGGCTGTCGTCGCTCGAGTGTTTGCATGCCCTGGTACTCCAAAATGTGGCTGACTTTTTTGCCAAATCAATCGATTTACACACCAATTTAGTCGACGCGTGGATTTGATTGGCTACTTGATCGTGTGCTGTGGGTGTTTTGATTGGACAATGCTCATATATATATATATATCATAGGTGAAAAAGTTGCCGTCGGATCTCTTGGATGCCCGCGCGCAGTTCTTCTTGCTGCCGCTCGTGCTCCAACTCGTCAACGACGACGCGGCGCCGGTCCGTGAGCTCGCGGCGGCGGTTGTGTCGGACCTCTTCAAGCGCATTTCGGCCAACGTGTTTGGCGACGCCGTCGCGCTCATGCAGCCGTGGTGGGGAAGCGCCGACCCCAAGCTCCAGTGTGCCGCCGCGCACGTGACCGGCCTCGTGGTCGCCGCGCGGCCGGATCTGGCCAAGAAGCAAGCCACGTTCGTCACGACCAAGTTGAGCGAGGCGCTGGCCCGCGCAGTGGATGCGATGGGTGAGCAGGAAGAAGCAGAAGATGGCAAACAAGTCGCCGACGTCGAGTGGGAGGCGACGTATTACGCGCTGCTGTGCGCCGACGCCTGGCGCACGTCCGTCCACGACGTGTTCGAGGCATGGGCGCCGTCCGTGCTCGAGTCGGTCGTGGCACTGCTTACGTTTCCGCATGCGTGGGTCCGGTTGGCGGCGGTGCGGGTGGTCCGGGGGTACGTGCACGGACGGAGCCCGAAGACCCTGCTGCGAACCAACCAAGACGGTCATGTCGTGGTGTACCTGGAGCAACCGGGGCGACTGTTTGCAATGGCCCAGCAACTATGCAAGCAACTCGAGAGCTCATATTTGACGGACGCGTTGGTCGCCGAGATCGTGCCCACGTTGCTGTTTGTGCTGCGGGCGTTGCAGACCCACCCGCACATTGACCAGCATCATCACAAGGCGGCCGTGTCGTTGGCCGAAACGGCTACAGTCGATGAAGAAGACGAGGACGTTGCTGACGTCGTCGTTGCAGAGCCACTCGAGGCATCGAGTGAAGCTACGAAACAGTCGTCCCCGGTCACGTGGCTGTTTACGCGGCTGTCGTTTCTGGCGCGAGGGTACCAACTCCCCCTGCGCAAGACGGCCGTGTACAAGTTCTTTGCCGGCGCAGCTGTCCAGGAAGACTCGAGTTTCTTAGCAACTGTCTTGCTAGCGATGATCAACCCGCTCTACCGCGACATCCACGACGAAGCTGTGGACGACTCGGAGGATCCGGATGACTCTGCAAGTATCCGGAATCTCGCGCAGGAAGTGCTACAGGTGCTGGAAGCCACGGTCGAGTCGGCCGTGTTCGTGTCGACGTTTGCCCACGTGCAGAAGAAGGTGACCGAGTTCCGGGAGCGCCGCAAGCAGAAGCGGAAGATTGAGGCGGTGGCTGAGCCGGACGTGGCGGCGGCGCGCAAGATCTTGAAGAACTCGAGGAAGCAGGAGTCCAAGCAGCTCAAGAAGAGAAAGATCGGACACCTCAAGGGGTCTCAGAGCAAGTACCAGAAGATCGCCGCGTCCAAGGAACGACAGCGCAACGCCCGTCCAGGACACTACTAGAGACACTTTGCTAACGTTATATACATGGCTGCCTAAGACATGATGATTGCGTTGCGGAGCTAGTTGCTGCGGACTTAAAAGGTGAAAGAAAAGTAAATGACGGTAAAAAAGATGACCATGGGGGAATGAATTCGCTGGCCCTCGGAATTAATAAAACGTATGTTCAACCCATACCAAAGGGGACGTTAAATACGAGAAACGATGGGGTTAAGTATAAAACCTGCGTTATTTGGATGACCCAGGGGGGTTTTACTACCAAGTAATATCATCAGCGAAGTCTAAAGTGGAATTCCACCGAAGGCGCGGGATCAAAATAAAAAACTATCGATGTTTGAAATTCAAACTCTACTGTTGCAAGGGAGAAGGGCTGGTCTTAACCAGAAAGTATTTTAAATCCATTTAAAATGTCATGTGTGTTGCAACAGAGTTGCATCAAGTGGTCCATTAGGAATTCAAGCGGCATCACATCAGGAAGCCGTCGAGATGTCGACTCCATCCGCCGACGCCGCACCAATGACGGCGCTAGAGATGCAGCGACGCCGACTCATGCTTGAGCGTGAGAAGATGCGCTCTCGAAGCAAGACCACCAAACTGGCTACCGACACAATCTCAAAGTCGAACGACCCCAAGGTACAACACGACACCAACAACGACCGGCGTAGCCTGTCCCGCGAGTCCATCTCCCCGCCAAGTCCGCTAGATCCCCGATGTAGCTCATCCTCTAGTACTAACGTCCGCGGTGTTGTCGTCAATACATCCTCGTTTCCAACGTCCCGGCCGGACATGTGCCCAAGCGATAGAAAGGCGCGAGGGTCTATCGACAAGCCCAAGATGTCTGCATGGAACAAGGTCAAGTCCATCGACGTCAAGCGCGAGTTGGCTGAAAACGTCGTCGTGCGTGTGATGGACAACGACCCCGACGACCACCAGACAGGGACATCCTCCTCCTACTCGTCGACTGCCGCCATCGACGCTCCCTTCTCGATCTCGATTCAGCTGCGGGATACCTCTTGGCGAATCACGCGCAGTATCAGCGACTACATCCTGCTTTGTCCTTTGGTACATGATCATCTCCATCATCGCATCTTGATGTGATTCTGTGCTTTGTAGGTTCCAGGCCTCGCCCCGCTCGACGCCGTCACATCCGACATGTCCCGTACCGCCGTCCGCGCTGTATTCCAGCATGCGCTGCATGTCGCCTCGCGCCTATGCGACGCATGGGCCATCGACGCATTCGCCGCGTTCTTCGACAACCATTTCGGCATGCTGGCGCTGCTGCTGCACGCCAAGCACCTGTCCGACCGCGTCGTCGCGTTGGAATCAGCGCATGAAGCCACCAAAGGTCACCTCAAGGCGTGCCAGGACACGGTGGGCGCCCAGCAGGTACTGCTCAACTCCCTCGCCCCCTCGACACCCCCCTCCCTCCGATCCGCGCCGCCGCCATCGTCGTCCGGATCGTTGTGGGAGTCGGCTTCGTCCCCGTGGTCTAGTGCGTCCTCGTCGTGCGTGCCGTCGACGTCGTGTCGGCACTTGGCCACGCAAACGCCCATGTGGGTCCCGTCCAACAGCCTCCCGACCGCCGCCGACGTCCGCGCCCATCGCGTCCTCGCGCAACTGGCCCCGTCGCCCGCCGCCGTCACCCATCGCCAGCGCATCTTCCATTCCATCGCATCCATCATCAAAACGTCGTTGCGGGTGCTGGCGCCGCACGCCCAAGTGATGCTCATATCCGGATCGGCGGCGCACATCTTCTTGCCCGACTCACCGCTGCGGGTAGGTGTGTTCTTTCCTACCCACTCGTCAGGCGACACGTTGCTGCAGTGGCACATGAAGGTGAACGAGGCTCTGTGTCATGCCAGCAACGCCGTGTGCAACGCCGCCATCAGCAACGACTCCAAGAACGCATTGCTAATCCAACACGTGGAGCTCAGCAACGCCGCCACCGACGGCACCGGCCCCCACGTCACATGCAACGTCGGCCACGTCACTGTCGACATGTGCGCCAACCCTCTCCGCGACCTCCGCGGCGCCCACTTTATGGCCAGCATCGACGCCTTGATCGGGCGCGACCACCTCTTCAAGAGAAGCGTCCTGCTCGTGTACGGCTGGCTGCGCTACGAATGTCCGTCTTCGTCCTCCTCGTCCTCCCCCTCGTCGCCTTCGTCGTCGTCATCTCCGTCGCCGTCGTCGGCCGGTCCGACCATCGGCGCCGCCGCGCCCGTGTCTTTGTATGCCATCGCCACTCTCGTGCTGTATGTGTTCAACTTGTACCATGACTCGATCCACTTGCCGTTGCAGGCGGCCGCACACTTCTTTGGCCTCTTCGCCGCATTTCCGTGGGACGGCTTCTGCGTCGCGATCGAAGGCCCGCGTGACCTCCGCAGCGTCACGTCCCCGCCGCAGCGACCGCGCGACGGCGCCGCGCCGCTGTGGATGCCACCCCACTTGCTGCGTCGGCACCGATCCGGACGACTTGATGACCCGCCGCCGCCATCAACGGGTTCGGAAGAGTCCCGTTTGAGTGTAGACGACGACGACGAAGAAGAAGTGGCAAGGATGCTCCATTTCCCAGTACGTTTCCCTGTCTTGGATGGCCATATGATGGAGAGAGGATTCATAGCATTGCTGTGCACTGTAGATCAAACATATCAACATCATGGACCCCATCGATGCCAGCGTGAACCTCGGCCACGCCTTGTCAGCCAAGCAGTACGTCAATAGTATCTTATAGATACTCCGTACTATTCTTCTGCCATTTGGTCGTACACATGGATCGATCTATCTTTTTATACTGACGTTTGTATGTCAAGCCTATTGCTTTGTGGGGATTGGAATCACACTAATTAGAACTCACACTAATTATTCCCTGGTATCCTGTAACCTGATTGGGTAATTCGTTTTACTGCCCGATGATTCTCGTGTCGATTTCTTGTGTCGTCGATTCATTCTCCATTAGAAATATTAATATTTCTAATGGAGAATGAATGAATATTTATGTAGTATTATAAATATACTATTGGATTTAAAGTCTTTAGTAAATGAAATTCATTTTCTTTGCATTAACTATCCTGGGGATAGTAATATATAAATCCATCTCATACATGTGTATGACTGTAGGGCGACGCAGTTCCGCCAAGCGCTGGACCTTGGCGCGACCAAATTGCATGGGGTTGTGTCGGCCATGAAGAAGGAGATGACGTCAGCAGTCTCAACTTCACTCGGCTCCACGTCCAGGTACAGACGACTCTAGTGTATATAGAACCAACCTGTATGTATATAGAACCAACCTGTATTACTATTACCATGTACTTCTAGTATGGTATAATGTACTACTAGTGTTTCGCTCCTGGATGGGTGCTTTCGACACATTGCCCAGCGGTTTCAGACCGGATATCGCCCCGACACGGCGGTGGTCCCGCCCTTGGACGTGCCGGACGATGGCGCGTTGTCTGGCGACCTCCTCCAAAGCCTGAGCGTCCTCACGGCCCCGACGCCCTCACATCCGCCTCCGTCGTCCGTCGGCACCGCACCCCCGGGTCTGTCGCGCCCGACGCCCCTCTCCACGTCGTCCGTCGCCCCGCCATGTCCGACCTCGGGGAATGCCCTCGCAGTGTGCTTGGAATCTCTTCGGTACTACATCCAATGTTTGTATATATGAGGTACGGTGCTTGGTTATGACGAGTGTATAGGCATGACGTGCTCGTGTGTGATTTCGTCGTGACGGGGCGCGTGACGGCGCCGGCGGTGTACTCGATGGCGATGGAAGTGCTGGAAGACCGCGGGGCGCTTCCCATCGGCGAGATTGGCAAGTGTCTGCAGGAAACAGCGACGGCGGCGACGGCGCTCTCGGCCGTGCTCAAGGACCAGTTTGGCGGACTGAAAAAGTTCCTCGAGCAGTACCCCGCCGTGTTCCTTGTCAGTTCTGATCACCCGTTCAACCCCAAAGTGTATTTGCATCGGTACGGAGGTGTCGTCGTTAAAGCCAGCAGCAGGGAACATGGACTCACGAGATCATGTGCCTGTGTCTCGTGGTAGGATGCTCACCGAAAGCAGTGCTGCCCAAGTGCTGGACGGCACCCTTGTCGAGGCATGCCGGAAAAAGGTACGAGTTCGATCTACATCCACGAGAAACTCACAAGGGGTGTGCAGAAACCCAAGCCCACACGACGAAGCAAGAAGGCAGACAGGGACGACGACGGCGACGCGCCGCGGTCCATCTCGCTCGCGCTGCTGCCGTCCCAGCATGGAGTGGCGGGTCCGCCGCCGCCGCCAGGGATCGGCTTCCCATTGCCGCTGCCGCCGCGAAGTTTGTCCTTCGAGTCGTCGCTCAAGAAGTCGGCAGCCGCGTTTGTTCCCAACCTCAACCTGGCATCGTCGTATACTGAGAATGCGTATCGTTGATTTCATTGGTGCAGAGTGAATTTAATGTAATTAATCAACCAATCCAATCGCAGTGTTCAGTTGACTTGGATATAGTATGGTGGCCCCTTCGCACGCGGTTGATTGGACAGAACAAACACTGTAGACAACGGATCATATAGAGTTTGAATTGAACATGGTCAAGAAGCGCGTATTGTCGCCGGCGCCGCTGTTGGACACGGCCCTCTTGACGGCGTTCGTGGAAGAGAATGGGTTGAAGCTCGTGCATGCGCAAAAGATCTGGAAGCACATCTCCACGCAGGTCCAGGCGCAGTCCACCGCGGACATCTCGGTCCGCGACATCCCGCACTTGCCGTCGCATGCGTACCCGTTGCTCGAAGCCAAGTTTGCCGCGTTCACGACCACCGTCGCGGAGCAACACACGTCCAGCGACGGCACGGTGAAGCTTCTCATCACTCTCCAGGACGGCCACAACATCGAGGCGGTGATCATGAAGCATTCGGGCCGCAACACGTTGTGCGTGTCGTCGCAGGTAGGGTGCCAGATGGGCTGCACGTTTTGCGCTACCGGTACCATGGGCATCATCGCCGACCTGTGCGCCGGGGAGATCCTCGAGCAGCTGGCGCATGCGTTCCGCGTCGCGCCAATCCGGAACGTGGTGTTTATGGGTATGGGCGAACCCCTCAACAACTACGACGCCGTGCTCGCGGCCATCCGCGCCATGACCGACGTCTTCGGCCTCGCGCCCAAGTACATTACGCTGTCCACGGTGGGGGTGATCCACCGCATCCGGCAGCTCAAGGAGGACGCGCCGCTCGTCCGCCTCGCGCTGTCGCTGCACGCGCCGACGCAGGACCTCCGCGTACAGATTGTACCCACCGCCAAAGCCTACCCCCTCGACAAACTCATGCTGGCCATCGACGACCACTTGAAAGATCGAGACAACCGGATGGTCATGATGGAGTACATCATGCTCAAACACGTGAACGTGGCCATTGCGACGGCACACGACCTGGGCAAGTTGCTCGCGGGCAAGTCGGTGGTACGTGCGTTGATTAGCCATTCGTCCAACAGAGTGTGTGTGTGTGGCTCACGTTTGAGTGCATGTAGCACATCAATCTGATTCCGTACAACGCGACGGACGTGGACGCCGAGTTTCAGTCGCCGACTCGCGACGAGATTGTGGCCTTCAAGGACGTGCTGCGGACCGACTACAACCTCAAGGTCACGGTAGGTCTTGAATGTTTCTGCTGTAAATTGATTGGGAGGGTGTTTGTTGCTCACGTCGTTGTGGTACAACGCTAGATTCGGGAGAACCACGGCATGGACATCGACGGCGCGTGCGGCCAGCTGGCCGTCAAGAAGTTGGAGGCCGGACTACCCAAGTCCCCCTTCGTTCCAGAGCAACGTGATATTGAGGACCTTGGCCAGCGCAAGAAAACCTCGTCGAAAACGACCAAAAAGCAACCGCCAGGCAAGGGTGACGACGCTTCGTCATCGTCGTCAATGACGACACTTTTGCTCGCGACGGTGCTGCCCATCGTTGCCATCGTCGTCACCGCGACCCTGGTGTGGCGCCGACTCAAACCCTAACTACAATCTCAAAAGTCAAACTACAATCTCAAAAGTCTAACTACCTACTAGTAACTACTAGTACAATCTCAAAAGCCTAACTACAATCTCAAAAGTCAAACTACAATCTCAAAACCCTAAGTACAATCTCAAAAGTCAAACTACCTACTAGTAACTACTAGTACAATCTCAAAAGCCTAACTACCTAACTACAATCTCAAAAGCCTGCAGTAACTAAACCTTACAATCTCAAAAGCCTACCTACAATGTACCCCTCCCCTCCTACAGTTGTAGCAAACACCACCACCGTCCACATATAGATATACAGTATACATATATATATTATATATATATATACTTAAAAGTCTATATCACCACCACCCTCCACATCTATACAGTATATATATACCGACAAAATGCCTTTTGCTTTTTCATTGTTTTTTACTACATATCCAAAGTCCTCGTAATGTATGCATGACGTTTTATGGCTTGGTTTCAGCGTGTTGGCACTTGGTGAATGCGTCGATGGCGGTGGTGATGGCGTGCTTCTCCTTGTTCAGGGCGTCCCACTTGGCGTCGTCGGCGTCGCGCACGGCTGCGGGCACTTTGGTCGTGTAGTCGTCCTTGCTGCGCTTCTTCTTGAGGGCGACCAACGACGGCAGCAGTTTCTGCAGCTTCTTGTCCAGCTTGGTGATTTCGTTTGCAAAGTCCACGAGACCACTCAGCAGCACGTGCAGCTGGAGCTTGTCGCTGAGCACGTGGATGGCACATCCGGCGGGGGGTGCCGTGCCGAGGAGGACTTTGGTCTCGCCGGCCTTGGACAAGGTGCAAAAGTCGTCCACTTGCGCTTCGATCGTTGCTTGGAGGACGGGGTCGTCGGTCGCGAGGAAGCATGCGGGACGGGCGCTGTTGGCGAGCCCGTACTCGGCGCGCAGGGAACGACCCGCGTGGATGATGTCCTTGACCAGGTCCATGCCGGCTTCGGCATCGGGGTTGGCCCACGCCGTGTGGTGGTGGGCTTCGGGGTACGCGGCGATCACGATGCTCGCTTCCGACCGGTGGCCCGGCAGGCGTTGCCACAGCTCTTCCGTCACGAACGGCATGATCGGGTGGAGGAGGCGCAGACCAAACTCCAAGCACAAGTAGAGCGTCTGCTGCGCCGTCTTTTTCGCTTCGGCGTCCGTACCCGCCATCACGGGCTTGACCAGTTCCAAGTAGACGTCGCACACGTCATAGAGCCAAAAGTTGTAGAGCGCCGTGGTCACTTCGCCAAACGAGTAGGCGGCGAGCGCCGTGTTGGCGGCGGCGATGGTCGCGTGCAGCCGGCTCAGGATGAAGCGGTCGCGCGCGTGGACGACGGGGTTGGAGAGGACCGAGGCGGCGACGCCGTCATGGAACCGCTGACCCGCGTCACCATCGTCCGCGTCGAGGTGGGACATGGCGAAGCGGGTCGCGTTCCACAGCTTGTTGCAAAAGTTGCGGTACCCCACGAGGCGCTGGATGTCGAGGTTGATGTCGCCCACCTGCTGCTGGTACGCGAGCAATCCAAAGCGGAGCGCGTCGGCGCCGCACTCTGGGATGCCGTTAGGAAAGTCGGCGGTCTGGCCCTTCTTGGCCTTCTCCACCTCCTTCTCGGGGAGGTTGCCGCTGTCGAGTTTGGCGAGTAGCGTGTCTAGGGTGCAGCCGGCGATCACTTCGAGCGGGTCCACCACGTTGCCGAGGGATTTGGACATCTTGCGGCCATACTTGTCGCGCACAATCGAGTGCAGGTACACGGTATGAAACGGCAGTTTGCCCGTGAGTTTTTGGCCCATGAATACCATGCGCACGACCCAGAAGAACAAGATATCGTAGCCGGTTTCGAGCAGATCGGTCGGGTAGAAGTCGTCGACTTCTTGGTTGTCGGGCCAGCCAAACACGGCGAAAGGAAACAGCCCAGCGCTGACCCACGTGTCGAGCACGTCTTCATCTTGCTTGAGCTCAATCTGAGACGGGTCCACGTGGAGCTTGGCGGCGGCCTTGAGCCGGGCGTCGTGCTCCGTGAGTCCGGCAAACCACCGGTCGTTGGTCGTCTCGGCGTTCGGGTCCACGAATGGCTCGCCGACAATCGTGGCGAAGTACGCGGGGATGCGGTGGCCCCACCACAGTTGGCGCGAGATGCACCAGTCGCGGATGTTTTCTAGCCACCGAAACCACGTCTTTTCATGGTGTTCCGGCAAGATCGTCAGCTCTTTCGAGCGCACGGCGGCCATCGCGTCCTGCGCCATCTGCTCGCAGTTGACAAACCACTGCGGCTTGACCAGAGGCTCGACAATCTTTTGGTGCGGCGCGTCTTTGCCCAGGCGCATCTTGTTGTCCACTTTGCCGTGTGGCTGGGCGTTGGGGGGCCGCGGGTTTTGGCGGGGCGGTCGTGCTTGGTCGCGTTTGAGGCGTGCGATTTCAGCGTGCCCTTTCGGTTTGATTTTTCGGTGGTTGTGGATCCGGGTGCTGTGCTGCGGGTCTTGGCGTTTGGGGGGTTCGTGATCTTTTTGGTCGTGTTGCGGCGTAATGTTGAGTGCTTGGTTTCTGACTGGCGTGTGGCCCCACTCGCTGTTGCCTGTTCTGGGTCTGCGCCGACGGTTTCCTGGGTGTTGGCTTCGTTTGCGGTGTGGTTGCGTGTCGGGCGGGTGGTTTTGTTGGCTGTCGTGTTGGGTGTGGTCGCGTATTGTCTGCTGTCTACGCCGTGCTTGAGCTTTTGTATGTGGCGGAGCCGTCTGTTCGTTTGTATGTGTGTGTGTTTGTGGATATATTGTCCTTCTGTGTGGTTGTTGTTGCGGCGGAGTGAGCGGTCTCTTTGTGTGGATGTATTTGCGTGGGTTTGCTGTTTGTTGGTGTCTTCTTCGTGCAGCCTGTGGCACGTGTTTGGGGTGTTCTTTGCCGTCGCCTTTAAATTGGCCCGGGCGGGCTGCTTGGGTACCGTTTCTAACGGTTGTCATGTGATTGGGTTGCTGTCGTGGGTCGTGTTGCGCGGGTTGTGCGCCTTTCGCTTTGCTTTTGCTGTTTTCGTGTGTGTTTTCTCTGTGTCTTGCATTGTCTAGAAGATCATCTTGTCAGTTTTTTGTTCGTCATGTTGGTGGGTTGCGTTATCGAGCTGTACTTTGTGTGTGACTTCTGTTGGTGTGATCTTCCCCGCGCTCCCGGACCTCTTTTCCCATCCAATTTGTTCTTTGGCTTTTGCGACCTCGTGTGACTTCCACATTTTTGGTACAGGGCGAGTTTTTCTTACTTTATTTCATTTCGCAGGTCCGGTGATATTGTGGCACGGTTCCTTTTTGGGTCCAACGGGCTCCCATTATGTGAATGTAGTGGCTCCCGAGTGGCGCCCGCGTGGCCGAGTGTTCGGGTACTCTTTGTGATTGTATTGGTTTGGGTGTTTGTGAGGCGCTGTTGGTGCGGTCATATTGGGCTTTTTCGAGGTGTCGGGTGTTGGGGGCGTTGAGGTGGTGGGTGTGTTGTTCCATGGCGTCGCGGTCCGTCGTTCGGGGGTGCACTTGGTTCTTGCGGGCGGGGTTGTTGCGTTTCTGGGGGGGTTTCGTGTGCTTGTTGCGGTTGATGTCGTGGGCTTGGATGTTTGCGATGGCGTTGTTGTGGTTGTGGGTGGCGTTGATGCTGGGGGTGGGGCGGTAGATGAGTTGTTCGTCGTGGTGCTTTTTGACTGGCTTGGTCTTGTGGTTGGTGGTTCGGTCGTGCATGGGGAGGTTCGCGCGTTGGTGGTCCGTGTTGCCTGTGGTGTTGCGGCGGTGGTGGTGGGTGGGCGGTTGGTAGTGGTTGTTCCGTTCCTTCTTGGGGTCCGCGCCTTGCTTGTTGTTGTGTTGGTTGCGCTTGTTGGTTTTATCCTTCAACCGGGGCTTGTCCTGGTGGGGCTGAAAGTCTGGCTGCGGCCATGGTAACGACGTGGGCCGCGGCTGGTGGGCGGTGCGCCCCCTTTGCATGCACCCTTGCCTGCGTTGGGGTACGTGGTTGGTGATTGTCCGGTTGCGGTGGGGTGGGCTGCCCCGACATGCGATGCCGTTGCGTCCGCTTTTGTTGGTGGGTTCCGTTCCGCGGGTGTCCGAGATTGCGAGCGCGCGTGGCGTTTGGGGGGGGGCTGACGGTTTCTTGGCGCTTGTCCTTGGTTTCGGTCTTTGTCTTGTCGTCGTCTGGCTTGGCGCACCCTTCCTTTTCCCGCCCTGGTTGCCTTGCTGCTTCCCGTGCCACTGGGTGGTATCCCGTCGCTATTGTTGCCGTTACTTGTTTTTTGTGGTCTTCGTGTTTGTTGTTCCTGTTCCCTTCTTTGCGTGCGTCGTCGTTCCGTGGGTTTTCTTTTTTGGTTTTGTTGTCTTTGGTGGTGGTTCGGTTTTTGTCGTTGTTCTTCTTTTCCTTGTTCTTGTTCTTCTTTGTCTTGTTTTGTGTTTTCTTGGTGGTCTTCGCTTTTCCTTCGCGGGCTGTGGGGGTTGTCTTCGTTGTCCTCGTCGTTGTCGTCGTTTTGGTTGTTGTGTTGGCGCTTGTCTTGGTCTCCGCGTTGGTGTGGGGGTGGATGTTTGGTCGGTGCATGGTGGTGCGCTGCGGGTGCGTCTTTCTGGTTGTCGTCCGGAGCGTCGTTCTTGTGTATTTGGGTGCCGCTGTTGTTGCTTCGGCTTGCCGTGTGTCTCGCTTTGTGGTTGTTGCGGTGTTTTTTGTTTTTCTTGTCGATTTGCCCGCGATCTTCTTCGTTCACTTTTCTGAGTGCCTGTTGTTTGGTGGGCTATTGTTTTGGGCTCGCTGCTTGGGCGTGTGGGGTCTGGGTTTTCTGTTCTTGCGTGCCGGCGGTGGCTTGGAGGTGGACTTGCGGGGAGATCTGGTCTCGAGCGTCTACTATTTTTTCTTGATCTGGCTCTCCGTTGATGTCCTGGTTCGTGTTGCGTCGGTGCTGTTGGTTGTGGTTGGCGCTGGGGTTGTCGTTGTGGGTGGTCATCTTGTCGTTGAGGATGTTGGCGGGCAGCGGCTGGTTGTTGTCGCGGTGCTCGTCTTGGTGGGTCCCTTCGTTGCGTTCGACGTTGATGTTGGTGAGCGTTTCTCGTGCGGCTTTGTGTTTTTCCGTGTCGTGTATGGGCTTGGGGTCGGGGTGTCGGTCTTCGGGGTTGGTCGTTTGTTGCCTGTGGTGTGCGCTGGGTTCGGGCGGGTTGTTGTTTTTGATTTGCGTGGAGTGGTGCAGTTGCTCGTGCGTCTTGTGCCTGTGCGCTGCCTTGTCGTTGTTGTGCTGGTTGGACAGGTGGGGGATGGGTTGGTGGTTTTGTTGCGGCGTCTTGGTCGTGTGGGCGCCGCTGTCTCCCGTCGGCGTGGGTTTGGGGTGGTGCGTTGCGTGTTTGGGGTTTGCTTCGCGGGTGGGGTCGTTGGACGTGTTGAGTGCTTTCTGTTGGTTTTGGTGCATGCGTTGCAGTTCGTGGGGGTTCTCGGGGTAGTACTGGTTGCGGCGGAGCGCGCAAACCCCGGGCATGGCCCCCTTTGGTTTGTGCTCATGTCAATGTGGGAGCGTTTCTGTTGTCTTGTCGTCGGGGCCGTGGTGGGTTTCGGCTTCCTTCTGGGTGTGCGTGGTTGTGCTTGGTTGTGGTGGCGGATGTCTTGGCGGGGCGTGGGCGCGGCGCGACTGCGTTGGGGGGTTGTGTTGGGTTGTTGCGTTGGCGGCGGTGGTTGTGTTTGGGGGCTGGTGTTCGTGCAGTGCTGGCGGTCCCTGTGGGGGTTGTTGCGGGCGGGTTGCTGTGCCCTCCGGCTCTTTCTCCACGTTGTGCCTGCTCGCGTGTGGGTGTAGCTAGTCGGTGGCGTGCTTGTTGTTCGGGGCGTGGGGTGTCCTGGTCTTGAGGTTTCGTTGGGCTGGGTTGTTCGTGTGCGACGCGTTCGGGTGGGTGTGCTGCTTGGGTGGCTGCGTTGGCTGTGGGAGTGGGTTGGGTTGTTGTAGGTTGCGTGTTGGTTGTTGGTGCGTGTGGGGGGGCGGGGTCGGCTGGGGGTGTTGTCGCTGGGGCTGGGTGGGGCGGGGCTGGCGGTTTCGGTGCGGGTTTTCGGCGGCGTTTTGGGTTGGTGGCCATTGCAGGGCCGGGGTCGTTGTCCTTGACGTTGTCTTGTGTTGATTTGGCGTGTTGTTTGAGCTCTTTGCGTTTCTGTGTGAGCTTTTGTTTCTCGACTGTGGCGCCATTCGCGGCGTCGTCCTTGTGTTTGACTGTATGGCCCTGTTCATGTGGGGCTCCTTCTGTTTGGGCGTGCGTTCGTCGGGGCATTGGGTTTCGGCCTTGGCTGTGTTTTGGCTGGCTTGTCTTCGGGCTCGGCTTGGGTGGGGTTGTCCGTGCCTTGCCGTGTCTTCCGCGTCGGTTTCTTGGTCTTTCCTGGGGTGTCATTTGATGGAGTTGGTTCTCCCCGCTGTCGTGGATGTTTTGACTGTTTCGTGTTTCTTCTTTTTGGAGTTCGCTTGGCTGTGCAATGCCTTGCGTCGTTTGGCATTGTTGAGGTAGTCGTTATTGGCCGCCGTTCCGGAGGCGAACGCTCCTTCCACGGCGGCTTCGCGGTGGCGGTTGGGTTGACTGGTTGTCTTTGCCTGTTGGTGGGCTTGTCTTGTTGTTTGGCTGGTTCGTCTGCCGCCTCCGTCTGTCGTGTCGTGGTGGTGGTTGGGTTCTTTCTGGTGGTCGCGTTGGTCCAGCGACTGTGGCATCGTCCCTGGGTCGTTTTGGTGTTTTGCAGGGGCGTAGTGGGGTGCTTTCGGCTGTTGGTTTTTGGGGGCTGCGGTGCCCGGCTGCTACGGGATCCGTTTCTGTGTGTTCTCGTCCCGGTGGTGGTCTTTTGTGCTGGTCGTTTTCGTGTGGCTGGTCTGGTTCGTGTGGTTCGTGTGTCCCTTTGGGGCTCGTGCTCTGTGTGTCAGGCGGTTCTGGCTGTTCTCGCGTCATTGGTCTGTTTGTGGGGTGCGGTTGTTTCGGCGTGTCTGCCGCTGGATCGGTGGCGGCGGACGCTTGTGGTTGGCCTTGGGGCGCCAATGTGCTTTTTTTTGCGCGACCGGTAGTGCGGGGCGTTTGCCGCGTCGCGCGCTGTGCGTAGGCGTTGTCGGGCGGGCGGGTGGGGGGGGGGTTGTGGCTTTTCGTCGTCTGGTTCCTACCGCTGGCTCGTGCTTGGTTGTGGTGTGCCTTGGGGGGGTGCCTCTTCCTGTTTTTGGAGTGTCGTGGCTGACGTTGTCTTGGTTGGTTGGGCAGGTGGCTTGCTCTGCAGAACGTTGCTGGGTCTGGTTCGTTTTTTGTTGTAGGTCGGGCATCTGCTTCTTTGTGTGTGTGTGTCGCTGGGGTTGGTCGTTCTTGTTGCGGTCGATGCACATCTTGGGCGTTGGGTTTGGCACGTGGTGGTTGTCTCCCCGTGTGGAGTCGTTGTTCCGGTCGTTGGTGGTTGTCCTGGGCTTGATCTCGGACGCGTAGTTGCGCTCGTTTGAGTTGGATGTATGTCCCTGTTTGCTCTTTCTTACTAGTAGTGGTAGTCCTTTTGCTGGTTCTTGGTGGTTCTGTTCGTGTGGGTGGGCCATGGGTGCGGTGTAGATGTTGTGCCGCGCGTTCTTCTGTGCGCTCGCTTGGGTCTTGGGCTGCTTGCAGGGCGTGGCTTGGGTCTTGAACGTGTTGGCGGTGCGTTTGTGCTGGGCCGCGGCGTTTTCTCGTTCGTTGCAGCCGCTGCTGACGTCCTTCTTGACGTGGGTTGGTGTTGTTACTGCTCTGGCATCTGTGGGGCAATGTCGTGTTGTCGTGGGTGTCGCGTTTGTTTTTGTCGTGTGTGCTGCTTTCTTTGATTGCGAGCTGGGGGGTTAGTACGTCGTTCGCATGCTTGCTTGTGTGGCGGGGCTTCTGGCTTGCGGCGTGGGCTTGTTGCTTTTGGGTGGTTGGTGGGGTCTGGTGTGTTCGTCTCTCGGCTGGGCGCTACTTGTGTCGCGTGTTGCGTGGGTTGGGGTGTCGAGTTGGTTCTGTGCGGGTGGTTTCGCATGGGTTGTTGGGAGTGGTCGTTTTTGTGCCGGTTTTGTCGCATCTGGCGGTCGTCTTGGGAGGGTTGTGTTGCTGTGTTGGGGGGCTTTGGTTTTGTGTGCGGCTGGGTCTTGGGCTTTGGCTGTGGTTCCGCGTTTCGTTCCGCGTTGGTCTTTTTCCGTTTTTGGGCGGGGAGTGGCTTCTTGCTTGGAGGGCCCGGGGCCGCGTTGTGCTCGTTGTGCTTCCGCCTGTTGTATTATTCGCGTTGTGGTGCTGGTGTTCTTGGTGGTTCGTGTGGTTTTGGGCGCTTTGCTTGGGTGGTTGGTCTTGGGTGTTGATTTGGTTGTTGTTTTCTGACTTGACGGGGGGTTGTTTAGTTTTGACGCATTTTGCTTGGTCGATGATGTGTACGGCTGTTGTGTGGTGCTGATGTCCGGTCTTGTGGAGCTGACGGGCGCGGCGTCTGTTGCTTCGCGCCCGCGGCAGGCGCTCGTGATGGCGTTTGTGGGGGACGGTCTGGTGGTTTCGTTGATGTTTTTTATTTGCTTCGTGTCGACGTGGTTTCATGGATTCGTTTCTTCTTTCTGTTTCTATATATTTTGTGGCTGGGTGTTGCTCTGCGTGGATCTTTGTGTCGTTGCGTTCTTGAACGAGCGCCTGTGCTTGGGTGTGGTCTTCTTCGCCTTCGTGGTCGTCGTCGTTGGTGTTCCGTAGTTATTGTCCCCGTCCTGTTCTTCTATGCTGTCTTTTCGTCCCCCCGCCGTTGGTTTTGGATGCAGGAGTCGTGTGCTCGGGGGCCTCCACCATGCTGTTTTTTTTATTGATCTATCGATCTACTTTGTGTTGTTCTTGTTTTCATGATGTGTGTTTGTTGTCGTCTGTTGTTGCTGTTTGGTTCGGTTTGTGTTTTGTGTCTGTCTTGGCATTAGCTGAGGTAATTTCCGTCTGTGGTGAGCGACTTTTGTGTCTGCTTGTCGTGGTGTGTTGTCTTCTGGGGCGTGGGTCGCGTTTCACCTTCGTCCACTGCATTTGGTGGCGTTTTGCCGATTCTTTGTAGTGCTTCTTCTTCTTACGTGGTTGTATTGTCCACCCTGGCTTGCTTTCCCATCTGGGGCCTGCATCCTGGTGTGTTTTTAGGTTGTTTCAACCCCTTTTGGTTGGTTTTCATCTTTTTTTCCGACCGTGTTGGAGGGTTTTGCGCTGTTTTTTATTCTGGGCCATTGTTTTCTGCCCTTTGTTGATGCATTTGTAAGTGTTCTCGCGGTCGGTAGTTTGTTCCTCTTAGTTTTGTGCGTTTTGTTTTTGTTTGGCTTTGCTTTCTAGCGTTGCTTTGATTGACTGTTTGCCGCATTCTTTGCTCGACGTTTTTTGCCGTTATTGTTCTTTCGGTTTTTGGTTTTGTATCAAATTGCATGTGGTTCATGTTGTTTTGCGTCGCTGTCCTTCTTGTTCGTATTTCTTTATCTTCTTGTTTGTCCGAATTATGGTATTAATTTACCACGTGTGAGAATAAAATAGATATACTTGAAATGATCATACAAACGTCGAGTCAAGTAAACATTTGTATATAATATTTCGTCCGTCTTCGGTAGCGATGGTACATGATAATATCAGGTTAGATATTCAAGATCTTTGCTTGTAACGCTCTTCGTACGCAAATCGACAAGATCAACCACGCGAGTAATGACTCCCAACACCCACACCTCTTCAACGCAGACACCGATGCCACCGTTGTGGCCGCTGCGGCACCAGCCACGGACACATCCGACTTTAAAGGTACGCCGACGCTGCCTACCTTCGATTACATGTCCACACGTAGGCGCGAACCACCTGCGCAAGATCTTGAGCACGTTGTGCGACGAGACCTGGGCGTTGTTTATGCTCTTCGTGATCGCAGCGTCGACCCAGAGCATCGCAGGTACAACTGCATGCGCTCTCGAGTCGAAGTGACATCATCTTGCGTTCTTCCAGGCATCTATGTGATTGTGGCAGCCAGCATGGTCGCAGTCGACCATCGCATCCGCGGCTTCATCGCGGCGGAGGACGGCGCAGTGCCTCGTGTGTTTCTCGCGCTGTTATGTGCTCGGATGGCCTTCGACATGTCGGCGTACAACGGCGACGCGACGCCTCTGCACACGCTCTTCAAGCGCATCCCGGACCCCATCAGCCTCGCCGACATGGTCTGGATGGTCATGGTCAAAGGTACTGATTCATCATCTCTCGTGTCCTGCATGTATTGTATCAACCAGTGTCACTGATATTCTCGTGTAGGCGTCATGCTACGACTAGTCAGCCTGAGCATCGAGGTCTTTGCGGGGCTCCTTCGAGAGTGGCAGTCCATGGTCACAAAGCGAGTCGTCCGCATGTTCATGCGTTTCAAAGGCATCCCTTCACCCCCAGGTAAGTCGCCCCTTCAACCCCGTCGTCACCTCTTGTCCACGGTAGACACACCAGCGCCGCAACTCACCGCTGCAAGGCGGGTGCGCGCGTTCGTGGGAATGCGTCGGCAAGTCGACCCCCACTTTGCTTCGATTCTGGGTGTGACCAGTGACCAGTTGCCGCCGTCCTTGGCCGAGTTTCTCTCCAACATCCCGACCCCCACATCGTTATCGCAGTCCTCGGCGGCGGACGCGCTGCTGTCGTCCCACAGTGACGCCACCCTTCCACCGACTGCAAGCGGCGGCGTACACACGGACGTCCTGTCCGAGGTGCAACAAGAAGAAGAAGACCCGAACGCGTCTGCCATCCAAGCCCTCAGCGGCACCACCCAAGTATTATCGGCGCAGGACGGTCACATTCAACAACCCGATCAAGGGCTATCTGATCTAGAGCCACCGACAGCCGAGAACCCTCCTGAGGTACACCCCCCCCAATTCATGTTTCACGGTGCTCAATACATGACTGCAGTACCTTAATTTTGGCTACCCCTGCTTCGAACAACATTTCTTGACCAAGTGACCTAAAATATAGCTTTCTATGTTCACCTTTCTGTTGCATGTTCGAAAGGAACTCTGGTGTGTAACCCATGACTTGGTTGATTCGTTGGTTTGGTCTCTCGTGGTATTGCATTATGCTGATATTGGATTGTCTTATATCGTAGGCGTCAGGGCTGCCAGACTCTGCGATGCACGACACGTTTCCTCAAGTGGTCGCGCAATTGGTGGGCGATGCCATCTCGGCAGTGCCCGAACAGGGATGCGCGGCACGCCAGCCGCCGCCGAGACTGCGCAGCCGCGTGCCCAGTTCACAGTACACGACCGGTCGGGGATTCTGGGGCGCCGCGCTGAACCCGTCGTGCTGGCCACACATGTTCCCCCCGACGACGACCCCACCCAACCTAGAGTAATCATATTTATAATATACACTTCTTCACATGCGTCGCTCTTTTCTAAGGCACTTCGTCAAGTCAGTGTGTTTGATGTTTAGCTAGGGATGGCAGCATCGTTGGAGCCCCACGCCTGACACCAGCGTGACCGAGCACATCAGAATACTGACTGCAGTGGCGACAGAACGAAGAGTACTGTAGTCGACCAAGTGGGGTTGTTCTCGCGTTCAGATGTCCTGGGTTTGGTCCCAGCCGCAAGAGGGGACTTTTTCCGTGGCCTTAGCCGCGTAGTCGTTCTGGTGGAATTGGGGCAACCCTCACGGTGGGTAGACAGTAGTAGCGAATTCGTCATCTATGCTGATCCAAGAGTTCGGATTTGGCCCTAACGATATCGCTAAATGTGGGTGGAGGGCAACGTGGTCAGTATACTTGTACTCGTAGTCGAGCTGTGATGTTGTTTTCAACCAGGTAGCGACTGAAAACAAGATTTAGAGTTACGCCCATGCTGCTGTAAGTATAACCCGAGTAGAGTTGGCCGAGCCCTGACTCCACCGTCACCATAGTGTTGCCTCCATGCATATCTCCAAATCGCTTAATTCTGCTTGCATGAACCGCCATCACAGCCCTCCAATGTCTAGGCATGAGAAAACGGTACCACGTTGAAGTACGGAAGGTTGAATAAGTAGTGACAGTCGATTGGCCAAAAGTGAAACGCCTGTTTGGTTCTGCCAATGGCATGAATCCATTCGAAATGCAGTGTCCAATCAAAAGTCGACATACAAAAGGCAAGACAACGGCGGCTATATTTAGACCGTGCGTATAAATAGCCACCTTGGCCACATAGCAACTCAACCACATCAGCAGCATCTTTGTCGTCGAGTGACGTAACAGGAGCATGGGGGAGGAAGTGGAGAAGCATATTCTGCGCAAATACGACTTGCTGCAAAAGCTGGGCAAGGGCGCGTACGGAGTTGTGTGGAAGGCGCTGGACAAGTCGACTCGGCAGCCCGTGGCTCTCAAGAAGTGCTTCGACGCATTTCGAAATGCCACCGATGCCCAGCGCACGTTCCGCGAAGTCATGTACCTGCAAGAACTCAACGGGCACAACAACATCATCCGGCTGCTCAACGTGATCAAGGCCGACAACGACCGCGACATTTACCTCGTGTTTGACTTTATGGGTAGGGGGACTAGTATTCATCTTTCGTGTTAACCTCTTATATGACGCGTGATTAGAAACGGACCTCCACGCGGTTATACGGGCCAACATCCTCGAAGAAATACACAAAAAGTACGTCACGTACCAGCTCATCAAAGCGCTCAAGTTCATGCACTCTGCGGATCTATTGCATCGAGACATCAAGCCGAGCAACTTGCTCTTGAACGCCGACTGCCACACCAAACTGTGCGACTTTGGCTTGTGTCGGTCCGTGTCGGAGCTCGGTGGACCCAGCCCCGTGCTGACTGACTACGTCGCCACCCGATGGTACCGCGCGCCGGAGATTCTCCTTGGCTCCACGCGGTACACCAAGGCCGTCGACATGTGGGCCGTGGGGTGCATCGTCGCAGAGATGGTGTCTGGCCGCCCGACCTTTCCCGGAACGTCCACGATGAACCAGCTGGAGCGCATTCTGGAGGTCACGGGGGCCCCAACCGCGGCCGACATCGAGAGCATCAAGTCGCCGTTCGCAGCGACCATGTTGGAGAGCTTGCCACCGCCCAAGACGCAAACCCTCGAAGAGTTGCTGCCCAAGGCGACCCCGGAAGCCATCGACATGATTCGCAAATGCCTTTACGTACGTCCTAGTAGTATGTTTAGCGTGGCTGATTGACTTGTAGTTTGATCCGACCAAGCGCATCTCGGCCGACGACGCAATCAAGCATCCGTTCGTGACCCAGTTCCACAACGACAAGGAAGAGCCCGTGGCGAATGCACCGTGCCAGATCGTTGTGGACGACAACACCAAGTACTCGGCCGCAGATTACCGTGACAGATTATACCGCGAGATCATCAAGAAGAAGAAGGAAGTGCGCCGCCAAAGCACGCAGCAAACCATATCAGGTACAACTATCTGTCGCATTGAACCCTACTGACACATGGTTGGTCTTAGATGCAACCACCGCGCCCTCCTCTGCCGCTAATGTAAAGTAACGACACACACAGTGCCTTCGCATCTACTGGCGTCCTGCCAACCGCCGCCGCCACCACACATGTGCCATAGCTTTCTTCTTTTTCAAATACATGCCATACATCCTACCAAACAGGCAGGACATGGGTTCTTCCCTTTTCACCTCACTATATTCTGCGTCAATTGCCTCTCTCCCCCCCGCTCAGCCGTTCAATCCTGACTACTGTGCCAGATCGATGTTACCGTTAGGCAGACACACATGCAATACAGTCTGTAAATAGTGTAGTTGGTTTCCGTAGCACCAGAACACCTGTCACAGGCCATCCCACGAGATTTCATTGTAGTAGTAGTCTACGTTACTGGATGACAGAAATACTCTAAGTTGACCTTAGTCCAACACGTTCATCGTCATTTGGTTCGAAATGCGCTCCATTTCGCGCTCGTACTGGTTGTCTTGTTGCGCTTGGCATGTCCCAAACCCCATGGCGGCTTGTTGCTTTTGGTGGTGGCTTTTCACCGCAGCATCCTGAGACAATATCGCAGAAAACCCCGGCGGTGGGAGCACGCTGCCGCCGGCCTTGGAAGGAGGAGGGGGCTGGAGCGCGGAAAGGGGGGAAGGACGGTCTTCGGTGGCGGCCATCGCCGAGATGAAAAGCATGCGCACCGCCAGGGGCGGTACTTTCTCGGCAGCAAACTCGCGCTGGGATAGTGCCAGCACGGCCACCGCGTTGATGTGGCCGGTCATGACGTGGCGTCGAATGGCCGACGCCGTCAGCGTCGGGTCTCGCAGGAACGCCATCAGGTCCGCTTTGGTCACGATTCTAGGACTGCTCGGGGGCTGCTCGATGGTGGTAGGGATGTTGTTGTCGTCGTGTTGTTGCTGCTGGTTGTTGTTGTTGTTGGGTTCTTCGCCACTGTAGATGGAAGCGGTATGGCGGATGCTCTGGTCGTCTGCACAAGTCAAAGTCGGTTCGGTCACATGCGTCCAGTCGCTGTCGTTGGTCTCTGGGCAATCCTCCTCTAAAGTGTACTCGAGATGTGGTAAATCAGCAGGAATGCCTGCGGGGTCAGTATCAGGCACAGCGGGGGCAATATCAGGCACAGCGGGGGTCGTATCAAACACTAGTGGGAAGGAATCAGGCACCGTGGGGGCAGAATCAGGTATAGAAGGGAGGGGGGTATCAGGTTCAGTGGGGACGGAAGCAGGCGCCATTGGAGTCGTATCAGGCACAAGGTGGGACACAGTATCACAGAACGACTCGTTCGTGTTGGGAATGAGTGGTGCAATGTTGCAGGTAGATGGTCGTTTGCGGTTAGGATGAACCAAGCAACACGTGTGAGAGTCCTGTTGCACGGCGGTCGGAAGGCGCAGCGTGGGGGGACGGATGTGGTAGCTGGCAGCTTCGAATGTGTGGACCGGAGGTGCGGCGCTGGGCGGCGATGGGGCAGGGGTCGTCCGTTCGCAGGTTTTAGGACTGCGCAGGAGATTCGCAAAGTACTGGGGCGGGCCCTTCTTGGGGGGTGCTTTTTGCTTGGGTCGTTTGGTTGCCTTGGCGACGGAAAAGCCTGTCGGTGATGGGGTGTGGCATTTGATTCCGTCGTCGTTTGGATGGATGTAGACGTAGTAGAGCCGTCCGGTGGTGACCGCGCCTGCGAGCGTGAATGCCCATGTGAGTCCTGCCACGACGAGACTGACGACCGAGTGTTGATCCCATCCCCATAGAAGCACCGTGCGAAGAAGAAGGCTGTGGGTTTGTTGCACGATCCAATGAAGGACGACCCAGATCATGCCGTCGGGATGGAAAATGAAGCTCGTGAGAGACAGAAACGTGAGCCACGCGAGGTAGCGAGACAGCTTGGACTTATCGGTCCGTTTGTTTGGTGGGGGCGCCGCCGACGCCGCCGCGAGGCCGAGCGGCACCAGAAGCGTATGCAGTGGAGCCATGCGATCGGTTGAGAAATAGACGAGGAGTGTGTCCGTTCATTGCAATGGGTTGACAGGAGTTTCACGTTTCTATCGCCGTTTCGACTTGAGTCGTTTCGTGGAAGGGATGTAGGGCGCACGACGACGACCCAATCAAAACAGCGGGGGGAGATTTGGCAGTTACGTTTGTGGCAGTTACGAAACCCGCCGCCACCGCGCCGCCGTCGTCGATGCACCCATCGTCGTCGTACCAGCGGCGCGAATACGATGCAAATACCAAGCAGTGGATGAAAGAGGTGATTTTCGTAGTACAGGGCTGTTCGGTGATGGATATTCTGTTGTGTTGGACACACTTGACCGAGAGTTATCATGTGGAACCAGGCGTTGGTGAGTCGCGAAGTGATTGACGACTTGGAAGCTGTGAACCGGAAACTCCAGCATGAACTTCTACACAAGGTGCAGCCATTTGTCGTGGACTAGATATGTGACATGCATTGCCATGTGCCATTAGACAAGAACGCTTGAGGCGATGGACGCGTGTGTGTCGTCTCTCGGTGTGTCAGCCAAGGTGAGGTCGGCCATGGAAGCCAAGGCGGCGACGGCTCTGTCCGAGGCCACCGAGGACACGTCGACGCCGAGGCGGTCTCCTCGGAAGCCTCAAGACGCATTGGTCCGCGGTGGTCCTGGGAACAAGTACGTGGCTGGGTATAGTAGTATTCGCTCCATGTTGACAGTAGCGACCAGGTTCTCCTACAGCAGCGAAGACTACACCAACTACGTCGATCAGTACAGTCCCCCCAAGTGCGCACATATGGAGGAGCCATGTGTACAGTAAAGTGACTTGATATGATTAGAGACCACGAGAAGATTTCAAATCCAAAGAAGCCGTTGCCATCGTCCGACGTGAAGGTGTCGTCGCCTCGTCGACAGAAGCACGACCCTCAAGTGTTTGGAAGTACCAGTGACGCCAACAAGTATGTACAGTCGTCTTAGCTTATGGCCACGAATGGCTGGATATATACATATATATATATATACATGGCATGACGGGTATTGCGAGCAGGTTTCATCACGGCAGCTCCGAGCACTTGATGATCGTGGAGCAGCACAGCCCCAAGAGGTAAGGGTAACATAGTGCCTGGAAGTCCTTGATGGAAGTACGGTAACTAGGACACGAGAAGTGACCGAGTGCCCAAAGATGGAACAAGCGTTCATCTCTGGTTCAGACTCGTATCAACAGACTGCTGCGTATGCAAGCAGCTACCCAGGCCAGGTATGTACTACACATCGTAGCTATGTACCAGCCGTTGGGCAAGGATGAGTCGACCGATTGCTGGGCTAACCTGTGTCATGATGTCGTAGACGGAACGCAACGACTTTGGACGAAGTTGGCCCTTTCACCGAGAAGAGAAAGCCCTGCAAGAGTCGAAAGACTTGTTTGGGAATCCCCGCAAGCCGCCTGGCAACCACATTCCGCTCTCCGCGTAAGGACCTCCTATGTTTCAACGTTCCGACGTTCACATGCCATTGATGGGCGGTAACACGGGAAGTGTACAGGGCCGAGACGGACGCCATCGATAAACTCGTGCGCGACAGCCCCAGGAGGAAAGGCAACAACCACCACTTTGTAGACTTCCATGGCTACAATAGCTAGCTCGCGATCTTGGATTCGAACTTAAGATCGTTACGTACTTAATCGACTTTCAAAAGTCGTACATAGGGAGGATACTTCGAACTTAGAGGGTCATTCGATGTGGTTGGTGGATGGAAAAATTTAACGAAACTTGCATCTTCGCGAGTTGTCGACATGGCGTTGCCGCCAGAGTACGTGGATGGGCTGTATCGGAAGGTCCTGGTGTCCGTGAAGGCATCGAACGGCATTCCCACCGACGAGGAGGACTATCACTTCCAGCACAAGTTCAATCAAGACTTCCGCGACGGAGTCGACGCACTCGGCGGCCGTGTCACGTCGCTCCTGCATCGCCTGCGCAAGGCCAATTTCCCGCGCAATGACGACAACGGCGACGACGACATTGTCGACTTCGATCCGTTGGAGGAGAACGGGGCGTTGACGGACCTCGTCGACGGCCTCCTGGAAAAAGCGACGCAGCAGATCATTCGATTCCAGAAAGGCGACGTGGACCCGTCGCCGTCGACTGCCGCGGCGCCACCGGTCGTCCTTCCCACGACGTCCAAGGTATCGTCCCGGCCACAGGACTCATTCGAGGACAAGGTGGATAACTCGGACTCGCCGTTCGTGTCGAAGTTGCGCGCCAAGTTGCATGCAGCGTCGACACCGGGCAACCCCGTCGACGACGACGACGACGACGTGTACCATCCATATCGCAGCGAAATCACAAACCTCACGTACCAGCCTTGGCAAGTCGAACCCACCGTGTCCCATCCCGGCATGATCTCCCTGGACGACGCCACGTACACGTACGTGGACACGCCGGCGGCGCTGGCGGCGATGCTCGCGGAGCTGCAGGCCGCGCCCATGTTGGCCGTGGATCTGGAAAACCACAGCTTCCATTCGTTCCAAGGGTTCTTGTGTCTCATGCAGATCTCGACGTGGACATGCGACTGGGTTGTGGACACGCTAGCCCTTCGGTCGCATCTCCACGCGCTGAACGCCGTGTTTTGTGACCCGACCAAGCTCAAGGTCCTCCACGGCGCCGACTCGGACATCGTGTGGCTGCAGCGCGATCTGGGGCTGTACATGGTCAACATGTTCGACACTGGACAGGCGGCGCGCGCGCTGCAGTACCCGCGGTTCTCACTCGCGTACTTGCTGCAGACACATTGCGGGATCACGGCCGACAAGCAGTACCAGCTCGCCGACTGGCGCGTCCGACCCTTGGACGAGCACATGATCAAGTACGCCCGCGAGGACACGCGGTACCTCCTCTACGTGTACGAGGTTCTCAAGCAGGAGCTGCTGCAGGCAACGCCGGCCAACCTTCTGCATGCGACGCTGACCCGCAGCCAGGCGCTGTGTCTGAGCGTATACGCCAAGCCGCGGGTGCCCACGCCCGACGATGTGAGCTACCTGTGCTTCAAGCTCAAGGCGACGGTGGGGCTACAGGTGATCTCGGACACGCAGGTCCGTGTCATGGAGCACCTGGTCGGGTGGCGGGATACTCTCGCTCGACGCGCGGACGAGTCGCCGGGGTACGTGTGCCCGAACGCGGTGCTGATGAAGATCACCAAGGGACTGCCGTCGACGCCGGCGGCGCTGTTCCGCCTCTGCAATCCGATCCCGCCGCTTGTTCGAAAGCATGCGCACGACATCACGGTGCTGTTGAAGCAAGCGATGGCGGTGAGTGCCGAGGAGGTAACGGCGACGGCGGCATCCCCGCATGTTGTCCAGCCCGTGGAAACGACGCGGGTGCAGCGACGAGGGGTCGTGGTCGGCACCAGCCAGCTGGATGCGTTTGAGGGATGGACCAACGTCGTGGCGCGGACAGCCACCGCCTCCAAGGCGGCGAGTCTAATCTCCCCCAAGAAACCGAAGAGCAAGACACAACAACCCAAAGACAACACTCAACCGCCGCTGTTTGCGTTGCAACATGAAGGAACCCAGGACGATGGGGCCTTGGACGTTCTGGAGCAAGTTCGTCAGGCTTTGGCCAGCAAGGAGTTTCATGTCGTCGATGTGTCTGGGTTGGGCCAACCCACTGCGGCTGCGGCAACGGCGGCGCCGCAGCGTGTGGTGACGCCCAAGAAGGAAGAAGCGGCGGTGCCGCTGTCGCTCTCGGAGAAGTACCCGAAGCTGTTGAAGAAGCGCAAGGCGGACCAAAAGTCGGCATCGACGGTGGACGATAAGGAGGAGGTAGAAGAAGAGGACAAGATGTCGTTCCAGTCGTTCGACTACGCCAAGCAGTCGCTGGCGCAGACGACCATGGACTTGGACTTGAAGCCCGAAGTTCGGCACAAGCGAAAGAAGGGTGGAGGGTACAACCCGTTCGTCCAGGCCACGGACGAGACCGGCATGGCGCCCATCAACCAGAAGAAGGGATACAACGCCCCGCGTAGCTCGACTTTTCGATAGAATGATAACCACATATATGTATATGCTGCAACCACACTTGGACATGATGGACGCGCGTTGCAGCAGGCATGCGGCGGCGGCAGATTGGCTTTTTGTGAGATTTTTGTGTTTATCCGGATACCCCGGTCAAAAGCCACAGGAAATTGGCCAATGGCCATCGAGTAACGAGATCTGTAGGATGGATCCGACGCGGTCGTTGGCATGGGTGGCGCTGTTGCAGAAGGTCGACCGACGGCAGCTCGAAGCCACGTGGATGTACCCCAACGTTCCCAAGGACCATCTTCATGTGTTGCTGCATCGTGTCAATGTCGACGCGCCGCGACCGGATGTGTTCTTCGTCAAATATCAAGACACGTGGGTGTATGTGGGCCGCCCGTCGGTGGTGGCGGGTGACGCCGTCGTCGTCGTAGCCAGCAAGGTACTCCATATCTTGTCCTTCATTCCACGAGTTGTACACTGACGACCAGTGCGTCATGTCAGTGCTTTGACCCCGAGAAGTACGCGGCCTTGCTTGACGTGTTAGCAGACGAGTACGTGGCGGCGGGGTCGTCGCCACTGGCGCTCGTCCGCGTCTACCTGGCCCTGTTCACCACCGGACAATACGCCAATCCCAACACCCACGTGTCGCCGTTTGAATGGAACAAGAACCAAGCCATGGCGCCGTACATTCCGACCTCCGTCACCCTCGACGTGCGTCTTGAACTAGATCGCCGTCCATCCCGACTCTTCCATCTTCTTGTTCATTATACAGACGTTCGTGTCCATGTTTCAAAGCGACGATAGCGCCATCGTGTGGCTTGCCATCCTGGCCAAGAAGAGGTGGCCCTACCTCCACTTGAAAGTGCCTCTCACGACCAGAGGTCGGTTTGGTAGAGTCGTCGTGACCAGCGACAACATCCCCGACCTGCTTCAACTCACGCGGTGCCTGCCTCAGTTTGCGTGGCATCGTCAGGTGCAGTCTGTGAATCAAAGCGACATAGCGATAACCACCTCCGTTTAAGGACTGGGCCATCCTCCGTCCGTTCACGCGGGGGACGAGTGCCGAAGTGGCCGACCTCTGCGCGTCCGGCGTGTACATCGCGGGCATGCTGCACTCCGACCTCCATCCGACCACCTCCTCGTCGCCGTTACTTTACGATGTCCTTGTTGACGGTATACAAGCTGCTGTTTTACTAGAAACCCCTTTGCGATGTGGTTTTCTCAATGCGATCGATGGGCAGTACCGACGCGCACGGTGACTGTGGCGACCGGGTGCGCCGACCTCTTCTCGGGTCTGTCCTGGCACAACCAATGCACCGACGTGCTCGCGACCTACCACCACCAGCCCTCCACAGACGACCACTCGCTCCTCGTGGACGTTGTAGCCAAGAAGACACTGACTTTGATCGAGTCCATCCAGGCGGCGGCGCTCACGAGCGTCCATGGCCTCGACGTACGTGACTTGATATTGTCAATCATCGGTAAATGGGGGTGTACTGTAGGAACCATTGAAGTGGGCAGTGGCCGTCGCGGAAGAGCTCGTGTAACGTTAATTGTATATCCATCTAGTAGTAGTAGTACTAGTAGTAGTACTAGTAGCTACCGACATCAGGAAACTCGGATTGGATTACAGACTTGGTGTTCGAGTTGATTTCGGGGTTGCGGGGTTTCGGGGTTTCGGGGTTTCGGGGTCACCACCGACAGGTATGGTATGTATATATATCGATAACGTTACGTAGAGTTTAGCAGGGGCATGTATATAGTAGTAGTACATATGCTTCATTTTGTGGACTTCTACTACCGCCTTGGACTGGTGTGTCGTCGTTGTCTGGGGTGGTGCTCGGGGGTGGTGGTGGCACTTCGCCTGCTTCTCTTGCTGGGCTCTCGGCTGCTCTCTCGGCTGGCACTTCGTTTCCTCTGCTGCTGCCGCCGTCGTGGTCTGGTCCAATCCCGCACGTCCAGTGGGTTGGTCACACCCATCAAGCGTTCTCGTCTACAGAAGTACAAAGCAATGAGCCCAATGTTGGTTATATATCGAAGATGGTAGTTGTACTGTCGCGACGCGGCTGCCGCCTTTTCCCCGTCTTGTGTGCTCCGTGTGGGTTGATCTTGTTCGATGACTTGCCATCCACTTGTATGGGCCAGTGCCTCCATTTGGTTAGCGATCACTTGCCGAAGCACCTGCATCATACTCGTCTAATCTCAAGTCTTCTTCACAATGGACGTACCTGTATGGGGGACGTTCGCTTCGATCCAGCCTTGCGAGGATATGACGGCAGCTTCCGCTTCTTCTCTGGGTTGCCTGCTGCTGTGGCCGGGGTACGGAGCGCTCCGTGCTGTGGTGCTGCTGTGTTCAAGCTCGCATGGGCTAAACTTGGTAGGGCTAGCCGCCGCGTCTGTTGAATCGACGCGAGTTCCCTTACAAATGAGGCGGGCGTCGTCGTCTACGGGTGGATGGGTAGGTAAGTGGAGTGATCATGGAGAATGGGCTGCTCAAGATGGGAGCAATAGGCGACGTACAGGAAGGAAGCAGACTTGGTCGATTGCTAGTACCACAGTCAGCACCGCCCATAGCTCCAGTACAAAGCGCTACATAGGACGATAGAGTATCTATCACGCAAAAGAAGTAGATCAAGATGGAACCAAGTACCGAAGTGGACGCGCCAAGGAATTCGCCTAGTTCGCCGGCCATGATGTCAGGATGGCAGTAGTCTGGGTGCTCCACCAGTTGAACGATGTAGGCTACCAACGCCTGGGTCGCAGAGTCGTTCGGGCTATTGGCTTTGCTACATCAAGGGTGATGTTAGTACTTTCAATGGCTGGATGACTGCCACCTGTAGCACCACGATGTAGCCCAAGTATGTATGATGGGCGACGATGCAGCGAGTGTCGACGTGTCGGGGCGGGAAAAGACGGCGGGGATGGACGTCCAGGACGAGCAGTGGGCATGCAAGTCGTGTGGGGTGGACGCGATGGCCAGGACGGCGTCCTTGAATGAAACAACGGTGTTCGTGTCGCTCTTGGAGGGCTCCACGAGTGACGGAGCGACGTCGTCGTCCAACGTGGACATGTCAGTGACGCCGGCAGCGTCGTCGTCGAACGATACGTCGACGAAGTGGTCGTTGGGGTCAGCAACCGGTTCGAATGGGATGCTCTCCGTAGGTGGTGGTACTTGGGTCGTTTGTCGGGCTGTGTTGACGCTGGGAGGTTGCTGGTAGAAGAACTATCACATCCGGGGTATTGCATGATAACGTTACCATGGGAAACCATATCAACAAGGCAGGTACGAGGTAAAGTACCTGGGTGGATGAGGGCTCACCCTCATGAGTGACGATGCCGTGGCAGCGCTTCTACGTGGTCTACTTGTGAGAGATCAACGTTTCCAAGAGAGTCATGTTGTAACGAACCAAATGTTGCGGTAGGGCGGCCGGCGGGACAAAATGCTCGGGAATGCAGTTGCAGCTGACATCCTCCACGGCAGGAAACAGAGCAATGTCCGTCTCCTTGAGGAACTCAAGGATGCGAGTCTCCATCTCTTCCAGCTCCGACTGCATGCGATGGTTTGCCGCCAGACGCGCTTCGAGCGCGCTGTCAATGGCCTCCAGCTCCGGTATCGTCATGCTGGAAATTCCGTCGTGGTTGAAAACAATTCCAAGCGTTTATTTAATTGCATACTAGTACTAGTACTCAAGTGGCATAATATATTTATATTTTCCAATGCAAAATCGCAAAAAACAACCCGCCAAATTTGAATTCGGATTTTTGGGGCAAAGTGGGGCAACCCATCCGGTAAATCCGGATAATTATCAACACCTGGTTCTGTTACTTGATTTTACACTGTTACTCCGGAGTAATATCGGAGTCCGACGGTTGCGCTTCCGTCAACGCCCCAGGTTCAATTCACTCTGGGGAAGGGTCTTATCGTGGCCCTAAAACGGTTGGAGAGGAAGAGCGTCCAACCATATATTTATTCGTTCGCACAGGGTATTTCTTGTCAAGGTCACAAGTGCACTTGTTCCGATTTTGTCTCCATCAGCTTTCAAAAGAGATTTGTTTTCAAAGGGTTAATTCGAAATCCAACATTTTTGTAACCATTTAATGGTGCACTTGAATCAGCCAATCAAATGTAGTCAAAATACTGGGAGATAACCTCCTTAATCTAATACATGAAGTGAATTTTGGTGCCTGTCTTGATTTGTTTTGTTACGTACAACTGTATAATTACATTACCTGTCTGAATTGAATATAGAACTACTGAAATTACAACCTAACCACACAAAAAATATGCAAACGTAAATAGGTATACCAAATTTAAGATAATAGTGTGCACCATTTTCCTTTTTACTTGTTTTCACTGTTTGAGTATGTTTGCTTCGAAAATGATATTTATGCCTGTCAAATAGACCTTGACAGAGAACACAATCATTTGAATGCAACTCCGCTTCATCCAGCACTTTTCGGAATTTGAATCTGATGCATCCATGCTGAGCTTCGTTCGTTGTCTAGGTACAAGTTTGCACACGAAGGTCAAAGTATAGCATTCGAAGATTCACATTTTTTCAAAACATATTCGTTTTCAAAGTGCTGCGACATACTACTGTAGTACAGTATACAGTCTCCATGCAAAACCTCCAAGGGAGGCAGAATGCAGTTATACCAAATCAACTTGCAAGTACTTCAGTACATGCAAGTAGCATTTTCTTCTACGTGGCGGTGTAGAAGGCTGGAGGCTCCACTCTGGAGCGTAGCCATCCCACGCTCCCTGATCTTGACCGTGGTGCTCGATGGGGAAATATCTTGCGGATATCAGGCTTCCTGGTGGACCATCTATCTCACGGAGCTATCTTTGCAAGCAGCGATATGCAGTGGAATGTACGTGACACATTGCCTTCCTTCCCTGAACCAACGAACGCACGAGCGTTATACGTGCCCATACCTCATACAGTCAATGAGGAAGTCAACGAGGAAGGCCAAGCGCTCCCTTCCCCCAAGGAATTTCCTCCATGTGTTGCGGCTTTGCATCCGTTGTTGCATAGAACCATCCGTGGCTTTCGATTGGCTGCTCTTCAGAAAGTGACAGGGCGACTGCATGCGCATCTTTCTCGCCCGTCGACGTCCTCAATGGAGAAACGACATGTCTGCATGCGTCTAACTTGCTGGCAGGCGGTCCATCCGCCGCCGCCGCCGACTCGACTCGCATCGTTGTATCCGATCGCCTTTCGTGATGGTGCTGCGTCGCCAGTGGTCATCCCTGTTTTACGTTGGTTTTATCCAATCAAAACCATTCATTTTTTTATGTAAGCTTTGATTGGTTCGATCTATCAAGATCCCCCTACCCCTAAAGCATACTAAAATCAAGGGAGAAAGTGATGCACCTCTGGCGCCGCAGAATCCCTGGCATCACTTTTAAATTTCCTCGATCAAAGCAACATGGGACTCCTCGACGTTGTCAAGGCTGGTGTCCTCACCGGCGACGAAGTTACCGCCGTCTACCAATATGCCAAGGACCATGGATTCGCCATCCCAGCCGTGAACTGCACCAGCTCCAGCACCGTGAACGCTGTGCTCCAGGCCGCGCGCGACATTAAGAGCCCCGTGATCATCCAATTTTCCAACGGTGGCGCGGCGTTCTATGCCGGCAAGGGCCTCTCCAACAAGGGCGAATTCGCTTCGATTACCGGTGCCGTTGCCGGTGCTCACCACGTCCGCTTGCTGGCCAAGCACTACGGTGTCCCAGTGATCCTCCACTCTGACCATTGCGCCAAGAAGCTCCTCCCTTGGTTTGACGGTATGCTTGCTGCTGATGAAGAGTACTTCGCCATCCACGGTGTCCCTCTCTTCTCGTCGCACATGTTGGACTTGTCCGAAGAATCCTTGGAAGAAAACGTGCACATCAGCAAGGAATACTTCAAGCGCATGGCCAAGATCAACCTCACGTTGGAAATCGAATTGGGCATCACGGGTGGAGAAGAAGACGGCGTTGACAACAGCGGCGTCGACAACTCTTCGCTGTACTCTCAACCATCGGACATTTTGTACGCGTACGAACAATTGTCGGAAGTGTCGCACCGCTTCACCATCGCCGCGGCGTTCGGTAACGTGCACGGCGTGTACAAACCCGGTAACGTGAAACTCCATCCCGAACTGTTGGAAGGCTTCCAAGCGCATGTCGCGGCCAAGTTGAGCACCGGCGTCACCAAGCCCGTGTTCTTCGTGTTCCACGGCGGCTCCGGCTCCACGGAACAGGAGATCCAAACCGCCGTCAAGGCCGGCGTGGTCAAGATGAACATCGATACGGACACCCAATGGGCGTACTGGAACGGTCTGCGCAAGTTTTACATTGAGAAGGAAGGCTACCTCCAGGCCCAAATCGGCAACCCCGACGGCGCCGACAAGCCCAACAAGAAGTACTACGACCCTCGCGTGTGGGTGCGCAAGGCCGAAGAAGAACTGATCGTCCGCGTGCACGAAGCCTTCCGCAACCTCAACAGCACCAACGTGTTGTAACTATTGTACTAACTAAATGGTGCCTCTTTCATCATGTGCAAGTGATAGGTTAGTATGTACTTGCATTCACATGACATTGATTGTGCATTAAAACCAGGCACGTATTTAAACTATTTGTACTTCGAAGTAGAAAATGAATTACGGTACTGTAGGCCTAACGTTAAATAACGTTAACGTTAGTACTACTACCGGTAGTACAGTGTATGAAATTATGTCGCGGTTTGTAAATTGAACGTGGTGTGCAGGCCTGCCACGTCATAAACCTTTGAGATATAATAATGATATTATAGAGGTTCCGCAACCTTTCGGTGAAATCCGAAAGGGCACACACCCAACAGATTCGAATAAGTGAAGCGTCAAGATGGAGATGAACAAGGCGACGCTGCGAAAGATCTGTAAAGATCTGGACCTGTACAGTACGCCCAGCATCAACGACCGACTGTACCTGCATTACAAGGTCCTCCATACTTTGTGGTCATACATTCTTGTCGTTCTGACATTGCACGTCCTGTAGGGGTTCCGACGTATTGAAAACTTGGAAGAATACACCAACGTCAAGGTGATTTGGCTGGAAGGCAACGGGTTCAACAAGATCGAGGGGCTGACGGAGATGCGGGAGCTGCGGTCGCTGTTCCTGCACGAAAACCTGCTGGAAACCATCGAAGGCCTCGAGGCCCAAGTCTACTTGGACACGCTCAATTTGACCCAGAACCACATTGCCAAGATCGAAAACCTCAGCCACATGACTGCTCTCACCGTACAAACACCACCCCTACATATCTTCGTCACAATGGGTATTTCTCACCGATAGTGTGTATGGGTAGAACCTGTCCATGAAGGGCAACTACCTCCGCACGGCCGACGACATTGCGCACGTGCTGGAAATACCGAGCTTGTCGGTGCTGGACATCCAAAGCAACCGCATTGCCGACCCAGCTGTGGTCGACGTTTTGGCCCAAATGCCCAATCTTCGCGTGCTGTACCTCCAGGTACCATATATTACACCCAATCAGCGCGCTTAGGACATGGATATATTGACCAATCAAAAACGCCCACTTCTGACGTGGCAAGCTGTAGGGCAACGACGTGGTCAAGCACATCAAGCAGTACCGCAAAACGGTCGTGGCGCGGTGCAAGAACTTGCGCTACTTGGACGACCGCCCAGTGTTTGACGACGAGCGCCGTCGTGTGAATGTACGAGCCACACTGCTGTAAACATCCGTTTGATTATTTAGCCCATGTATAATAATTATAATAATGTGGGTATATAATGTATGTATGTAGGCATGGTACAAGGTGCTCGAGGACACGAACGGCGACATGGACGCCGCTTTGCAGGCGGAGCGGGACGAACTGGTGGTGATTCGCCAGGAGAAGAAGGACAAGGACGAGGCCAACTTTCGGTACTTTGAAGAGATCATGCGCAAAGGCAAAGCCGAGCGCGACCGCCGCGAGTCGTCCAACAACCAACAGGACGAAGTACTCGAGACTGCAGATTGCATTGTGTAACGTGGCTGATGTGGAAATGGATTAGACGTCGCCATACAGCGGAGAAAAGATCGTGCCGGCGGAGGACTGCAAGCTGGTGCGGGAAGCGCGAGAGCGGCGGTGGGCCGCCGTGGTCAACGACGAAGACGTACCAGTGCCGCATGGATCCTTGTTGACACTGCCACCGCCGCCGCCGTCTAAGGCGGAGGTCGTGGAGGTTGATGCAGATCGACTCAAGTTGCTGCACGACTGCGCCGTGGTTGGCACTGGCGCCACGGCCGCCATGGATGCGTTTGTGAACGAAACGTTTACTCTGACCAACAAGGACAAAGCTGCCAAGAAAGTGGAGCAATTTCAACAGATGGACGGACCCCGCGGCGGATTTGCCGCGCGCTTGGCAGCGGCGCAAGATGACGTCGCGGCCAAGCTCATGACGACACCCTTGCATACCAACATGGCCGAGCTCGACTAGGGAAATGCATGTACATCGGTCAAAAAAGTTCGACCAGCTATTAATCACTGCATATTACTACAAAGTATTACTGTACGACTAACGTTATTTATACGTAGAACTATTATTATAATACGTAGACATACTATTAATAACAGTGTAAGCTTAGTATTGCTCTGTGCTCGTCATGATGATTTGGCAGTGTAATCGCATATAACCCATATTGGGAACACCAAAGGGAACTACTGTACGGGTAGATCATATGCGTTGATTCTTTAACAAATACTAGTACATAACTTAGCGCACAACCATCAGCAACCCATGTTAACGTTACTGTAGTTGCGACCTCCACACTTCGACTACTTATTCGTGTTTTCTGTGGAAATCGGACTCTACTAGACTCACGACGTCGGCGGGAGCAACGTCCGCGCCGGCCACGCGCCGCACGTTTTGCAAAAGTACTGGTCGGGTCGTTCCAGTTGAAAGCCACATTGGACACACGGGTCGGAATCGTGCCGCCGGACGCGGGTCGTCCAGTCGGCGCCATTTGGTCGGTGAAAGATCGTCCGAAATACCCGGTAGTAGTGCAGATGTTCAGCACTTCGCACTGCAATGCCATCTTGGGCCAAGATATCCTTACGCTCTTGGTCAAACTCGTCTGTCGGCGTGTGGTGGTCAAAGAGGGTGCCCAGAGGTGTCGTGCCCGCCCCTATTCATGGTGTCGCCAGCCACGTCATGACAAGAACCTCCATAAATGTATACATTGATACCGGTTTCCAGAGGTACTTTATCCCGCCACCTTGAAAACGCTTCAGGGAACGCGGCGCGAAGCACAAACTTGCCGTGGATGGCGCCGTCGTGGGTCGCTACCAAGTCGGCTTTGGTGCACGACAAGGCGAAGGCCACGACATCGGGCTGGACGAACGGCTGGTATACAGAGATGCCCAGCGCCTGGCCCAGCTTGGTGGCGCAGAACTGCATGTGCTTGGCAGCTCGCTCGCGCCACGCGTTGAGCTTGTCCTCGGCTAAGGTGGTCACGAAGGAATAGCCAGCGAACATTTCGTCGGCGCCGTCTCCAGTCACGATGGACGTGATGCCGAGGGACTGCGCGTGCAGGAGTGCGCGGGCGACGGCCACGCCACCGCGGAGTTCCATCGGGTCGAACGTCTGCAGCGTCTGGACCGCAAGGTACAGCGCACCGGATGGAGACGGGTCCATGATGGACAACGTGTCGGGAATGGACACAACATGATGGTTCAACTTGGCACGGCGCGCAATGTGCTGGGCGTAGGACAAGTCGTGCTTGGGGTTGCCCACGTCGTCGCCGCACGATACAGTGATGGCGTCAACGAACTGCCGCCCGCCCACCGCCTCGGCAATGATAGACGTGTCAAGACCACCAGATAGAAGGATGGCGGTGGTGCCTGGTGGTGCAGATGCAATGGCATGGACAAGCACGCGTCGCGCCTCCCGTGCCTTGGGATGGTGCACGAAGACTTCATCGTTCTCGTCCATGGTGGTCGAAAGCCGCCAAGTCTAGTGAGACATTTCAGTTTTCCGGATAAATTGGCACGAATACAAATTTCGTGCTAAAAATCCCATACCGAAGTACGTAGTACTACGGTACTTCGGTACGGGAGTACTTCGAAGGAAGTTCACAATAGGGTGACACCCCAATGTATTTTGTCTAAAATACGACCAATGATTGGCTAATATTGGACTGTTTGTATTGCAATTGTTTCCAGACTTGGGTTTTCCTGGCATTTCATTGGCTGAATTGTACATAAATCCTTTTTGTGTAGTCATCCCCTCATAATAGGCATAAAACTGCCAACAGCCAACTGGATTCTTCAACCCTTTCCTCGTTATTTTTGAATTTCTCTGGAAGGTCCTTGAAGAAGATGGGCATCAACTCCCCTTACCACTCCTCCATGGAGAAGGAGATCACCAAGGCATGCAAGATCTTGGACGCGTTCTTCAATCCCAAGATGGACGCGGACAAGGCTGTGCCGTTCGAACTGCTTCAGAACGCCGCAGGCATTGCGTTCTTGACCGTGATCAAGGCTGGGATGATCTGGACTGGCAAGGTCGGCACGGGGATCGTGTTGTCGCGCCTCGAAGACGGCAGCTGGAGTCCGCCGTCGGGCATCGGGACAGCCGGTGTGGGCTTTGGTGCCGAAATCGGTGGGGAGATCATTGACTTCATGATCATATTGGGGTCTCAAAGCGCCGTGCAAAGTTTTAAGCGAGGCACGCAGGTACACCAACACACAGGCTCTCAATGACGAGAGTAAAGGGAAATGTGTCATGTGTTCTCCTTGTTCTTGTAGCTCTCCGTGGGTGCAGGCTTGGAGTTGGCCGTCGGTCCCGTCGGTCGTGCAGGCGGCGCCAACGTCAACGCCGGCGGCAGCGGACTCAGCAGCAACTACACGTACAGTCACGCCAAGGGTCTATTTGCCGGCGTCGGGTTACACGGCTCGACGATCCTCGTGCGCGGCGAACTGAACACCACATTCTACGGCCGCGAGGTGTCTCCAATGCAGATCCTGAGCGGCGGCGTGACCCCACCGCCAGGCTCATGCGACCGACTCTTCGAAACCCTTCAACGCGCTGGCGCTGACATGTCTGGCGGTCGGTCGAGCGAGGTAATCCTCAGCATCATGTCGCATGATCATCTCACTCCCCGATGACTACTAGCCCTTCCACGTCGGCGACTACGGCTCGCATCCACTCACGGGCTACGGGGACACCCACCGCACCAGTCGATCGTTCTCGGGCAGGCGCGACTCGGCTCCGTCCGCTTCCAGTGCGGGGCATGCGTCGGCAGCGCCGTCCCGCCAAGCGTCGTTCGGCACGTCGTCGTCCAATGGACCGGACCCGCGGCTCCGGCGGTTTACTGGCTACAAGACCGAACAAGAAATCTATGCCCAGTACGCGAAACCCGCCGCGGCCGTGGCGGCGCCCCCCGCTCCTAGTACTACTAGCACCTCAAGTAGCAGTAGTATTAGCACTAGTTTGAGTAGTAGCGCCGCGCCGACGTACCAGCGCACGACGAGCCAGGTGCGCAGCGCGCCGGCGATCCCCGGACCGGCAGAAGGCGGCGAGACGAAGCAGGTCTTTACCGAGGTGATCAACTTCATGACGTCGCGCGTGCCGTACGCGGACATCCAGACGTTCAAGGACAACTGCCGCCGCTTCGGGCAGGACCAGATGTCCCTCGATGCCTACTTCTTCTACCTCAACTCAGTGTGCACCACGAGTTTGCTTCGCGAGTTGATTCCAAAGCTCGTGCGGCTGCTGCCGACGCACGAGAAGCGCGTGGGGCTGTGGGTACGTCCGTCGAACGCTGGATGGATGGAAGACGTGATGGCTTACTTGTTGATCTCTCTGTGTGTAGGAGCTGTATGTGAAACAAGTGTATTGAAGAAGCGAGACGAATGGTGATAATATAACGACTTTACAAACTGATTGCTAGTTGATACTTTTACGACGGTGACGTGGCGCCACCACGTACTAGGTAGGATGAGGATGGTTGGGGGAATCGGTTGGAAGGAGGGTCATCGCTGACCGATACGTTCTTGGACCATTGCCTTCTGGATTGTGAAGTCCAAGGAATATGCCTACAAGGTCGACCACAGATTCGTCTTGACCCACTTCGATGTGTGGTCGATGCTGGAAGATGGCGCGACGGCAGCCACTCACACCTCGGCTTCTTCGGTGTACCATGCCCTATGTCAGTCATGGCGACAGGAATCTGGCCGTCCCATAGTATGATGTTCCTTCATTCGAAAAGCGTTACAAAAGTTATCCGGCATCCGAAACCGTCGCGGTGGTTTCGCCACCTCAGGAACAACCGGGATGCTTCTGACGCAAGAAGAGATCGATGCGTGTCGGGATTCGTTTGTGCACTTTGACAAGGACGGGTCTGGCACCATCGACAAGTAGTACATCACTGACAGAACCATATCCACATACTGTAATCCTCCTAGATACGAACTCGCCAAGGTGTTGGAAGCGATGGGGCAAAAGCCGAGCGAGGAAGAGTTGTTCCAAATGATCTCGGAAGTGGACGACGACCACAGTGGGGAGATTGAGTTCCCGGAATTCCTCAGAGTGATCGAGACGCAGAAGCGGCGGGCCATGGAGTATGACGACGAGTCCGACTTCATCGACGCGTACGTTGCGTGCGGCGGCGGCCCCGACAAGACCGGGCACGTCGAGAGGCGGGTGCTGGTGCACCTGATCAAGAAAGACTTTGGGCTGCCCATCGACATCGACAAGATGCTGGACGAGCTCGACACGGACGGCAGCGGCGAGATCGAGTACGACGAGTTCAAGGCGCTGCTGTCGCAGTGACCCATGATGACATGATATAAAAATTGATCAACGCTCTTGTTTTCGATACTAGTATTTATTTCCGGATGTCCTGGGGCAGCGCCTTCCCGTATCCGGACCGGAACGTGGTGCCAACGGCGCCTTCGTCGACCGCCGTCTTGGTGGAGGGCTTCGCCCATTCGAGCTTGAGGATCAAGTGATCATAGCCGAATCCTTGCAGCTTGTTCAGGGCCTTCTCGGCATCGCCTCGGTAGGCGAAGCTGACAAAGGCAAACCCGCGCGACTGGAACGTCTCGCGATCTTTGGCCAAGTACACGCGTTCCAGCGGTCCAAACGTGCGGAACAGATCCTTCAAGTCGTCTTCTCGGGTTTCGGGGGAGATGTTGGTCACTCGGAGCGTCGCGCTGTCGTCATCGCGGGATTGACGAGCGTCGTCGCTCGCCCCGGCACCAGCGCCGCCACGTTGAGAAGGCGGCACGTACTTGCCAGAGGTGCCGCCAAACGCATTCGCAAGACGAGAGCCACCCGACGCAGCCGACGCAAACGAGGACGAAGGCGCGGCCCTGGCGTCTTCAGTAGGAGGCGTGTTCTCCGCCAATTCGTCTGCAGTGGGAGGAGCAGAGTCCTTGTACGGGCACTTCAACGTCCAGTGATCGCCGACCATGCCGCAATGACGACACACGACGATGGAAGTCTGCTTGACGCCCGAGAACACGGACTCTTCTTCCTTCTTCTCGCCGGGCAAAATTTGATCCGCGTTCGGGTCGTCCATGAACACAGTTTCGTTGGACGAGTACGTGACGTTCGTGTTGCCTTCTACATTCAAGCCTTCCCCAAACTTGCCCCATGACTACGATGGAACATGTAAGACGAGGATTGGCAACAATTGGGGACGAAAAGGATGCATTTACCTTGCGCTCAGTCACACGCTTGCTGATTTTGTGTACGGTTTGGACCTTTTGGATCTTGGTCGTGACCTTGACCTTGTTCTTATCATCGTCAAACTTCCAGGACACGATCGTGCGCACGCCGTTGGCATCTGGCTCCGTCTCCGTGCGCTGCGGGAGGAAGTCCTCATCTTCGTCGCCCCATCGTTGGTTCCCGAACGTCATGTTGCTTTGAATGGTTCCCACCTTCTTCCTGAATGACGGATAATACTTCGTTTAACCGGAAATCCACCCTTGGCATGGTATCATAATTATGTATGAGTGCCTTGTAATCCAAAGTACACATGGTATCAATAAGTATGTATGAGTACTTTGTAATCCAAAGTACATACGGAATCAGTAGGTATGTATGAGTACCTTGTAATCCAAAGTACACATGGTATCAATAAGTATGTATGAGTACCTTGTAATCCAAAGTACACATGGAATCAGTAGGTATGTATGAGTGCCTTGTACACATTCTCTTTAGTTGTGTATACACGATAGTTCGATCATTTCGAGCACTTCCGGATTGATTCTACAAGGACCATCACATGGGAACTGTACAATGCGATTTCTTGGCAATAATACGCAACGACGACCAGCTACTGTACTTGTACGGAACCATTACAACCACTCCAGTACAGTACAGTACAACGACTTACATTGTACTGTATTCTGCAAGAACAAAAAGTCGACGACGCGACGGAAGCCTGCTGCGCCATGTTCGAGTTGTGTTCGCCTTGTTCGGGCTCAGATGACCATTTTCCACCTCCATCAATGAAAACGGAGGACAGCATACTGTGTTCAAGTTTATAGTGCACATATACATGTACCCAAATAATTCCGTGGCCTAATCACCGCGTGCGACATCCGTGGCAAACATGTTGTGGTTTGACAACGGGATACAAAAGCCCATACTATTGTCTGGCCGCAAGTTCAATGACCACCCATTTTTAGAGGAGTTACACTCACCATGCCACATCCAACGATTGCGATTGGCTGTTGAAAAGGATGCGGATTCATAAGGACTCAGTATTGGCCGTGTTTTTATCCAGGAATTTATATTATTATCCAGCGAAAAACCATCCGTTTTTCGATGCTCGATTGTGATTGGTGAAAAAGGCTACCCGTTGCCCAATTCATTTCGCGTTTCGGGCAATATTGACCCCTCTGGACCAATCACAGAGCCACAATTCGTCGATTTTTAACGCAAATACATGATTACACCCAATTGTACCGTGGGAACCAATCGCTGGTCATGCCAAAATATAAAAAATACCCCCGCCCCCCTGCTAATTTATATCCAAGCTGCGATTGTATACAAAGTTGAAGTGTTTTTCTCAACTCATAATACGAACAAATCCATGCCGGACCAACGCGAGGCCGACCCAGCCTTCACTTCCGAACTCACCGCGAAGGCATCAAGTTTCGTCGACGCGCCGCCGCCGTCGAGTAACTCTAGGTAGACACAGATATGTCGGTGGACTTTCGCATACGCAAAAACCTGTCGCTCACGATGACGGAGCCGATGCTCATCCCTGGCTCCAACACCAGCTGCGAAGGACATAGTCCTGAAGGGGTGTCCTCCAAGAAGGCCAAGTGCTTGTTGAATGCGTGTGTGATTGCTGCGCCTGCGATGGCGGGGTCCGCAATGTACGAAGTCAAGTTGGCGTACAACAACAACAAGCAGACCAGCATGTACAAGTCGAAGCAGGACTTCTTTAACCTCAAGAGCATGTTCCAGCTACTTGCCATCACGAGTGCCAAGGGGTGCTGCCAACTGTGCCAAGAGTGTTCACAGGACCCGTGCATCTCGATGGACGTGTCGTGCCGCGGCGATAACGCATCTGACATCTTGGACCTGTTCCTGTCCTGCTTGATATCGAAGCTCCAATCGGTCGACCGCCGTGTGATCTCGGACTGCTCCTGCCACATGGGTGTCGTCAAGATCATGACCGACTTTCTCGAGTTGCGCAATGTCATGTACTTTACGTCCAAGTCGGACGAGAACTTGTACGCGGACGACGACGCGCCGTTGTCTGTGTCACACTGCTCGTTGTCCAAAAGTCTATCGGAGCACTTTTCGTCGTTCGATTCTGTCTGTTAAGGTGTCCCCGCCTTCCATCCTCTTCGCTTGACTCAAACAACGATGGCGAAACCATATTTAATACTACAATTTATGGGGACTCTTCAATTACATCGTTCTTACCTTGTGGTTGTCGGCTACAGCATGCATGATGGTTCATGGGCTGGATGGGCTGTTGTAGTACACATCGCCGGGTGTAGCAGCCCGGATTCGTCCTATGGAATAGCAGCCCGCGTGAGATTGCCCCCAACGATCGTCGTGGACACAGACACGTTAACTTTGTTGAAGTGGATCTCAGAATGGAGCAGTGACGATCGATCTTTGACTCACACACGCACGCAATCCTTCCAGCTGCGACCATCGACGACGCGTTCGACATGCGAGTAACCATAACCCCACGGAGCCCTTGGCAATCGAGCGTCAAGGGCTCTGTAGTTTGTACATGGTAACGTTACTGAGGACATGCAGCATCCTTTTCTGGTCATCATGCATGCCACTTGAGTCTGCTGAGCAAGTATCCGGATAATTGCGCGCGTGGTTTCGGAATTCAAATGTATTATCCGGACAAACTCGGGTATCCATGGCGACGGGGGACATGAGCAACAATGCGGCGAAGGTGAGGAAGCAGCTTGTGGCGATCCGTTACCCGCATGACATTGCGGCATCTGTGGAGACGCTGGCGCGAGGCAATGCCGCGGATCACTTAGCAGAACTTCTTCGAATACTTCATTATGCCCTCCTCGACCATTCACGTCATGTGGCCGAGCTTGTGCAAGCCGCCGTAAGATGAATCGTGCGTGTACTGTGAGGCGCTTACATCACGCCATTGGTGGTCACTAGGATCTGGACCTGTACGGGAAGACCGACGTCAAGTTCGTCGACGGCGTCCTCCGCTTTGCCAGGGATACGTTTGCGTACTTTCCCCACCTCACCACCTCACAGTTGTTGTCGCCGCAGCACTTTCGCGAATGCAAGTTGATCGTCGTGGCCGACCTCTTGGCTCACGTGGCGCAAGCACATGCCGAAGCCAGTCGAAGGCGGAAGCAGCAGCAAGCTGTATGGATTCCGCCGTCACACAAACCCTCGTTCCATCGTAGCGGCGACCTTCCTCGAGTGCCGTCGCATCATGTCACACCCGCACAAGTAGATGGCACGTCGTCCCCTTGGATCAGCATGAACCTGGGACAGCCAAAGGCCGCGAGAGTTGTACGCCACACTAGAACAACCCAGCGACCGTCGAATGGCGTTGCCGTGCATGTATCGGATGCGTTGCCGACAGCACCGCTGCATGAAGTCCAAACCCATTCCATATTGGACTGGAACACACCCATTGAAGACGTTCCGTCGCACGCTGTACGACATCTATTATTACCCTGTCGTAGCTGACAACATGCACGTGGTAGGCATTGGACAAAGACATCTTGAACCCCCATCGTAGCCCCGACAGGATCAAGCGAAACATGTGGTTCTACTCGAACCAGCACGATGCCGACGAAGAAGACATGTATCCGCGAGCTTCCATGAACATTCAACGAGCTCCGTCCGTCGACATACCCACGCCGCCGAAGCCAGTGCCAGTCGCGTCCGCCAGCCCAAGAGTTCCACCTAACGGGCACTCCTCACCCCCTTCTCCACCTGTGACCTTGGATGATGTCCTCTCGGCGCTTTCCAAGGTACGACGTCATGTTTTATACCCACTTCGTTTTCTCATGGTTCAGGCGATGTAGCTTGAAGAGGTTGTGGCAGCGAAGATGGACACCCTTACGCACGCGTTCGAGGCCAAATTTGCAGCCCTCGACGATCGCGTGGCCCGACTGGAGAGCGTTCAAGTGACAAGAACCACCACACCACCGTCATCACTAACCTCCATTCCCCAAGTCAGTCCCAACCAACAAGACGACCCGCCTCCCCGTGTAAAACTATCGACTTTCATCGCTCAATCCACCCAAGCCCAGTACAAGTGGCCGCCCGAGCCCAGTGTCTTCGGGCAGTATCCGTCAGTATCTCAGCCATGATAGAATTGACCCCCCCTCCTCCTTCTTCTTCTTCTTCGCTCATTGCACGCTGGACACATCAACCAACCTGGAAGTAAGCAAGAAACGCAACGCTCGTTAAGCCCAATACCGCTCGCCTGTGAAGTGGTTGTAGTAGTAGGCCGCGCCCGACTGCTCGTCCTTGTACTGCGCCCATCCATCGCTGGGGGTGGTGTCGTTGGTTGTGTCATAGTAATGATAGTGGCCACCGGCGTCGAAGTACCCGACATCGTCGCCTTTGTCTGGACTGTAAGACGCGCCGTAGTTATCTTGCTGGAAATCGTGCGCTGTCAGTGCCGTGCTGTAGCTGAGCAGCTGGGCAGCCACTTCGGTCGGGTTGGTGTAGCCGGGTTTCGTCCAGCTCGCTTCCTGGGTCCGGATGTTAAAATAGTACGACGCCTGAGCGTTCTCGTCCCAGTACTCGACCCATTCATCTTGGACGTCCGCCGCCGCGGCGTCCTTGGCCGCCTTTTCGCGCTTCTGCCGCTCGAACTCCATCTGCCGCTGCATCTGCTTGAGCTCCCTCCTCGCCACATACCGCCGTCCCGCCGCTTGGATCTTGCGCGCCGCCAGGTCTTTGTGCTTCTTCTGCTCGACGCGCTGCTTCTCGCGGAGTTCCTTCTGCTTGAGCATGAGTTGGAGCTCCCGGACCTCTTGCTCCTGCGCCCGCGCCTCTTCATCCAGCAGCATCTGCATCTTGAGTCGGGCATGTTCCTTGTCCTGTTTGGCTTTGAGCACCGCGCGCTGCTCTTCGTTCTTCAACGCATCCAGCGCCGCGTGCTGTTCCTTCCGGATGCGGGCAATGCGTCGGCGCGCCAGCTGCTTCCGTCCCCACCCTTGCATCTTGATGGCGGCATGATGCTCGGCCAACGCCTTGGATTGCGCGGCCGTCTTGTCCTTCTCTTTGGCCAGTGCCAGCTCTTGTTTCCGCACCAATTCCTTCGTTTTCATCGAATCCAACGTCGACAAGCTGTGCTTCAACGTCATCGCAGCGTCCTCTTCTTGCCGCCGCGCCACTTCGGCCGCCTTCTGCCGCTCCCGGGCCTCTGCCGACGCCACGCGCGCCCTCTCCACGTCTAGCTCCCGCGCCCGCCGCTCGTCCAGTCGGAGGCGCTCCAGCGCGTCGTCCGTCCTCGACGCCTCCAGGATCGCCGTGAGCTTTTCGTGTGCAATCTGCTTCTGGTCTTCGGCCAGCTTGTTCTGCGCGGCGTCGTTACGGGCCGCGACCTCGAGCCGAAGTCGACTCGCCTCCTTCTCGATCGCGTCCTTCTCCATGAGCAGCTGCATCTTCATCGCGGCTAGTTCCGCCTCCTGCTCTCGCCGCAGCCGTGCGATCTCGTCGCTGGCCTTCTCCGACGCCATCATCGAAATCCGCTTCTGGAACTCCATGCGACGCTGCGCGAGCAACTTGGTCGCTTTGCGCTTCCGCAGCGCGCACTGGATGCGAATCACCGCGTTCGCCTCTTGTCGTTCCAGCTCGAGCCGTGCCAGCTTGGCCTTGTGCTCCCGCAGCCGCCGCCGGTACCGCTGCCGACTTAGGAACCCCCGGATGCAGCATTGGATCCGGATCGCGGCTTCCTCCTTGGCATGCTTGACGAGCTTAGAGAGCGCTTCCTGCGCACTGGTCTGGTACATCTTGCGCTTGGCCGCCGCCTTGGTTCGGCCCATTTTGCCGCGCATCGCCGCCTGGATCGTGGTAGCGGCCGCCTCGCGCTCGCGGCGGAGTACTTCGTCGCGGCGCCGTCGTTGGTGCAGCCGGTGCGCTTCGACCCGCGCGCGGTTGCCCCTGGCGATGCTTTGGATCTTGACCGCCGCCGCCTTTTCTTCGACGTCGATCGCGGCCTTGGCCTGGCGGCGGAGGTGCACCGCCAGTCGGCCGTGGAACCCCCGCCACGCCACTTGAATCTTGAGCGCCGCGCGGATTTGCTGCTCCTGCCGCCGCCGTAGCGCCCGGTCAGCGTCCAAGTGTGCACACAAGAGGCGGCCCTTGTACCCTCGGTACAGCGCTTGGATGCGCACCGCACTCGTGTGACGGAGCCGCGTCAGTTCCATCTCGAGCTGCTTCTTGGCGCGGAGCTTCAAGTGGTATGCGTACCTACGCCGTAGGATCGTTCAGATGACAACATACACATAACATCTTGTCGTTTTTCTTGTTCAATATATATATACCGGCCGTTCTTGCCCCGCCATGCCGACTGAATTTTGAGCGCCGCGCGGTCTCGCCGCACCATGAGCCGCTTGACTGCCTTTTCGTCCCGCACATGTTTGGCCCGCCGCCGCCCTTTCGTGCCTTTGAACTGGCTCTGGATCTTGATGGCCGCGGCCCGTTGCTGCCGCGCGTTCGATGCCCGTCGGCGCCCCAACATGCCCCGTCCTACCCGCTGGATGCAGCGGACGGAGGCGTCTTTCTGGCGCATCAGCCGGCGGCGGTTGGTCTCCCGCACGGCGAGCCGACGTCGACCCGCGCACTGGATGGTCGTGGCGGCGTCGTGCTGTCGACTTGTCTGGGCCACCGCCCTCGCAAACAGTTTTTGCTCATAGGCGCGGAAGGCGCGTTGGATGTGACTGGCGGCGCGGTGCTCGGCCTGCGTCTGGAACAGCAGCCGGCCCAGTTTTCGGCCGGCGTACCCCCGAAAACACCGCTGGAGGAGCGACGCCGACGCCAGCTCCAAGTTGGTGCGGCGGGTGCGCAGCACGCGGCGGCGACCGAGGAACCCCCGGACAAGGCGCTGGAAGTGGACGGCACCGACGTGCTGCAGGTGGCGGACGACGGCGGTGCGGGAGAGGAACCCCCGGACGAGGCACTGGATCTCCACGGCGGACGCGTGGAGTTCGTTACGACGTTGCTCGCGAACGCCCGACGACCACGCGAGCCACGCCCGCCCCAGCGACTTGCGCGTCCACGTGTGCATGAGAGTCGTGATCCGCGACCCGGCCTTGCACTTCAAGTACCTGTCCGCTTTGAGTTTGGTGTGGAGAAACTTGAGGTAGTCGATCCATTTGTAGAATGCCTTGGCTTGGAAGTTGAGCAGAATGCGAGAAAACAGCGCGTTCATCTTTTCCGCACCCCACTTGTGGCAAAACAGTTGCGCTTTCAACGATGTCACAGGCACGTTGGCTTGGACCCACTGCACGTCTTCCCGCACTAGTTGAACGAGCATTGGATGGAATATATAATTTATATATTATACCTTTGAGGTCTAGTTCTTTGAGCCCGTACTCCGACAGCGCCAGTTCCCTTCGGAGCGACGTCATGTCGGCGGACGCGCCCGGACGAAGGCACGTCGGCGTCGGGCGGGTGAAGAAACGCTAGCCAATCAAACATAGCGTTGCTAAGCAACGACCAACATATCGGGAGGAACTGTACGTTGTAGTGCTTCATGTGCTTCTTGGACTGCTGGACTTGGCCCATCTTGAGCGGCGGCAGCGGCGACTGCATCGAAGACGACGGTTGAGATGTCGACCCCGTACCGCCATTTTTGCCCATCTGCTGCACAACGGCCAGCAGCCTAGAGATTTTGCTCATATTGGACGCCAACAAATACCATTTCTATATGAAATCACGAACCGCTTCCTGGCTTGCATCATTTGAATGAACTCGTTGAACTCGATCTGGCCGTTCTTGTCGGCATCAGCCTGGGCAATGATGTCGTTGATGTCTGCATCGTCCAAGTCCTCTTCGCCCACCGACTTGAGCAGCGTCCGCAGTTCGTCTGGCGAGATGGTGCCGCTATGATCAACGTCGAACTCGTCAAACACACTTCGGTACTTGTGCTCCATGTCGCCCTTGTTGTTGTTGTGATCGCCCATAGACGCCTCCAACGCGTTGAATTCGTCGGCGGTGAGCCCGAGCTGTGACGCCACGGCGTCGTTGCTGGGTTGCCCGCTGTTGTTGCTCAGCAACACGGCGTCGTCGAGAGTCGGACGGTGTCCTAGAGTGGGAGGGACGGTGGTAGCTGACCTGCGCCGGCGCAAGCGACGGCGGTGGTGCACTCGCGGGAGGTCATCGTCCGCCTGGTTGACGCTTGGAGGTGGCTTCTCGGTGGCCATGGTTGCTTGGACAGTCTGCAGCCGCTTTCGCCGCCTCGTGGCGTTGTTAATCGATTGGTATCCGGGTCTGTCTGCCTGGAACAGACTCTTCAACGCATTTGAATTCAAGTACATGGGCCTACAAACAAGGAGGACGATGATTGGGATTGAACGAGGTCCGTTCGTAGCTCCAAAGAATCCAAGTACTTTTCTTTCAAAGGTACAACACATGACGTGGCGTGGCGAGGGGGCAACGCCTGGTACAGCCACGGACTGTTGTTGTTGCCACTAGCTAGGCCATCGGTGCTGCTGCTCATGCTGACGTCAGCAACACCCGCACGCTGTCGTCCGGAGCAGTGGCGGCGAGCGTTTCAACGTAACTGCCACGGACACTTGGAACGGTTACATTCGTTGCGCTCAATTGCAGTGTATATCATGTGTTGTGCTGCTAATAACAGTTACACTACTAGCATCACACCACTTTTTATCCAATACTACGAAGCATTCTAAGTAGCAGTGGCTGCTGCCGTTATACAGTCCGATTGGTGGCTGGGTAGTTGTTCTCGAGCAACTTGGTGAGCAACAAAGTCAAGAGCTGGTCCAGTTTCACAGCTCGTTCGTCCCGACGCGCTTCCATTTGGTCGCGGTAGTCGTCGCGCTCCCGCTCTCGGAGTTCCCGCTCCTGTCGCAGGCGTTCGCGGCGGTCGTCGCGCTCCTTGTCCCACATTTCCCTTCGCTCCTCCATCTGCTGAAGCCACTGCTCCCTAGACTGTTCTAGCATCCACAGCATCGACATGATCGACGTCGGCGCTTCGTCCGGCGGGTACGTGGACGACAACGCTGTGCGCGGCCGCTTCGGAGGCCGAGCGGAACTGGCGCGACTGGTGGTGCATGGGCGTGCCGCCGTGGTGCCGGCATCGTCCCCTTGCCGCCCGTCGGTGGCGGCACCGTCTTCGGACCCAAGTTGGTTGGTCGGGAGTTCGGGATGCACGGTTCGAAGGGCTTCCGTGAGCTGGCGTCGTGTCGGCGGCATGTTGGGACGCGTCATGATCTTCTTTCCCAGCGCAGCCAACAGTTTCGGCCGCAGAATGGCAGAAGCAACTGTCGAGGAAATTGGCGCAGGTGGAGCGGGGGGCGTCGGAGCGAGGGGTTCGTCAGGTGCCGTCGTCGTCGACGAAGCCACATCCCCGGCAGGAAGTCCGTGGGGCTGGGAAGTGACGTCTCCCCGAAGCGACTCCTTTTTTCGATCAATGTCGTTCTGGATGCGGTGGGCCTCGACGATGTGGTCTCGATTGGTCAGCCCCGCTGTATCGTCGACTGAACTTCGCCATGTAGCTCATTATCTCAAGGGTACCTGTAAGGATCGTCAACGAGCACAAGTGCTTGAACCTTCGTTTGATGGCTTGCACATTACGGCGGTCGACCTTTTGCCGGTGAAAGTTGAATGCAAGCGCCACGTCGTCCCATCCGCTCGTGTCCACGGGAACAATGTCCGCCACGCAAGCAAGCAGGTCTGGAGCATACGTGATCTCAAGGCACTGGAACATGCCGCCGCACGTACCTTTCTCTTCGAGTCGCTTCCACCCTTTACCTCGACCGCCGCTAGCCGTCATGACGAACACTCGAATGAATTGTCTCGTTTGGTATCCGGTACTTGGGCTGAATTATCCGTACATTTTCATCCAGGGCAACAAGGATGGTTGTGCTGTCGGTCCCGTCCGTCCGCTGCGGCTGCATTCCGGCCAAGGTGCATCATGTACGTGGGAGGTCCTCACGACGTGTGCTTAAGTAACAAGCATGTGTAGGTGGCATACTTCTTCCATGACGCTAAGGTCGCGACCACATGAAACGCAATTGTCCAACTGACGTCACTCTTCGTCCTCCATCTTGACGGCGACATCGAGCTAGTGCAAACACACGGACGGCTCCACGTACATAGCCCCGATCACAGCCTCCTCGTGGCTACGTTCATCATGCAGTGGCATGCCCGTGTAGGGGAAGTCATCCTGACAACGCTGTAGCCATGCTGCAGCGGCTGCGACGTTGATACACCGTGACAATTTATACCCGCCTTTATCGAATTTCACGGTATTGGAGTCGAAATCTATTGTATTTTAATGGAAGAACCGAATATATGCAAGTGAGTATGGGCGGAGGTGTAATATTTTAAAAGAAATTTCGACGGCCTTGTAGGGCTGTCAGCGCCGTCGCGCCTTCAATCCATCCTCCACGACAGCGATGGAAGAGAAGAACCTGCTATTGGTACGTAGATGAGCGCCACTGGGTACTAGTGAGACTGACGACGATCATGGGTGTGTGGACAGAGCGGCGAGATTCTGCTCGGTCGATGGCGCGTGGTCGAGAAGATTGGCGAGGGAACATTCAGCCAGATCTACACGGCGTTCGACTTGACCAACCCGGCGCACAAGGTGGCTGTGAAGGTGGAAGCACCGAGCCAGATGAAACCTGTGCTGGAATGGGAAAGCCAGGTACTTGTGGCGTTGCAGCGCAAGAATCCGTACGTGTGCAAGTACCACCACCACGGCAAGCACGGCGACAACTTCATCTTGATCATGGAGTTGCTGGGCGACAACATGTCCAAGATGCGTCTGCAGCCCGACGCGACCCACGGCGTCCCGCTGCCCAAGTGCATCTCCGCCGCCATCCAAATGCTTGACTGCCTCGAAGCGTTCCACAACGCCGGCTACCTCCACCGCGACATCAAAGCGTCCAACTTTGCGCTCTCGAACGGCAAGGACCCCAAGTACGTCCATCCGCTCGTCGCCGTCTTCTCCCTTCTATTCCATCTCATGCAAATCATCATCATCAGGCGCTACTTTGTCATCGACTTTGGCTTGTCCAAACAACATCTAGACCCGCAGGGCCTGCCAATCCCGCCGCGGGACAAGGCCGAGTTCCGCGGCACGTCCATGTACGCGTCACTAGCCGCGCACCGGCGGGAAGACCTCGGGCGGCGCGACGACCTATGGTCATGGATGTACCTCGTGCTCGACTTTATCCGCGGCGAACTACCGTGGGCCCACGACGCGCAAAAGAAGAATCGCGAGGTGGTGGTCGCGCTCAAAGAGTACTTCACCGAGACACACCCGGAGCAGATGCTCGAGGGGCTGCCGGGGGCGCGGCACCTCCTCGCCATCATGGAGCACCTCAAGGGTCTGTCGTACTTCGACGCACCCAACTACGCGCTTGTCCGCAAGGCGGTGAGGGCCGTGGAGGACGCCAATGACGAAGCGAGTTTGGTGCAGGAGTGGGATGCTCTGGAGGACACGAGTGAGCGGGCGTCCAAGTGGGTTCGGGCGCTGGGGCAGGGCGTGATGCCGCCGGACATGCTGCTTAAGCTCGCCAAGCATTACGCATCCTTCTTTGAGCTCGATAGCCCCACACATGAACGCCTGGAGATGCAGGAGCGTATTTGGAAGCTCGAGAAGCGGCTCAATGTGGCGGCGACGGCGGGACCCCCCACGATCCAGTCGTTTGGTGAGCGACGGCAGGCCGAGCAGAGGAGGAAGGTAGAGGCGCTCCAGCGGCGGAGGGAGGCCGACGTGGCCGTGAGACAGGAGCTCGCCAAGCGACTACACAAGGTGGCGGCGGCGCCGCTAGGTACACGTCCAATGGTCACGAAAGGCCAAACATGTAATCCTCATGTGTGTTTGTGTGTAGAAGGAGAGCGGGATGGCTTTGAGGGCAAGGGAATCGCCGCCGCAGATGGAGTCAAGACAGCGGCGGGAGAATCGCCGACACAAGGCACGCCTCTGACCAATCAGATGGACCACGATACCACTAGCGTTGGAAAGCCATACATTGCCGCCATTGGGTCCAGGGACGGCGGCAGTGCGCGGCCGCGGCCCCCCAAGCGGTCGCGGTGGGATGCTTAACCAATATGACTGTGATCGTTTCTTTTTGTTTGTGTCGCCCTCGCTTGTTTGCAGGAGCTGCAGCATCTGAGATACAGTAGCTTAAAACTCCGTGTAGTACATATGCAGCATCTGAGATACAGTAGGCTTAAAACCGCGTGTGCTTTATATATAGTAGGCATCAAGGAGTTCCAGCGACGGTTTCACGGGTATAAAAAGACGGGAGGTGGCATGATGCAAGGGGACGACGACAGAAGCCGCCGCCGCGTGTCCCTTAAGCCACACGCGCTGGTGACCATGTACCAAGGACTGAAGACGCTGTCGCCGCTGATGAAGAGCAAGAGCAACCGCAACATCGTCGTGAACCCGACGTTGGTGGGGATGCTGGCGGACCCGCTGGCCAAGGTGGGCGAGAAGATGCACCACGTCGCGCCGGGCACGTACGACGAAGTGGTCGAGCGGTTCAAAGCGGCGCGACAGGAGGTTCTTGAGCGGCACGACCGCGTCGCCGTGGAGGACCGGGTGCCAAAGTCCGTGGGGCTTGTCAAGGACCTGCTGCCGCCCGTGCCGCAGCACGACGCATCGAGCAGCAGTACCTCGAAACCGTGGACATTGAATGCAAGTCGACTAAGTAGCTCGTTGGTGTTGTTATCAACCATGAGGCTTTTTCTAATGTAGGACATTCTCAACGAGTTTCAAGTGGAAAAGCAGGTGCTGATGGACCAAGTGAGTACTAGTACTACAGTGTATCCATGTGCCAAATTGACTGGACTTGCTGTAGAAACACTGGCTGCGGACACAAGCCGAGCACCAAGTGCACAGCGTGCTCGTGCCAGCGGGGCTGCACCAGCTTAAAGTACGTGGCATCACGAGAGAGTGGGAGATGACGATGATGAGATGGGTAGGACGCGCTGCACGAAGCCGGGATGGACACGACCTTGATCGAGGCGGTGCTGCAAAACACTGTCACAGGCGCCCAAGTGCCCGCGCTCACGTCTATCCTCCAAGCGCACCCGGAACTCCAAGCGATGCTTCATATCGTCCAGGCCTCTCTCCACGACGACAAGAGGGGACTACACCTCCCACCTCCTCCTCCACCCCACCGACCTCTCGACAGTGAACACAGCGAGCTAAGACGGTCCCATGCTAAGTCGGCCAATGCTAAGTCGAGGGATCTGTTGGGTAGCGTTACTTTGAAACCTGAAGTGTCCACGCAGGAGCCACGACCGGACGACCCCACCAACCGCCCGACGAAGAACCCCCTCTACGACGTTCCGCTGTCGATTTTGAAGGGACTAACGTCACCCCACCACCCTCGGGACAAAAAGCTGGACCTGCTCACGACCCTCACGACCCTCGCCAACCACATCGTGGACGACAAGGTGGACGAGATCAAGCTCAGCCTCGTCGAAGCCAGCCACGCTAGCCACGCCCTGTACGCGGCCACCACGTTTATCCTGCTCGCAGTCATGTTTGGTGCGCTGAGTCTGTTCTTGTTGTCGTTGGTACGAGACCTCCACTACTATGTACTACCCACTGGTTTCGCAGTACTCGTTTCGTACTACTTGTTCAAAAGTAGTACTCATTAGGTACTTGTGAAGTACTACTAGTACTCATTTGGTGGTTATTTGTAGTGGTTTACCCAATTTCTCAACGTGTATTTGTCGCTGTCGTACCTGATGGCGCTTATTACCGCCTCCGGGTCGGCCATCTTTCTCGGCCTTTTGGTAATATCTACAATATATATATATATTGATAGATGGATATGATATTGGCGTTAGTTTGCGTTTGTGGGTGCGCGCATCGTCCACAACACGATGACGTCGCTGCAAGTGATTTTACTGAGTCCGCAGTCCAGCCGACACCCCCCCAAGCCGACCACATCCAGAAGCCCCGACCACGACAAGGACGAGGAGGAGGTGACGCTGTCTCCTACTAGAACCAGTGCGTTGGGCATGCTCAGTTCTTTCCTTTCAAGTTTCCACAAGAAGGCTCCCAAGTCTAGTATTACTAGTAGTAGTAGTAGTAGTACTGCCATTCCAACGCCCGCAGCGGCAGCATGCGACTCGCCACATGTGACAAACGAACTGGATGCTGTGAAGGAGCTAAAAAAAGTAGCCTCCCGACTGAGTCTCGTGAGCGACGACGACCGATTGGCCCAAATCCCAGAGGAAACCAACCAATCCGATCCGAACGGAGACACCCGAACAGCCGGCGCCGCCGCCACACACGACCGAGCCAACCCCACGACCAGACAGCAGCCGACGCCGCCGCCCCCGTGTGCCCCCATCGATGCAAACGACGTCGACATTGTCATGGAGACCGAATGTCTCCCTCCCCCGGATCGACCCACTCCACACGTCGAGGTTCGATACGACGACGACGAAGGTGGTCACGACGTGCCTGCTGTCGTCGTGGTGCGACCCAGTCACGCCCGGAAGCGGCGGATCCATACATCTGAAACTAGTACCGCCGTCGAGTGGATGTGCAGTGGCCGTCCTCCGTCCCGACGACGAAGGGAAGGACCTCATACATGTCGTCGGGAAGGCATGTGTTGGGTCAAAAGAAGTTCGACGTGGGAACTCCACGCCGTGGACTGGGGGGCGTTGCTAAGACACAAGAACCTCGTGGCGCGGGTGCACCTGCCGCGGCTAAGTCGGCGCGGCTGCGTGGGGCTGGTGGTGCGCGCGGGGGGTACCTCTCCGATCCTCATAGCTGTCCCGAGGTGGATACGACAGACCAAACCGTCGCATGCCAACACGTCGATCGAGCGGACTGCAGCCCACGCATTTGTGACTCGTATCCTTCACCAGGTCGTCACGACAACAGGTACTATCTACTATTAATACTACTAGTAGTAGCTACTACGCTCATGGCCAATCTCATAAAGAATCGGCCGTGTACGTAGGGGCATGTAGCATACGCACTGGTGCATCTTGACAAGGCCAGCAGCAATACCTAGCTAGCTAGGTACCTACTAGCAACGTACTAGCACTACTACGTAAGTACTAGCATTCGCAGCACTCACACCCGGCATGAAGAACCGTACCTTCGTAACACTATATAGTAGAGTATGAGGAGTACTTATAACCATAGAAACCCATCACTTGATTTGCTTGGCCAGCCAGCCCACGGGCCTACACACAACATATTTCAACAAGTAGCACCATATATATATATATAATATCTTACGAGCCAACTTTCCAGAGCGATGGAACCTTGGGAAATACGATGAAAGACTCGTATGGGACGCAGAGATCAACAGAGTGAACCGTCGCGAACATTTCGTTGGCAGGCACGCGGTCGAAGTTCTTGTCTCCGTGACCGTTGGCCCACGCAAAGCCAGACGCTGGCAGTCGGAGCACCTAACACTCGAATGAACCCACCAGGTCTTTCCGTACAACTCTCCTGCCGTACTTCTGTGACTTCAAACGCGGTGGGTTGGGAAGGAGGCGGCGGCATCGCAGTGTCTACTGGCAGCATGGCCATCTCGTGGGTCAGGATACGCAGCACCGCGTCGGCCACTGCCGCCACGCGGGACGTGTCGCCAGCCTCGCCAGATTCAAAAATGATCCCGACGCCGCCATGGGCGCCCGTGTACTCGTCTGTCAGTGCAATACCACCAGCTAACTGATAGTTTGGATCGTGCAAGAGGACATCGCAAGGAAACCACCTGCACATGTTTTTATAGCCGTCCATTGGATTCAACTTGTTGCTGACATGTACGTACCGACCGACGCTGGCGTGCTCGGGGGTGAGTTGGCCTGCCAACTTCAAGAACGGCACGGATGGCTTGTTGGTCGAGTGCAAATCCAACACCAAGTCGCTTTGCTAGATGATGTATTCAGTGGTGACAAAGTACGCAGCACATGCCTGAAGGAAGGGGGCGATGTGTTTAGCCCGGGCTGCTTCGTACTGGAACGGGGAGTCCGACGGTGCCAGCACTTGCATGGTGAAATGGCGGTTCAAATCAGCATGTGGTGTGCTCCCACGTTCGTTAATAGCAATGGCTTTGGGATTGCCCAAGATCAGCGTCAACGACCCAGAAACCAGAGGCGGGCAGTGCGATCTCAGCCACTCGACGACGTGGATTCCAGTCAACTCGTTGCCGTGCACCCCTAGGACGAAGCGGTCGATTCATACGGAAGCACGACTAGATGATCGAGTAGGTAGACTGCCCACCTCCCAAGACAGTCACGTGCTTCCCATGAGATGCGCTACCCACTGCTTGCCAAATGCAGTGGCCCAGCTCCCGAAAGGTTGCCATGCTTTGACTCCTGCTTCTGATCTTGTTCCGATACGGATACATATATAAACTTATCCGAATTGCAAAAAATCGTCGTTGAAGTATAAATGTATACAGGTTTTATAAAAAACCCTCAGAACAGATACTACGACTGTACCTATTATTCACATCAAAAACAGAGTCCTGTCTGTATAATAACGTCAGTATTATTGTCCTTTTACCCCAAATTTGGACTTTTGTGCTGATTCGCCAAATCTATCGATTGATTCTTTGTCCTGACTTTTGTAAAGATTTATGTAAAGATCGTCCAGTATCACACTAATTTCAGTCACACACTGATTCGGAGTTGAATTGGTCTAAGAGTGAATTTGATTGGCCACTTTATTAGTGCTCTGGATTTTGATTGGTCAATCGAATGTCTGCCGATGTGCCCCACTCCAATTTCGAATCGACTTGACAATATTACTTGTACATTTCAAAGTACTCGTACCTGGATACCGGCGCTGCACACATCTCAACTGTCGCCATTGAAACCAGCTTCAAAGCAACCACACCGTTGGCATTATTATTAGTATTACGAGTAATTGTACAACTACACGAGGAGTCCCTTGGTGGATGGGACGCCGGCGGTCGCGTCCACGCTGACCGCTAGGCGCATCGCCCTCGCGAACGCCTTGAACGCTGCCTCGCTCTTGTGGTGGTCGTTCGATCCTTTGAGCACGTCCACGTGCAGCGTGAGGCGGGCGGCGCTCGCAAACGACACGAAGAAGTGCGAGATCATCTCGGTGGAGAGGGTGCCGATGCTCGGACGGACGAGCTTGAGCTCGATCCAACTGGACGCGCGGCTCGAGATGTCCACCACCACCTGCGCCAACGCTTCGTCCAGCGGCACGAGCGCCGACCCGAAGCGGGCGATGCCCTCGCGTTTACCCAGCGCCTGGTCAAAGGCCTCGCCCAATGCGAGTCCGCAGTCTTCCACTGTGTGGTGGTCGTCGATCCACGTGTCGCCCTTGCACACGAGCACGAGATTGAACCGCGCATGTTTGGCTACAGCGTCCAGCATGTGGTCTAGGAAGCCAATGCCAGTGCTCACCTATCGACTCTCGCCATGAAAAATACTAGTACTACTACTAGTAACCAGTCACTCGACCACGCACCTCGCACAAGCCAGACCCGTCCAAGTTGAGCTGCACCTGAATCGACGTCTCTTTGGTCTTTCGAGTGACACAACTCACGCGGGCGTTGGCGCCCGTGAAATAGTGTGACGTGTCGTCTTCCTTGGCGGGTCCGGCGACCGATGGGGCCGTGATCACGTCCAGGAGCTCATCGCAGCCGGGGCGCAGCACCTGGACGGCCCCGGACGCCAGGAGAATCGGCGTCAGGGCGGGCGATGTGTTCTCCAAGATGGACATGGCGTGGACTTGGGGCGTCAGCACGCCGTACGCCGTCACGTTCGCGCGCACCGCCGCCACGATGTCGTCGACGGTGTCGCCTATCATGGCCGCTTCGTCGGCGGTGACGCCCAATGCGTTCAGCGCGAGGATGATCGGGACCGGGGACGGCTTGGGCGGGCCGTCCTCCATGCAGATCGTGACGGGAAACAGAGCTTCGAGGCTACAAGAAGGAAGGTTAAGTCGAGGATGGGATGGAGGGATATTGTATCGCACTTGAAATCCTTGAGGAACTTGACGCAATCCTTCTTCGGTCGACCTGTGACCACCGCCATGCCGTTGGGGAGGCGGCGGTTCAGCTCCTCCAGAAGCCCTTTGGACGGAAGCAGGGTTTCCAGGCGGTATAGTCCAGGTGTCGAGTCCGTCCCTTGGTAGATCTCCTCAAAGGCAACCGTCACTTGTTCCAGCGTCACCTCCACGGCCGACGCCGAGATCAGCCGATGGGTCAACACCCAGTCGTTGTTGGCATTGCCCGCGAGCTTGGCCGTGTCAATGTCGACGTGGGTCACGGTCACCCCGAACGACGCCGCTGTGTCTATGATCGCCGACCGGTACGAGCGCGACACTTCGGCCAAGACGCCGTCCATGTCCCACAGCAGCGCCTTCAGCGAGGTCTTCGTCGTCGACATTCTCTTGTTTTGATTCTGGTCGTGGCCTTTCACATCGGAACGCAAACGTTGTTGCGGACTAGTACTACTACTAGTAGCTTTAGCATTTTCATGTGGCCTGAACATCTTCAGTGGCGTTCTTCTGGTTCAACATGGACGTGGGTGAGGAGTGGGTATCGTCGGTCTTCAGCGTACATATCTTCATCCATGTGATGTCTCATCTCTTGTGCATTGTCTGCATGTCCATGGAGACAGCAGCGCTTTGTTGCATGGAGTCGTACTCGTTCCTCGAACCCTGTTCCATGGAATAGTAGCCCTGGCTTACTAGTAGTAGGTCGTCTAAACCGTACTTTAGAGGGTGGTATCGAATGGGTCGTACCTAAGACATGCCGTCGTGACTTCAACCCACCGACATTGTAGCGAAGTGCAGAACCATAGTCATGGCGCGTGGGATCATGCTACCGTCATGCTTTGCGGCGCTGGTGATGGCAGCATGCTTCCTCCTCCATGGAGTTCATGGGAACGGCGGAATCGTGCTGGTCCCGTCCGGGAGTGTGAGTCTCGTGTCGGGCAGGAACGTCACCGGGTTCCTCTCGTGCGACCCACCACCGACAGAGGACGTCGTGGTCGACATGGCATTGACAAGCCGTGGCGGCGAGAGCGAGCACAACTTCCCCATCATCTCTCCCAACCGCGTGCGGATCCTGGCAGGCACTAAGTCAGCTTCGTTCTCGGTTCTCGGGCGTGGCGAGGGTCGGTACTACGTGCAGTATCAGGTCACGGTCAACTTGAACTACCACGTCAAGCACGCCGAGTCTGTGATCATGGTCATGAACGCGAACGATGGGTGGGGCGGCATCCAGTTCCAAATCGGACTCAACATGGCCGTGTTCGGCGCGGGCCTGGCGTTCTTCCTCTGGCGCCGGCTGTGTCCCCGCCTGCGCCTTCCGTTCTGGAGCTCGCATCCCGTAGGTCTGTTTGAGAAGATCAACTACGACCAGCTTCCTCCGGGTAAGTTCCAGTCCAAGTACGGCGTCGCCCTTCTCCACGGATCCTCTCTCGGCGACCGCGCGCGCCGCTTCGTCAGTCTGCCGTGCGATGGCAAGGACATCATTGAGATCGCGGGACTCGACGCGGCGCTCAGCATGCGGCTGCATGTGGACATGGGCCACCTCTTCTTGATCCTCACCGTGTTCAGCTGCGGCGTCCTCATGCCAATCGTACGTCGATATATATATATATATATATATATTTTTTTTTTTTCCTAATATACTGTGGACAGCACTATATGTCTGGCAAGATGGACGATGCATCTGACCCGTACTTGGACTTGTCCTTCCAAGAAACCACCATCGGCAACGTGCCACTGCAGAGCCACTGGTACTGGGGCCACGTAGCTATGACATACATCACGGCGCTGTGTGTGCTCAAACTATTGCAACGGTACGATATATATATATATATATATGTCCACTTTAATATATATATATATATATGTCCACTTTAATATATATATATATATGTCCACTTTAATATATATATATATATATGGAATATGCCCACTTTTGTTCAGATGCAGTATATTTATATGCATGCAGTCTGCCACCTGTTGAAAGTGTTCCCTTGACATATAATATATGTAGATATGAATGCAGTACACATGTATATCGAGGCAAAAATAATATATATATATGTTTGAATGCAATATACATGTGGAACAGGCACCTTTGATATATATATGCATATATAGGCAAATATGCATAATATATATATATATATATCCAAGTATACATAATATATATTTGTAGGCAACTAGACGTTGGTAAGCGCGTGAACATTGACTCGACGCGGGCCATCGGCCATCGCAGTGTGCTCATCAATTCCGGCCTTCCAAAGGACATGAACTCGTTCCAGTTGCGGCAAAAGCTGGCGTCGTTCCTGTCTCCTGTACGAATATTTATATATAAATATATCGATGGTCCAGGATATATATATATATATGTGGAACCACAGGACGACATCAAGGCCACGGTGGTCATTCACGACTTGCAAGCACTGTACCGTATACTGGACCAGCGAGTAACCCTCCGCAACGAGTACAACCGCCTCATCACGACCAACGCCCAGTCCATCTCTGGTAATATTCTATTTCATTCCACTATATTCGAATCTGTCCCTCTCTGGTGATATTCTTCCAATATAATATATATATATAATCGAATGGTTGGTAGGCACACTGCCGGGGTGTGTGCGGTGGTGCCCGGGGGACATCTGCTGTCCGTCCGCGCCGCTCCTCGCGGTGTCCTACGCGCGATGTCTGCCGTGCCGGTCGCTGTGCTGCCCATCGGCCGCCGCCGACCGTGGGACCGTCCAGTACTCCCCGGAGCACAGCGGCGGCCGCGACATCCAGGCCATCCTCGCGCACGCGCTGCCCCGCGATAGGCGCCGCGCCGACTGGATCCAGCACGAACTCGAGTCGTTTCCCAGTGTGCGACATATATATATATATATCGCAAATATATATAATTTTGTATTATTAGCACGTGTTGGATCTGTACGCCAAGCGACAAAGCACGGGCGCGGCATTTGTCGTGTTTAGCTCGGTACGCGTCTGTTCCATGGAGGACTGGATGGTTTTTCATCTATTTGTTGAAATAGATGAAAGCCAAACATGATTTTGAAGCGCGGGTGCGGGCGGCGCAAAGGCGGCAGCTGCCCGAGGTGGCCTTCCCGTGGGATGCCACGTCATCCCATCGCGATCTGATCGCCGCTTCGATGGAGGAACAGCCCGAGGACACGAGCATGCTCGCGCCCCTCGTCCTCCGCGCCGCGCCCGAGCCGGACGACGTCCACTGGCCAAACTTGGTAGAGTACTCCTTGACTATCTCAGCCACTTTGGTTTCTATTTATATAAGAGTTTGTATGGCATGTCGTCAGCATTGTTGCTTTTTGAAAGAAACTGTCACAACTAATCGCGTTTGAAACAAAATAACTGCCGATATATATATATATACATACCATATAGTGTATATGCATTGCGACGGATTAATCGATTGCGACTCCTGTAATAACTGATAATTTTCTTGTAATAACTGATATTTACTTGTGAACATGTTGAATATACTTCCAATTTGTACGACGCAATGGATCAAACAAAATTTCACCTGTCGCAATACATATACACTAGTATACGGTATATATATATACATATATATATGGAAACAAATGAGCATGCGTGTGTCAACCTTTTCACCCAACACAATATATATCTATATCTATATCTATATATACTTCAAGGTTTAACCTTCGAAGTAGACTGTCATATTCGTACGTGTTTATATATCCTTGGGTTGTTTGATATGTGTGACGACAGTATGAAGAAACGGCGGCCTTATAATGTAGACGTACCAGCCGCAGTCAGCCAAGCGCGTGTGCATGTTCGTCTTCTACCAGGTCACGACGGTGGTCATCATGATCTTGTTCTCGACGCCCACGGCCGTGCTCATTTACGTCAAGCTGGACACGCACAGCGCCGTCTACGCCATCTTTACGCACGACATTTCGTCCGTCTTGGCCAAATTTATCACTTCGTACCTGCCGTCGTTGTTGCTGGTACGGAAATAAATGAGTTTTTTCATCTATTCACACAGATGAATATGGTAGATTACGGTGAATTGGTGCCTGCTCACGTCGCTGTTTTACCTCACGACGGTCGAGCCGTGGCTAAGCGAGTCGGAACGCATGAAGAGCTTCCTCAACAAGGGCTTCTCGTACCTGCTCCTGGTACTATGATCGTTCTAGATATATCATCTATTCATCTATCCCCGTGGTCTACATACATTTGTTCATCTATTTCCCCTTTTCTCACTTCGTGTATTCATCTATTCACGTTCAACTCGTAGAGCTCCATCGTGCTGCCGTCGATTGGCGTCACGGCCGTGTACTTAGCCACGGACCAGGGCGCGAGCTTACACCACGGGTCCGAAGCGGCGTACATTGAAAGGTTCATGTTTCAACTCTGTCGCAACTTTTTCATTGCATACGTGTGCCAGCGGTATGTCCAAACAGCACCATGTACATAGTACATATTCCACACATGTGTGACACTGTGACTAGGGCGTTCCTTGGATCGATCCTGCAGCTGCTTCGTGTAGGCGAACGCCTAGTGTACCAGCCTTGGTATTGAACGATCGAGGGGCTAACTACTAACCGATGACTAACTAACGGCTATGGCGGCGGCTAGGCTTCGCGCGCGGGCGGTGACGAAAGCCGAAATCCGCGAAGCTGATCGTCCGTGGCCGTACTACTTTGGTTACGATTATGCTGTCGTGTTGAGGTGTGACATCGTTATAACGTTTGAATACATATGTGACATGGTGTCAGTAGCACGTTCATGGTCACGTTGCTGGGGGTGGTGCTGTCCCCGTTGCTGACGCCGTTCGGGGTAAGTAGCAACTCGCTTCTTGGCCTTGTTATAACTTGTTATGTGTAGGCCTTGTACTTTTACATGAAGTTCGTTGCGATGAAGTACAACTTGGTGTATGTGCACCCCAAGAGTGCAGGTCGCGGCCACGTGGCACGTTCTGCGTACACAATCATCTTTATCTGTCTGGTGCTGTTGGAGGTACATATATATATTAATTTTTTCATATATCTGTGTTGTTGGATATACTAAATATTTGTGGAAATAATATAATACTCTGCCTAGTTTACGGTCGCGGTGGTCATTCTCGAAGTCGGTCGCAAAGAGCAGTTTGCCGCCATGGTCTTCTTGATGGGCGCCACAATCGTGTTATATGTCGGATGGTACACTTGTTCCTATTTATTATATATATCAAGTACTTTGTAATTATAATTATTATTCATCGATTCATATATCTATATATGTATATATTATTATTATTAGTCACATATATATATACATATATATTTGGATATATATGAGCAATATATATATATTTGAATATAGAATAATAGCTGACATATCACAATACTTCAAAGTATATTTGAATGCATATGAAAAGAATAACACAATGTTTAAAGCATACTTGACATCATATCATCCTATTATCAGGTGGCGGCGGCGGAACCGCGGGGTGTTCTACTCGTGGCAGCAGCAGCGGCGGCAGCAGGCGGAAGGGGCCTCCAAAGCCCGCGACCGCGTCAAGATCCTCAAGCACCACGCCGACGACGTCCAGAAGCGGGAGGCGTTCGCGCGGCTAGTGGCGTCGACGATCGCGCGGCGGCAGCAGGACGAGCAGCGGGCGTATGTCAACCCGTACGATGCCGGGCTCAAAGTGTTCAACTGCATTTACACGCAGCAAAAGACGGTCTGTGACGACGTGCGCGACAAGGCGGCCGCGTTCGCCAAACTCAAGCAAGTGACCGCCCATAGCCACGAGTTTTTGGCCAAACCCAACGAATAATGTCACCATCTTTGTAGTTTATAACACACTTTAAACTTAAATCCAACTATAAGATTGTTCAATTCACTATGTTAGCCTGGTACATGGGTGTTGTTGTCGGACCTGCGAAATAGAATAACAACCTATAGTTTTGAAGAGGTTCATTTTCATACTTTGAAGCCAATCAAAAGGCAACCTATATTGTTTTTAGCCAATCACACTGCTTTGCTCGACGTGTAACAGATAACAACCCAATACTATGAAGTAATATTTATTCCGTCTACGCAAGGGATTGTTCATGCTTGATGGAGCCAGGACCCAACTAGTTATATGTAATATACAATTGACATTACACAGTTACTACTACGTCGCGACGGGTTAGCACTGTAGGCGCACGATTTGGGCTTGATTTAGAAGCAGCACTTGGCGCTGGAACTGCCCCACCTGGTCTGTCTGCTGCCACTTGGTCGATCCCTCCTTGGATCCAACGTGGCGATGACTATTGGTTTTCTGACCAGCCACGTTCAAGCTTGGGAGGGTCAGCGTCGACGTGAGTTGTCGGCAGCTCCACAGCTTCAGGTGCTGCAGCAGGGGCAGCGACGTCGAGATGGCGCGCACGGCGGCGTCTGTGATACGGGGGCACTGGGAGAGGTCCAGTGTCTTCAGCCGGCCCAACGACGCGCAGATGGAGGCCACGCCGCCGTCCGTGAGTTTGTAGCAGTAGCGCATATTGAGGTGTTCCAAGGTCGGAACGTTCGCAGCAATGCACTGCGCAATCCTAGCTCCAGTCTAGACGGTGATTATGCCTCGGTAGAGATCGACGTACCGGTCGTCCACGTGGTGGCAGTACTGCACGTTCAAGCTGCGAAGGTGAAGGGTATTGCAGTAGGCCTCCAGCATCCCTTCGAGCTCACACATTTTGACACGGTGGCACCCTTCTAAACTGACCTGTTCCACTTGCGATCCCCGCAGTGCTTGAAGGCCACTGCCCACGAGCAAATGGCACCCGGTCAAGTCCACTGCCCGCAGCGTGCGTCGGTTTCTGTCTACGAGCGCAGTGAGGCCGGCGTCGTCGAGCGGCATGTTGACGATGTGAACGCGGCGGAGGTTCTCGCAAGTGGCGAGCAACGAGTGCAGGCTTCGTGTGTTCAACCCTGGGCACATGTCGATGCGGAGTACGCGCAGGTGCTGGAGAATGCGTCGGACCTCCGGGGAAGCAAACACGTCGGGCGACAGGTGCACACACCCCACGAGGTGCAGCTCCACCAAAGCGTGGCCGTGGCGGCGGAGGATCGACGTCCATGTCTGCCGCGCCCACTGCCGCTCTGGGGCGTCGGTGCATAGATGCTGGAGCCCGGACACGCAAGGTGCGCACGCCCCGCAGCACGTTTCGAACTTGGTGGCCACTCCACCTTGGGCCAGGCTCTTGCAGGTGGACACGAGCTGCACGCGGTCGTTCATGGCGAGAAACTGGAGCAAGTGGGCCATCACATTGGCATCGAGCTGGTCGATGCCGCCGCCTTCGCTTGACTTGGACAAGGCATGGGCCGACCTGTGTGCGGCGTCGTCAGGGTTTTCGTCGTCGTCGCGGCAATCTCGTAACGTCATTCAAACTCGTGCACACGTTTACAGGTTCTGACAGTACACGCCTTTGGTTTCTCCTTTGCGCGCAGTAATCCACTGATGTTGCGGACAGTCCTTGAGCATTCAGGCACTCCACACGTACCTTTGGAACGCTGCTGCTGATGCTTGATTGTCTGTACCCCAAACAACGCCTCCGCTGAAGCAACGAACAAGAAATGCTCAGTCAGTAAGAAAGTCGTGTATCGCATCGTTGAGTCAAAATATATGCCAACGTTCGTATATCGGACAACTTGGTCGTTCACGTAAGTTCAGTTTTCGATTAACGTTAGGGCAATTCCAGTTTCGAATTCTAAAGTCCAAAAGGTAGAGAATGCACTGGTAGAGAGAGCATCGTGCTAAACATGTATAAAATCGATGAATCGTGTTTTGTATTGGTAGTTAAAACAACTTACCATATTATACCGTGTGTGGATTTCACGCATTGCACGTTGGTACGTTGGTAGTGACTGTGAATCAACCACGCTAGCGGTGAATCAATCATAACGGGACTCGGGGAATATGTGCGTACCTCACCGTACTGTTCGTGAAAACTAAGTGTACATATTTTTAATAATACAGCCGCGCTACAAAATAGAAAGGACAGTGGATACAAAGTGCTTTTTTTTACGACTCGAGGTCAAAAAGGAGCAAAATCAATTGCTTTTTAGATGCTTATTCGTACAGTAGCATATTCCAGAACAACCAACTTCATGGTTGTCAAGAAGTAACAGCCATTCACATGTTTGTATGTTGCGACAATATATAAGGGTATACAAAAAACAAGATAAACAAAATTAATTGTGATGGCTCGAGGAAAGAAACTCAATGAGCGCCCAAGTTGGGGAGATCGTCGCCCGTCGTGCCCATGGGGAGTCGCTTCGCTCCTATCGACGGGGTCATTTGGCACCTCGATGTCAGTAGATTTTCTTTATAACGTTAATTAAAAATGTATCAAACTATTAAAATTATTATTTAATATATATAAAAATTTCTTATAAAAAATATAATTAAATGTTCCATTGATTCTTTATTTACATGAGGTGATTTTAAAACAGTATAAATTGGTTGGCCGTACAAAGACAGCCATAGCCACAGTGCTGTGCGACCCTGCACGTTATGCCACCCCCTCCGCCTTCTCCATACGGGACCACCGAAGAGGTCATAGCTTGCCACCCTCGCTTGTGCGAAGGGTGCTATGACATTGGAACGGACACAACCCTAAGTATACGCGAACGCGCCGCCAAAGCCAGCGGAGCGCTCCAAGCCTTCAGCGACGCAAAACATCGACTCATGATGGAGCTTCGCGACTGAAGCCCAATGGGTCGCAACCCGAAGCTAACTGATCGCACAAAGGCGGCGATTCTGCGAGAAGCATCTAAAGCCAAAGCAGTGCTTCTGGGATTTACCAGCACCTGCAACTCGATGTACATGTTCGTACCGTTCAGCGACTGCTAAAGAACACGGAACACTTGGAGCACGTCTTCCGTGCTGCAACGCCAATGCTGACGGCCGCCCAGAAAGCACCGCGTCTGAAGTGGGCAGAGACCTACGTCACTTTGGATGAAGCCTGGAAACGAATTGTCTTCTCGGACGAGAAGAAATTCAACCTCGTTGGCTCGGACGAATACCATAAGTACTGGTATGACAAGCGGCAGCCCAAGCAGCAGCGAATGAACCGCCAACAAGGCAGCGGCAGCTTCATGATCTGGGCAGCCTTTTTATGGTCAGGCAAGAGTCGCGTTGCTCTGTTGCAAGGACGTCAGGTATATCCTTGTAGGAAGTATACCGAGCTTACTGTTAGTGTAAGTACTTATAGGAAAGTAGGAATTAGTACTTTTGACAGTAAGCCTCAACGATCTGCGGTAGCGAGCCAAATCATCAAATATGGAAGTACTACTACGTAATATAGTACTCCGGAGTAACAATATGGTGGTGATCACTTGGATGGGGTGTTACGACGACATAATTTATACTACGTAGTACCTGTACACCTGAGGACCTCTCTACGCTGTAACCAGTGCGTTGGAGCGAACTGCTCAAATAGTCGCAACATCATCAGAGTTAACATTTCACTGTAATCTACTCCGTTCAGCAGTACTATAAGTATTCATATAACGTTATATAGTGCTCGCCACATGATTGCAGACACCCTGTTTTTCGTTCGTAGTTAATGTTGAGTTGATATCTACCGTTCGTCACATTCATTATTATGTGCTGTGATTGCCATCATCAATGATCTGCGGAATGACTTGTGTCACGGGGTTGTGGTAACTATTTGACGAAGGTAGGCGCGGCGCGAGCGAGCGAACACAAGACACAAGCGTGTAGAGTAAGTCAAAAGTAAAAGTCAAGGTGAGCTATCTAAGCGGAGGCGTCTTTCCGATGTTCAAAGAGTCACCAGAACACTGCGGGAAGTTCGGGGATCAGGCTATTGCTGGTTCCGGGAGTAACGGGTTCGACACAGATTCGTCCCAGAGTTACAGTGGGATGATGACAGTGGGATGATGATCCGGTAACAAGAGACACGACTGTTACCGGGAAACGCCGTTGGAAAGTCGCTTCCTTTCACCCCGTGACATTCTCCCCCGCTTAAGTCCGAAGCTCCGGCAAGGACCAATCAGCACACAGGGTCCGGGAGAATGGTCATTGGGCGAGAAAGGTCGGTTAGCGCCGCGATCCAAAAAAAATCCCGCAGTTTGAAAAGGCGTAAGCAGCGAGGTCGCTTCATTCCGCAACCTGTCCCGGAGGCCACGAACATGGATCACAGTTCGGCGGGGATGACACCGCCACCGACGGCCCGGCCGAGGGGACACGCAGCCACTTCCGGAGTGCAGGATGACGATGCCACTATGGTACCCTCCGCCAGAGACCTCGCGACGCTTACTGAGCAGGCGGCAACTCCGGGGTCGGGTGCCCACGCCTCGTCATATTCCTTCTTGCGCATGCACACCGTGCTCTCCCATGGTATCGTAGACTTGCGCAACAGTATTCAGCGAAACGAACGATCGTTACGCGTCCTCCAGGAAGTCCGGGCAGCGATGGCGTCGACCTTGGGGAGCGGTCCCCACGACATGTCGCAAGCTTGTCACGGCCTGGTTGACGAAGTGGAATTCTTAAAAGCGACGTTGTCCGAGGTGAACGCCGAAGTCCTGGACCTCCGGACGGCCCTGGATTCGAGTCGAAGGGCCTTGGATACGGCACACGCTGAACGGGATGGGACCAACGACTTGCTACAAGAGGCTCAAGAGTCGCTCCGAACCTTGGAGCAAGGACAATACGACCCCCGGGAGCAGCGTAACCAAGCCCAGGCCGAACGACCAGCAAGAAGAACTCTGGGACCTGGCGAGCCGGTTGACGGCCCAAACGGAAAAGGTCACCGAGCTGGGGAGACGAGTAAAAGAGGCGGACCAGGCCTTGGAAGTCATGACCGCCGAGGTGAACGACGCTCGGGACTACACGGCGCATTCAGCCAGGTTGGTCGCCGGGAAGGAAGGGGTTGTCAAGCTGGCGCTTCAAAACAAGTCGTTGGTGGTTGCCGAGATGTCGGACCTTCGTCGCAGCCTCGAGGCCGGGAGGGAAAACTCCGAAAAGGCGCGTCAGGATCGGGACCGGGCACTTCCCACGGCGGGGGAACTTCAGGAACAACTCAGAGTCGCCCAAGACCGCATCGCGAAACTCGAAGCGCAACCTCTTCGTTTTTCCGCTAGCAACCCGGCTTGGGACATCCTGCTGGCCGAGAACCAAGACCTCCGGGAGGCGGCCAAGACTCAGAAGGCGAGGGCCAAGGACTCCCGCGTTAGAAACAAGATCCTCCGGAGCCAAACCGAGACCTTCCAGGCCGACGCATTGCAAAAGTTGGGGGCCCTGGAGTCCCGAGTACAGGGGTACGAGAGCCAGGACCAGCTTCACCGCGAAGATTTGGTCCAGTTGGAGAAGTTACTTCGTGAGAAACAGGCCAGCCACGATCTCGAGGAGAAGCTCCAGGCTTTCCAAGAGAGTGAGCGGACATCGGCCAGAGCCCTATTGCATGCCAACGAGCACTTTCAAGACGCCGTCCCGTCGTTTTGGGATTGGGTCGCACAACATTTGCAGGTGTCCGGGGCCGCCGGCGTGGCGCCGCTGATAGAGGCGTGGACCTTGAGCGATCCGGATCGCTTCAAGTCCTGCATCGAGAGCGTAGGCATATTTCCCGCCAAGGTCGCGCGCGGTTTGACGGAGCCCCTGCTTGGGCGAGTCCGGGGCCCGACGTTCAGTGCTTGGGTGAACATGGCCCTCCCGGTCATGAGGGATGCGCTGAAGGAGTCTTCCACGCCGTCGTCGGGAGTCCTGGAGGCAGACGTTGTCGAGGCCCCTCGGGGCTCGGGGGCTAAGGGTTCGACCCTCCCAGGACAGGCGGGAGCCAAGGCGCCCGTACCTCCATCCCCCTCGCGTTCCACGAAACGCTCGGCCTCAGGAGGACGTCCCGGGAAACGAAAAGTCTCTCGCGTTCACACTGCTGTTCCCTTACCATTCGCGGACCCGAATCTACACCGAGACGTCGATGCGACCTATATGGCCGTGGCGTCATCGACTCCGGGTGTGCGTTGGCCGTCAAGCTTGACGAATTCGTCGATTGTCGATGCACTGCAAGTTACACGATATGTGAGGGGTATCGGCACGCTCGAACACTCCCTTTCGTGCCAGAAGCGTATTTTTCGAGTCCGGGTGTGCGTTGGCCGTCAAGCTTGACGAATTCGTCGATTGTCGATGCACTGCAAGTTACACGATATGTGAGGGGTATCGGCACGCTCGAACACTCCCTTTCGTGCCAGAAGCGTATTTTTCGAGTCCGGGTGTGCGTTGGCCGTCAAGCTTGACGAATTCGTCGATTGGCGATGCACTGCAAGTTACACGAGCTGTGAGGGGTATCGGCACGCTCGAAAAGCACGTCCAAGAGATCGAAACACTACCTTACAAGGGACTCCCTTTCGTGCCAGAAGCGTGTTTTTCGAGTCCGGGTGTGCGTTCGCCGTCAAGCTTGACGAATTCGTCGATTGTAGATGCACTGCAAGTTACACGAGCTGTGAGGGGTATCGGCACGCTTGAAACACGTCCAAGAGGTCGAAAGACTACCTTACAAGGGACTCCCTTTCGTGCCAGAAGCGCAAACTCCAATTT